TTTTATAAATTTTAAAAAATTAATATAATTGAAATATTTAACTTTACTTACACTTTTCATATTATACCCTCGTACTAATATTAGATGTTTCCAATAAAAAATTAAATAGAAAAAACTATTGATAATAAGGAATGTATTAGAGAATTAGGAAATTAATTATAATTTTAAATAGAAAAGTGATGATTTTGGATAAACGAAAAAAGGAAAGCAAATCCATCTTTGTAAGACGAAAGGAAATCAATTCATTTGTTCATTTTTATTCCATCTATCATTTTTTATTTATTGATTTTTAGAAATTTTCTTCAGAATTATGTATGGTTTTCGAAATATTAAAAATATGAGATCAATATGGCTTAAGAGGAGGTGAGATGAAGTGCAACTTTCCGAGAAGTGAATAAAATGCTTGTTTTTAGTTTATATTATCAGTTCTACTTCATGAAAAGTAGATCATCAAACTTCTTTTACACAAGAGAAGAGAAATTGTACTTCCTTAGTTAAATACAATGAATTCACCGATTTATCATATTATTTAAGTCCACTCAAATTTATATTATAGGTATAATCATAATTTGTAATTTGAGAGCAATTTACTTTCCAGGAAGTTGATTTACATACTAAACACATATATATTATACTTCTGAAAAATAATTTTCTTAAAAGCGTACTTCTTGAAAAATAATCAGCCATTTTGAACTAAATAAATCCTAAGTTGAAAGGCTATAATTAATGGACACTACAATCAACTAACTGAACAGTCTGCCCTTTAATTACCCCAACAGCTAACCGAAACCAAACGTCATATACATTACAATATTTATAATAGGTCAATGTTCATGAATGCCTATTGGCTGCTATATCTCCCATACAATAAAATAAACATTGAGGTCAATTTCATCTTCATTAATAATATTAATCTAGAAATTTAAAATTTTTTTTATTTGCGAAGATTTATTAAATACACTGAATGAGAATTGAGTAATAGTACGAGTTAAATTCCTTCACGATGTGTCACAGCTGCCTATGAGAGCATATTTTAGTCAAGTCTTTGTAATATACATTTTCAAGGAAATTAATTTCATTATATATATATATTTAAGATGATTGGAAGAAAAAAATTAATTTTGAAGCATATCAATGGATTATTATTCATATAAAAAATATTGAATATGTATTTATTTTGGTGAATAAATACATCTAATATGAAAGGATTTTATTAAACTTGAGAATCTCTTTTTTTAATAAAAAAAATATAAATAAATAAAATTTCTTGTTTGGGCTGAAATTACTATTATTATTTTTGATTTTACAAGACTTTAGGAATGTTGACGGGCCAAGGAAAGTATAAAAAAGGATTTGAATGAGAAAGAATAGAAGGACAAGGACAAAGCGATGAATTGAAAGGTTAAAAAAGGCAGATGAAATCCGACAACGAGTACATCTCTATATATTTGAGCAGCTTTAATTAGTTGGAATTTTACTATTTTATTCTAACTAATTACATTTTTTTTTATTGGTATATTTCAATTTTGTAAATTTAGGTATACATTGTAATCAAAGAGAAGGATCTGAATTTATCTCCGTCAAAATTTCAGCAGAAGCCAAAATTAAATATTTAAATATTAGGAAACATTACCTAAGACAGTTGTCACTATCTTCTGAAATTACAGCAAAAATTAGAATTCTATGATGTAATTATATCCTATTCATTAAATTTTGTAAAAGAAGGATCGGTGTAGGATACCTTATAAATAAGGGGAAGTATACCTTCCGAGAAGGTAAGTTTCTATTCTCTACTAGGCGCATAGTAAATGCCCACACATTCTTTCTAGCACAGTGACTTCACTTCACCATCAAAAGATTAGTCCAAGTCTGAAATTAACTATCTATTTGTTTTTTTTTTTTTTTTTTTTCTATTTGTTTTTTTTTTTTTTTTTTTGAAAAAAATAACTATCTGATTTGTTCATAAATGATTTCAAGTGTGAAAATTTATCTTTTTTTTTTTTTTTTTTGAAAAATAACTATCTATTTGTTATAAATGAATTCAAAGTGTGAAATTTATTCATAAATAAATTAACATAAATGAATTTTCACGTGTGAAATAAAATAAAAATTAAAAATCATTTACTTTTATTTTATAAAATACTTTTGATATAATAATTTCAAAAGGATAAAAAATGAATAATTTGATCATAAAATTTTAGATTATTTAAATTTGTTAAATTCATTTGGAATGGTAAAATTTAGTTTAATAATTATATTCAAATCTGTAAAATTGAATTTGTAGAAAATTTTGAGATTGAAGAATGGGAGATACCAATCTGTATTTATTATCAGGTCGTATATGCACTTACCACTGATTATGTTTTGGTTTGTTGAATTCATATCTTCATTTTTTAAATATCAAATATGAAAATTTAAATTTAAAAATAAATTTTATAAAATTTTGTGGAATGCATTTATTCTAAACTATGGGTTAAAATATATTCTTAAAATGAAATTATCAATTTTATATAAATGTAAGAATAAAGTAAATGTGATTTTCTAAAAAAAAAAAAAAAGAATTAAGGTAAATTAATGTGTTGGAATGCATTAATTTGAAGTAAGATATTGTCATAAACAGTAATCTAACATCAAGAAATAACTCTAAGAAATTGGATAATATATATATATATATTCAACTAAGACAATGCCATTGTCAGCAATAGTAATGAAAACAATTTTTAATAGCCAACATCAACTTTATGATTGAAATGAATGCTTAAATAAGAGACAAGCAAAGCATAAATTTTGCTTTGGGTGAAATAAAACAAAAGGTCTTCTTCAAAAAGCAAACTCTACCCAATTCCTTCAATTTTAAAATTGGTATCCTATCATATTTATATATGTATTCACATTATTGTGGCTTTCAAAAGTCAAGTTTTTTGCTTCCAACTTCCAAACACAACATATTATATACATGCAATCAACTTCATCATGCTTAGCACATAGCATGAGTGAAATCTACTCTACCCATGGTAATAAAATTTTTCACTCTTCTCCCCAAAATTAACTCATTTACCTGAAACTATACACATATATAGGGAAAAAAAAAAAAAAAATCAAATTATTTCATTAAAGCACCCAACCTGCAAAGTACAATGAAATGATTTTTATTCTCTTCGACCAAAAGGATAAATTTTATTATTTCCTTTATGCCTCAGGAAACTTTGCATTTGGCATCCGATTAGTTAGAGTAAGTGATTTTTATTTATTATTTATTTATTGTATATTATTCATTGTTCTGTGGTGAGTGATATTTATGTGCAATTTAATTTATTCTGATAAGGCAATAGCATTATAGCAAACAAGTGGTACTAGAAAAGGCAATGTGTCCTCCAAAAAACACATTATGATTCATGAGGGCCATCTACTCAGACTCGGACCCATCTCTCAAAGATGTCTCGCAAATTTGTATCAGTCTTTCTTTTCAGTGTCTTGTATTTTCAGTCTTTGGTTATAATTTTGTACAATCACTATAAAGGAAATATTCTTTTCTTTTTTTACTACCCAAATATGGTAATTTTTCTAAATAAAAATGATAGAAAAAAAAGCCATTCATAAATAAGGGGTCTTGGATTAATTTCATCTCCCACTTCATCACTACCATTTTTATTAAATTAGTAATTAATTAATTATTATTATTATTTATATCCACTTTATGTGTACCTAAGTTTCTCCAGTTTAAAATAATCCTCCCCACTATAATTTGACTGCAATTTTCTGCTATTAATATTTATTAATTTATATGGGTCTGGTTCTTTAGGGCTAAAAGAAGATCACAACTCACAAGCATACAGTGTCAGGAGCGTTTAGTTAATTCAAATTATGATTTCAAGTGATATTTTGGACCCCATATATATATTATCTAATGTCTCTCATTTCTTTTTTAGACCTATAAAAATACCCTTTTCAATTCAAATTAAAATTTTTATTGCAAAAACAAGTATTGAATTTTTACTAAAAGAAAATGATAAATGATGATCTTTCTTCCACTGAATATATTATCAGGTGCATATTAGTCATTTATATATATACATGTATGTATATGTATAAAGATGCAGTAAGAAATCTGATAAAGATATTACCCTAAGAAAAAAAAAAAATTCTGACAAAGAAAAGAGCTGAAAATTTCAAAACATGATTCATAAGGTATCTCTTATGGTCCCTGGTGTTTTATGCCTACTAGGTAAATTATGGAAAAAAAAAAAGGGTAAAAAAAAATATATATAAGAAAGAAAGGACAGCAACTAAGAAAAATATTACCCATCAAAGTGATAAAAACAAATAAATAAGGAAAACAGGTAAACATCAGCTGTTGCACTAAAAAACCATACTGTATTATTGGCCATTATTACTTTATCCCTTAGTGCTGATGAATATATTATGGGTTGCAATAATTTTTTTTTACGCTAAAACCTTAAAGAATCAAATAATATATATATTAATATTAATATCTTCTTCTAGAATCTGATTTAATTAATTAATCACTTCACATATATTAGTCAAATTACTGTAACTGAGTTCAAAATTTGTGAAGCTAAATTAATTTTATCGGAACGTCGATTGTGATTTTATTGGTACTAATAGACATTGCTCGAATTATTAATGTCGATTGTGATAGAATGATTAGGACTCATCTTTAATCAAAGGTTTCACAATTTCGAGTATTGAATAATCGAATTAGAAATGAATCAGTAACTCCATCTTATTACTAGTTGCACCGACTACTACTGAGTACTCAAGTTCAGATAATGCAATTATCATAATTGAAAGAAAAATGATGGTAACGATTGTATTGATGATGGCATATAGATCAATTATAAATCATAAATATATATATTTATTTATGGTGCAAAATAGCGTCAATGGAGGAAAGAAATAAAATTTGGAGGAAGAAAAAGAGGAACAAAAGCACCTTCATGGGACCCATAACATGTCTCCTGATAGACCCATAGATGTGATTTTCATCTTTCTCCCCACTGCACTACACTATTCTTCTTTCACATTTGCTCTCTCTCTCTCTCTCTCTCTAGCCTCTACCTTTTTATTTTTTTTTCCCCCATTTCTTGCTTAAAATACCCAAGAATTTCTCTGCAACCAAAAAAGAATTAATCATGTCAGGTGACAAACCTAAAGATTCTGCTGAAGGGTCTTCGCGATCCAGCGGTGATCATCATCATCAGCAGCAGCAACTTCCTCAACCGGCACCGTTGAGCCGGTACGAGTCGCAGAAACGGCGAGACTGGAACACTTTTGGACAATACTTGAAAAACCAGAGACCGCCAGTTTCACTTTCGCAGTGTAACTGTAACCATGTTCTTGATTTTCTTAGGTATCTTGATCAGTTTGGGAAAACTAAGGTTCATTTACACGGATGTGTGTTTTTTGGACAACCAGACCCTCCTGCTCCTTGCACTTGCCCTCTAAGGCAAGCTTGGGGTAGCCTTGATGCCCTAATCGGACGGCTTCGAGCTGCTTACGAAGAGCATGGAGGATCACCTGAGACTAATCCTTTTGGAAATGGTGCTATTCGGGTTTATTTACGCGAAGTAAGAGAGTGTCAAGCTAAAGCTAGAGGAATTCCCTATAAGAAGAAAAAGAAGAAGAAGAATCAAATCAAGCCTAGAGAGGATGCTAAGCCCTCCATGCCACAGCCAGCTTAATATATTACTTGATCCCTTGGCTTTTGCAGTTAAATGGTAATATTCTCTTCTATAATTACATTCATATACGCTCATCTCTACTTATAGTATCAGTAGTTCCATAATTATTTGATTTGCATTGAAAATTTTCTAATTGAGATATAAAGATGGAATGCACAGGTTTATATATATATATGTGTGTGTGTGTGTGTGTATATATTTGCAGTTAATGGTAATAATTTCTCTTTCCTATAAATTACATTCATATACGCTCATCTCTACTTTATAGTAATCAGTCAGTTCCATAAATTATTTGATTTGCATTGAAAATTTTCTATTGAGATATAAAATGGAATGCACAGGTTTATATATATTTGTGTGTGTGTGTGTGTGTGATATTAGATATTAATTATATATATATTATATAAATATACATACTAGTACTAGTTTGTATATATATACATACTAGTACTAGTAAGCTTATAACTAAATTAATTCTTGAAAATGGGATAAAAACACAGCATTTTATAATTATCAGAAATTAAATAACTTCAAATAGATCAGTTAATTACGATTCAATTTAATGAAATCAAGAATATGATGATCAAAACCTATAGGTTTGTGTTGAGGTTTCTATTCTTTGAGTTACAAAACCCTAAACCCATATCCCAAAACCCTAATTTCATAATCACTATAGCGACTATATATGTGAAAAACTGTGGTTTGATAGTTTACCATAAATATAGCTTTTACCCTCGATTGAATGAGATTGCTATAATTGGAGTAAAGAGAATTTGCAGTCTCTCTCTTTCTCTTTCCATTTCTAATATTTATTTATTTTTCCTCTGTCTCTCTCTGAATCATGGAAAAACACTGTTTAAAATGGGTTTGGATATTAAATATATTCACTCGTTTACTTTTCCCTTGTTTTTGGCTCTTTTTTTGATTCTCTGCGATTTTTGTGCTCCCCATGAATGACCATGTGATATGTCATACGTTGCATGTGATTTCATATACCTATTGACGTCTGCTTAATTTCTATTCTGTAAGTTGCACTACCATATATACATATATACTCATCATTTACATTCTTGGGTGCCTATCAATTATATATTAGTTTCTTCAATATGATGGCACAATAATCTTAATGATGTACTTTATATTTAAAAAATGTTAAATTATTATCATTGTTATACCAACCTCATTATTATAAGCTCAATCATTTTACTTCTTGGCCTATTTTGCTAATATGAAATTATTAAGTTTGGCGGTTCTTCTTCCCGCGATAGAATTAGAAATTAATTAACTCTTTTTTTCAGGAAAAAAAAAAAAAAGTGTCTGCTTGGGATAGATATATTTAGTTTAATATTTTCAAGTACTCAAACAAATCTGTTGTTGTTTGTTTGTTGCATAGAGTTGAATCATCATCACCACAATGTTTAATTTCAAGTTCCTACGAAAAAGAAAATGGAGGAAGGGATCTTTTTTATTTAATTGGTAGCTAGAGAGTTTTTTATATAACACAAGCATTTCTATCTACTTCTTAAACAAATGACAAAAAGATTTGGTTGGTTGCAGAATATATATATAGATAGGAGCTAAAAATGCCACGCAAACCTAGCTTGTTGAGGTGATTAATTCTAGATGGACAAGGTATTTAGGTGTGGATATTCATATCAATCTGACTTACCCTTAATCCTTAGCTATATATACTAATTGGTGCGCATCTCTTATAATAAAGAAAAATAAAAACAACTCTTGCATTTAATTTACTAATTTACATTTCATTTTATTAGAATTATAAAATTATTTGCAGCCGTAAATTTTATATTTATGCTGGCATACATTTTTATAATTTAGAGTTAAACGATCTATGTTTGTATGATTGAATTGAAAAGTACAATAATAAATTAGAAGGAAAACGATGGTAAGTTCCTTAATTATGTAGCTTATACAAAAAAAAAAAAAAAATCTAAGCTTATTACAAAAAAAAAAAAAAAAAATCTGATTACGTACATTAAATACATCTTGTTCAAAAAAAAAAAAAAAATCTATTACGTACATTAATACATCTTGATGGAAACTAATTAATTAGCTAATTAAATATCAAATCTTCGACAAAAGTTCAGCTTTAAATGCTAGGAGGATAAATTTGCTTTTATATAATCACATCCATTACCTTTTTGGATAAGCGGTTTATGGCTAGTACTAAAGGTGGGTGTGTTAATTAGGAGATGGTTTGTATTTTGATCGTCCCCATTACATGTACACATTCTTTTTAATTGCTCAATAACAATATTTTTTTACTTCATGGCATTAGATAATACAGCATTTGAACTAATTTTTAGAAATTAAAGCAGAGTTTATAAAAAATAACACTCACGTAATGTTTAACCTTTTAACATTAGCTTTTATCATTTTATGAAAAAATATTCAAACAGCTAACAATTAAACGCTATTAAAACAATTAACAGCTACTAAAATAGCTATTTTACTTAACAAACCCTTAAAAGGAGTAAAGGAATTTGAACACTGAATAATGTTTGTATACATGTTTATTAGTGCACATTCATAATTTTTTAAAAAGTACCTATTTGATCACTTGTATTAAGAGATCAAGAGGCAAGAACTGCATGCACTGAGCTATTAACGTAGCTTAAGGGCTGAAAGAGTGTCCAGCATATATTTATATATATATAATATATTATAGTAATATATATCACAGTATATATATCACAGGGACATTAATTAAGGGATGTTTTGAAGTTTTCTTGTAGTTAGTTACAGATCCTAATTAAAAACCTACAAAAATCATGGTTTAAACCATAATGTGTAACTTGAATTTTAAAATAATATCAATAACGAACATAAAAACATTGCTTGCAGATCTGGTCTGTCTCCAATATGTTTGTTTTGTGAGCTGTCTTCAATAAACCGTTCACATTATATGTATATTCTTGGCCTTCGACAAGGTAAAGTTAGCTAGTACATATATTGTCGACATTGGAAGTTGAAGTTTCATTAATTTACATATGTCGGTGTATGTTTCAGTTTAGAGGTTGAAGATGCGTTAATTCATTGCTGTAGCCCATAGGAATTCCTTTTGAAATTGCTTTTTCTACAATTTTTTTTTTTTTTTTTTTTGGATTACGTTTCTCTGCAAAAATAGTAATTTTTTTTTTTTTTTTTTGATAAGCCATAGCAAATAATAGTAGTAAGAGAGAAAACAGGAGCAAACAAGAAGCTCCAAACATCTTGTTTGGTACTTAGCTCAATGTTCACACCTTTAAGTAAATATCTGAATTCTTCTTAACGAAACTTTCTTGAATAAATACTCGTTTTAGGCAATCTTATCTTAATTAAGAACATATGTTATGTCATAACAACTTACAAATTGTTTTCAAAAAAAAGAAAATTCAAGAAGAGCACTTGTGAATTATATAATGTAGGTTTATGTGAACCATCTAGCTAGCCTCAGTTTCAGCATATGACTGTGCAAGCATTTCTAAACTATAGCTAGCCTCTCTTTTTAAGTTGCAGTGGATAAGGTAATTAAGGCTGAAAACACTGATGACATTTAATATTATTATTTGAGAATAAAAAAAGGTAATCAACTATTTAATGTCTGAGCTTTGGTTAAAATTACTATCACATCCTTACTATTCAGCAAAACTATTTATACCTCCCTGAGGTTTTGCTTCGGTAATATGGTATTAAATGTAAATAACCAAATAGTGAAATACTACAAACTATTTAACAGTAAAGATAACACTTTTTAGAATGAAGGATTAAATAATTTATAGGCTTAAACCTTAGAAATAAAATGTTGATGTGATGGTAATTTCACTCAGAACTCATGAACTAAATAGTTAATTACCCTAAAAAATATTATATTTTATTTCTTTTGATAAGAAAGAAAAGTTTTCAGTAAGAATATGCAGAATTTAGAACGGGATAGACAGGCCATCAAAACATAATACGCTGCATAATATGAATCTGTTACCTCTTCTGTAGCACAAGAATTAATGAAAATCGCTAATGCTAATCTTTGAGTGAGAATCTCGGACTTTAAATGCATCATTAATGCTAATCTTTGACCGAGCATTATATATTTTGAAATGATTAAGTAACTCTGGTTCGATTCTCTTAATAATTTCTCTAACAGGTATGTTCTTATTGGTGATCAAAAGGTTATAATATGATATCTTCTCGTCCTTGAAACTGTGATTAGTTGTTCTTAAAGCGCACACTTAAATAATGTGGTAACTGTTGAACGTATCTTGATGAGAAAGACAGTAATCTTTTATTCTCACTTTCTTCTTGAGAGATAAGGTTCAAAGAATAGAGATGGCGAAAGAGAGACTGCTTATTGTTGACACGTAGAAACCTAAAGACAGCTTGTAGATAGATTTAATTTATATCTAACAGAATATTTCTTATTCTAGATTTTGCTTATTATTTATACAATATCTCTCTTTATGATCTCTTTGGATATTTTATTATCTTTTGTTGTTTGAATTTCCCTCGTATAGTGTAGGATCCAGTGAGCTTGAACCAATCCTTCTTATTTTAGTTTTCTTTTGTTTACACATATTTCTGCACTCAATGGACAGTGAAACTCTTAACCTAACAAGTAAAGTTCATTTGAAAATGTAATCAGTAATCTTTTTTTTTTTTTTTTTTTTTTTTTTTTTTTTTTTTTTTTTTTTTTTTTTTTTTTTTTTTTTTTTTTTTTTATCAGCAATCAATAATCTATTTTTGCTAACCCAACTGCGTGATAGTTGAGTTGATTCATCTTTCTTTATATGTTTGAATACGTTAAGATCAAAAGTTGAAATTTTTTGGTTGATGGATATAGAAAAATAATACAGATAAAGAATTAACGCTACTGCCCACTGTTTCTTCGAAGTCCGTACTAGGGTTATGCATAAGATATATGCTGGTCCTTGTACTGGTTTGCTTTGCTTATTCTATATTATATATAAAACGCACTGAATGTTCACCAGCTAGGCTATACTTTAATTGGATTCTTTTTGCCTGCTCTCTTTCATATTTTTTAATTAGAAAAATTAGTTAACTGTTTGTTTGGGTTGTGAATTCTGCAGGATCAGACACAGAATAGGTCAGTCGAATGGGAAGGTCATTGAAAAGGCAAAAATGTTCGATATTTCGATTTGTCTCGTACTTATATATAGGTGGGTATTAGCTAGCTAAGTTCTCCTTTTGCAGATATAATTATATATATATATATATATATATAAATTAGTACGTTAACTCCTACAGCTATATATATATATATATATATATGAAATAGTACGTACTCCTACAGCTACATTCTGAAATAATCTTGTGGTACCTTCATGTTGGTCTAAACGACTTGTAGTCCACTAGGAATTTACCATGCACTTTGTAATGCCCTCATAATTACCTATTAGACTCAGTGTTAGAATCTCAAAGCAAAGCATGCGATATCCATTCACGCAGAGAAGAGTGTTTTCTCGTTTATACGCTGAAAATGGCATAAGCCTTCTGCAACATTATCACCTTTGATATATATATATATATATATATATATTAGATGGCCTAATTAAGTAATTAAATTTTATATTTTACGGTCTAATTAAGTAATTAATTTTGGTATTTTAACCCTTACGAGGCTTTCTATATAACCTTGGAACTGTACTACGTACGTCTTCCTTTTGTTATTCCGGTCCCAGGTATAAAAGACCAAAAGTGAGATTTTTTGCTGTCTAGTTGTAAATATTACAAAACAGTTCTATCAAATTATGTATTCCAAGAACAATTAAGATAATGCTTTTCTAAAACAACAATACAAGATATATAAACCATTAACCACATTAGAAATGTGAACATGATAATATATTTAAAAGCTAAAATGTGATGTCACTTTACAATTAAAACAGAATTTGATAGTTCTATTGTTATCCGATCGAAAAGATGAAGTAAAATCTTTGTATGATGATCTTATAGAATTATTATTATTAATAATGTACATAATAAATATGGGTATAAGAAATTTTAAATAAATTTAGATATGGGTATAAGAAATTCTAAAAAATATAAATATTAAAATTTGAATTTGAAGAGTGCTGTACTTCCATTCCGAAGTAAGAAGAGTGAATGAATTTAAAAGGATAGAAATGTGATTGTATAAAGGCAAATGGATAAGTGAGAATTGGAGGCCCATCTGAGACGGCGATGTAGAAAATGAATCCAAAACGAAGTACAAAAGAGTTGTTGAACTGTGGAGAGGCCCAATAAAAGGCAACCTCCAACTCCAACACCAAGAAGCTCTAACACTAACAGGACAAACATAAATCGGAAGCTTTTATTATTATTCGCCGTTCCGTTGTGAGTTGTGATCGACCCATATATTCACATATTCCAAGTTGACTGCCAGAAACCAATTGCAAAACAGCGAGCGCATAAACCAGCCGTCAGTTAAGCCGCCATAACCATCCGGCTCTGGCTCACGCGTCTCTCGCAGCCGGCGTGCAGATGCTGTTCACAACGTCAACACCCCGCAACATCGACGCGACGCCCCGCCTTATTCCCTTTTTGCCCCCTTCAACTAACACAGCGTCTGGATTGGAGATAAAAACAAAGAAGTAAGAAACAGGGGGAATCAGGAAGAGATAATAAAGAGGAAAGGAAAATTAAACAAAAAAGACTTTTATTTTTTCTTTATTGTTGAAGAAAAATAAAATTATTCTTTTTTTATTAGTCATTTTTATAGTTTTCCCTATTTTTCGTCTAATTTAGTGAGAAAATTTTAGAATGAAATTAATATTTTTTTCTTGTTTATTTTTTTTTAATTATGTTTGGATGAATGGAAATGAAATCCATGTGATCTGAATTATGAAATATGAAATCAATGTTACAAAATAAAATCAAACGATTTCTATTTTTTCTAAAACTCGGGTTGCAAATGAATTTAATTATTCTAAGCTTGCTCAGGATTTTGTAAAAAAAAAAAAAAAACTAGTTCCATGAGCTTATTCGAATTTGAACTTGATTTTCAAAATTCGCCTTGCTTGAATCAATTTATTTATACTTCTATTTAAAATGATGTAAAATTTTTTATAAATCAAATAAAAAAATTGATAAATTTATACAAATATAAATATTAAAGAGAGAGAAATTATGGATTATTTGATAGTAACAGAAAATATGAAATTAATTTTTCTTCTGCCGCATTGAAGAGATAAATTTGATATAATTAGGGGTATTGATCCTTAAATGAAAAATGGCAATAAAAAGATAAAAGATAATTAATAGTAAAAATATAATTATAGAGAATCACCTAGACTCATAAGTTATTTATACTAATGAAAATTTATTATTTCCGATTTCTAGAGCGGCATGCTTTACACACGACCTAAATAAGAGAATTCAGATTTATTGGTTTTATTTTTTCCTGTCATGAAGAAGTTTTTTTTTTTTTTTTTTGGTTTTATTTTTTTCCTGTCATGAAGAAGCATGAAGAAGTTTTTTTTTTTTTTTTGATCTGTCGTGAAAGAAGTTTGATATAAATATGAAGTGTTTTATTTGTAAATTTAATTAGAAATTATCTAGTGCATTTAATACTTATTTGGTTAGTGCATATACGCATAATTACGTGGGATTTATTCGACAAATTAATTATAAAAATAAAAATTTTAAAATTATTTAGTGATAGTAGCTTGTTTAATTTTTATCGAAGTTTTTGTGATGTTTTTTAATTTAATTTCTAGTAAAAAAATAATCTTTTTGGACTGATGACACACACACACATATATATATATATATATATATATATATATTATTGATGAAGTATAACCTTCCACCTACAACAAAAAAAAAAAAAAAATTAAATAAAAGTTTAGAAATTTATATATTGAGAAGGATAACTTCCACCTACAACAAAAAAAAAAAAAAAATAAATAAAAGTTAGAAATTTGATATTTGATAATCGTAATAAAAGAATGGACGATGCGATGAAATATCAAGGTAGTGAGACGGTTACTCGCTGCTAAATTATGGCAAGTACCAAACGGAGACGTAATTTGGCAGCTAGGCCGTTTGAGGTAGCCAAGCCATCCCCGATGACGCAACAAAGCCAGCAGCCCAGCCCCTGCCCTTCTATTCCATCTTTTACTACACGCGCTTTTTCACGTCCCGGCGACCCATCTCTTTTAATTTCCCCTAATCTTGCGCCCCATGAGTCCGGCGCGTCACCTTCGCCGCACCGACCCCGTTTCCTTGTTTTTTTTCTTGGTCAGATCCCTCTTTACTCTTTAGCCTTATCTCTCACATCAAAATCACAAAAACCGAGAATAACCTAACGCACCACCAACAAAACGATCGCCACCACCGCCATCAAGAAGGATTAGAAACTCCATGGGTGATCTAACGGACTCCGTCACGCCGTCCACCACACCTCACTCACGACCCTTGCCTATTCGTGAGGACTGCTGGAGCGAGGAGGCAACCTCTACTCTTGTTGAAGTTTGGGGAAAACGTTATTTGGAGCTCAATCGAGGCAATCTACGTCAAAAGGACTGGCAGGAAGTCGCCGATGCCGTTAACGCCAAACATGGCCATACGAAGAAAACGCACCGTACCGATGTCCAGTGTAAAAATCGGATCGACACGATTAAGAAGAAGTATAAGATCGAGAAGGCCAGGGTTACGTCTTCTAATGGAACGCTGACATCGTCATGGCCGTTTTTTGAAAGCTTAGATGCGCTGATCGGATCTAATTTCAGCGCTAAAAAACAAGCTTCTCCGTCTTTATCACCATCTCCTCCGGTGGCTCTTCCGTTGACTTCTTATCGGAGGACTCCTAATCAGGTTTCGGTTCCCGTTTCTGTTCCAGTGATGTCGCTGCCGCAGAAGAGGCCATTGGATGATGGCTATTTCAGGAGGAACTACTCGGCGATGGCTGCCGCTGCGGCAGCAGCGGCGGAGTCAGAAAGTGAAGAAGAGGAAGAGGAGGAGAGGGAAAGAGAGAGAGAAAGGGAAAGTGAGGAAGATGAGGAAGGAGAGGGTATAAGGAGATTGGCTAGAGCTATAGAGAGATTTGGAGAGGTGTATGAGAGGGTGGAGAGCGAGAAGTTGAGGCAGATGTTGGATTTGGAGAAGCAGAGGATGAAATTTGCCAAAGATTTGGAAATGGAAAGGATGCGGATTTTCACCGAGACGCAGATTCAGCTTGAGAAGATAAAGAAAGGCAAGCGATCTGGGTCCAATGGTGAGAGAGATTATTAAAATTGACTCTCTAATTTGCTTTGATCCTTTACTTTTATGTAAATCTCTGTTGTAAGCTTAGGGCTTGATTTCATGATTTAATATTATTGTGGATTATGTGCACCAATGCTAATATCATCAGAAGGGTTTCAAACCTGGTATGAATAGAACAATACAACTGAACTATTCCTTGAAAATTCAGAAGTTAAGATCAATGAAAATTTGTGCTGAAGTTAAATACTTTCCTATTATCTGATATTGAATTCCTATATACTGGAATAGAGGCTAAAAAATGTAGCTAGTTTTTTTAAAGATTTAGCTTTGTTTTATGTTCTTCAAAGGGCAAAAGTAGTTTCTTTTTTTTTTTTTTTTTAAATAGGTAACAATATAAATAATAGTGTCATGCCAAACATGTATGGATACATCTGTAAATGTAGGGATACTATATTCCTGATTTATGCATTTAGTGCTGCATAATTTTAAAATGATCCAAGATCCCAATAGCATTCAGCCTCTCTCTTGTTTCTGCTGGACATTTAATCAGATAAGATTTACATTCTTGGTTTCTTTTTCCTCCATACACAGAATTTCAGTGCTTTATGTTGTGGTAATATTCATTGCAGGCTGATTCATGATTTTATATATGTTGCATTTCCTTTGTATTGTCCTATTGATTGATGCCTACTGTCCTTTTAGGGAGTATCTCCCATCATTTTAATTGTAAGGCTACCTTTGCTAAGCTACATCAGCTGAGATTTACAATATTTATTCCAGAGTATAGTTTTGTGGAATCTTTATTATTTTTTTATTTAAGCAAAACCTGATATATTATTCTCATTTTTTTAACAGTGGAGATGCATAGCCAAACAATTTTAATTACTCAAGTGCTATACTTTCCTCGTGATTTTCCTGTAACTGTTTTAGTTTTGTTTGTTCGCTGATGACTCTACACAGATTGTCCTGGATTGCACTATCTGGCTATCTTATGTCTTGTTTTTTAAGGTGGGAATATTTTACATGTCAATTAATTTCATGAATGGATTGGGTTCCACAGGTAATTAGTGTGCCCTGTATTACACATCAGTCTCCTTGTAAATAATCTTGTCATGCCAAATTTGTGTGAACATTCTGCGGTTAATACATGGGAATAAAACCACTTTGTAACGATAGAGCTAAAGTCTAAATTTCGTATAAGATGCTAATGCTTCATCTGAATCTATTGTCACACGGTGCCTTTGATGCAACCAATATGAGTGCATTCCAGTGATGGTGAAAATGGCATTAGGCTGTTGACATTTAATTGCCTTAAGATATTTATAGATGAGTTGTCATTAGGAATCATTAAGCAACTTTTTGTGTATGTCATTATGAAAATATTTTCGAATGCTTAAATCACTGGCTTTCCCACTTTAACAATATTCAAGTCCTTGTATATTCTTTTATTTCTTCAGCTTTGTTAATGACATCCCTGTTACCATTTCTTACCCCTGGCTCAACATAAAAAAGTTGTTTTGGGTGTCAATGCTGATTAGAGTGCTGTCTTTGTATGTATGAAACAAAGGACATTTTTGGATATTTATATTGTGGATTTTGAGTTCTTTTGATGAAAATTAGTATATGTTCATAAGGTTAGATGTTATGTTGGTATTGGGATATTGATTTTTATATACAAATTTCTCTTACAGTGTAAAGTGAATTTGTTATGTGAAATAATTTTTGATAGAGACAGTAAATTTGTAACAGTGACATAGGAGAATGATTATTTGTAACGCTAACAATTCAAATTTGAGATTGTAATGCTTGTAAAAGCATAGGAGGCTGTAGAAATATCATTCTAATTTAACATTTGAAGTTCTCCATTTGTTTCTCTCTTTTTTTGTCTTAGCAAAGATTTTATATGTGGAGTTGAATTAATTTGCATTGCTCTCTATCTCATCAGCTATTCCTCTTTGATGATGGCACGAGCTTATAAGAGTCGCAGGTTAGCAGGAGTGCCCAATAAGATTGGGCTGTTGATTGATTTATTGTAAATCATCTGTTAGTGTAGTTTCGTTCAATTATCAGAACTACACTTCTGAAAGCTTTAGATTTAGGCAATTGTGTAAACTTATAGTTTCAAGCTTCAAATTTCTTCACGAGTTTGCTTCTATTATGCATTTGAGGGCGTTGTGATTTATTTGCAGAAACCATATGGATTAGATGTCCAACCTTAAACAGGGGTTGAGGTTGGAGTTTTCTCGAACTCCTCTACTTCTTGTGAAGGAGAACAAACCCTCTGTTGCTGCATTTTATATGGCAAGTTCTGAATGAAAACATTCTCTGACTTTTGTTATTTGCTATACTCAATAGATTTCACGCACATTATTTATGGTTCAGAAGAAGAGAAAAACTTGATCGGACCTCTTTCAGTTTCGACCTTGAAATGTAAAGAAGGTACAGTTAACCCCAATCTGCCACAGATAAAAGGCTGGGAAAGGCAAAACTGATGGAACCATTTTTGGCTCACATCAAGGGAAAAAAAAAGTGCGACAATTTAAAGGTACATTTCCAACGACATAGATCATCATATAAAGCAAAGAGCCCCATATCCTAAAAAGGAAGAAAGAAAGAGAAATATATATAAAAATAAGATCATATGCAAAAATAAATTTATCCTAAAAAGGAAGAAAGAAAGGAGGAAAACTATATATAAAATAAGATCATATGCAAAAATAAATAACATATTTAAATGTTTTTAAGAAAATCATATATATATAATATATATATATATATATTATATATATATATATATCATATATATATATATATATATATAAAAGAAAAAGAAAAGAAGAAAAGAAAGTGGAAGATAACGAGTCTTAACCATTTGTGAATGGGTGCAAATAAAAAGCAGGAGGCGCCGCTTGAATTATTGCATTTTGTTCTAGGATTATGCACCGCAAAATGAATAATATATATTTTTTTTCTCTAAACATTTTGGCCAATCAGAGCATGGGTCTATTTGAATAAGAAAATTTTGTTAATTGTTTAGTGTATAAAGTTTAATTTTTTTTTTTTAAAAAAAAAAAATGTTTGATTTGGTTGTTCCTACTATATATGCATGAAACATGCAAAATTATTCGAATCATTTTTGTATGTTATCTGTTTGGACCTAGCTCTTCTTAGAATATGGGTTTTTAAGCATCTCCATAATATCTTTCATTTCATTTTTTTTTTTTTTTTTTCATTTCATTTTTTTTTTTTTTTTAAAAATTTTTAGCATTGGGAAATGAATATTTTTATGTTGGTGAGAATTTATGTTAATTTTATTGGATTTTTAGTTAATAAAATATGTAAGTATTTGTTTCCATGGAATTGGTGCATCCTCCCATCTTTGTCGGCAAATAATCCATTAACGAAAGAATACAAAACAGTTGTTAAGACTGCCTAAAAATGGTTTCCGACATTAGCCCTAATTCTCTTCAAGTTTGAATTAGAAATCCTGATTAAATTCTCCAACTTAAAGTAATCAATTATTAGATGCAAAATTTTCTTTCTTAATCCAAAAATTCAAATTATTTCATCAAAAATTGAACCCTTAACTGTTGAACTGCTACAGATGATGAAGTATACAGTTTAAACAGATTCTATGCTACTCTGACAAGCAATGGACATAATTTTTTGGATTAGATTGCATTCCAAATTGATATATCAAAAGCTGTGTGAACTTTTGATATGCCAGAGCAGAGAAAATGGTGGGACTAACAAAATATATTTTGGTATGATCAATTTTTGCTGTCATGGCCATAATAAGCAATCCAGCCAATAAAAATGTCAAAATCTACTGTAAAAATAGCTTTAACAGATGCTGCTTGGCAATGGCATCCTCTAATCATCATCATCATCTCTAAGAGAACAAAATACTTAAAGACATGCCCACTTGTTAGTGCAAGCTAGATACAAGTGCATTATTAATTATTCTATGGTGGAAAGTTTTGTGGGGACTATTATTCCATCCACCTCAAAGTCACTTTGATCATCTAATCAAAAATCTATTTTTATTATATATATATATAATTAAAATATATATATTTAGGGAGAAGAAACCACATTCATGGGTATGGTGATCCATCATACTTCATGGTTCTATCTAGTTTTTTTAGATTCCATATATATATTTATGGGAGAAACCACATCATGGGTATGTGATCCATCATACTTCATGGGTTCTAGCTAGTTTTTTTAGATTCCTATAGTATAATTAATATTGGAATAATGAAAATAATATTCATGTGATGTGTTAATTTATTCTTTGATCATATAATGTCCAAATTAAGGTTCATGCTCTGTAGCTGAAGCATTATCTTTCTCATAGTAATATATATACATTTAAAGATTAAATAAGTAATTAATAATTAAATCAAGTGACATATATATGAGCAGTTCTTGATTTAGTAAATCCCAGGATTCTTGGATGAATATTGGCGGCTTTTCATCAAAGAGCACGAGTCGGTTAAAACATGGGAACTGCTTCATTAATTAATTAAACCAAATCATTAGATATTTTTATTGTCATAATAATAAATTAAATGCATTATGAAATAATTTATTAGTGACAGGTAACAGGATGGAGAATACTTAATATTAGTAACACAAAAGCATAAAAAAAAAAAAAATTACAATTTAACTTTGGTTCACAAAGAAAAATCACAATTCTTGAAAATAGATATATATAGGAAAGTGATGCAAGCAATGTATCATAAAGAAAGACCAGTTATTTGAACTAAACATTTCAGATTTTCCATAAAAGAAAGACTTGAAAAGTTGAATAATGGGCAAAAATGTAATAATAAGAACTGAATGGTAGTGTAAAATCAATGCCACAATCATCTTTTGATTCTTATTGGAACAATGCACTTCACACAGTAGAAGTGGGATCTCTCTCTCACACAAACAGTGCTCTCTTACTCAACTCTTCACAGAAAATTAAAATAAGAAAAAGAAATGCTCAAGAAAATTTGCATCTCTCTCTCTTTAAATTTACAAAATTATTCCTTGAATTTCTGCTCTATTTTCATAATCAAAGCCACACTTTAATGATTATGAAGCTTAAAATTTATTAATTAACATTTACTTATGGCCTTGATGCATTAATATTACATTAATGGAGTAGCTAGCACGATCCCACCACAACTGTTTAAGATAGCTATCATCATCATCATCAATTTCCATACCTTGATCCATATATTTTTGATTATTACTCCTTCTTCTTCTTCTTCTCTATGCCTCTATATACACTAAAAAGAAAAACAAAATTTAAAGAAAAAATAAAGATGAAGAAAGGAAGAGAGAAATGAATAATAGACAATTCTTGAACCCTAATAGATATAAGAACCTTTTAAATGAATCACAAAAGAAAAATAAAAACCATAGCTCATCAACACCGTCCATCAATGTTCAACCATCATATGGGGTTTCAGATATGCTTTCTAAATGGGGCCTCCAAACTCCAACACGGCCTCTTCTTCGATCTCTCTGAGTTGATATCTTCTCCGATAATATTTCGGTTAAATATCGATCAGAAATGAGAAGGTTTGTCGTCATTGAAATGGAGTTGCTGAGGTTATTACTGCTAGAGATGTTGATTTGATTGCTACTATTATTATTCTCTCTTCTTTTCCTTCTTGCGCTTGAAGTTCTTGATCGTGGAGGTCTTTTTGACGTGGAGTCCGGAGTAGATGGGACTGGCATGAGAAAATAGATCTTCCCGCGTTGAAGCTCTGCGTCCGGTGGAACTATAACGATTTTAGGAACAACACCGTCGTCGGAGGAGGTCGGAGAAGAGGGTTTTTTCAAAACGTGCTTTGGATGTGCTTTCATTATCTCACTTGCTGTGATTGAGCCGCTAATCTCTTCAACTCTGCCATTAGAGTGTACTATGCGAATCACGTCCAGTGCTCCACATGGTAGAATGCAAGAAATGCAACACCTAATGGTATTCTTCATGGTTATACCTATTTTTGCTTGCTATAATTTACCTTTCCCTCTCTCTATGAGCCTTTCATAGAGAGAGAACAAGAAGGGGAGAGAAAGAGAGTTGAAGAAAGGTAGAAATATACGGAGTGAGAAAAGAAAAAAATTATAAATCAAGAAAAAGAAAAAGGACTTTCTTTTCTTTTCTTTTTTGAAAAAAGAAAAGAAAATGTTTGAGTATGATCAATCAGAATGAGAGAAGTGGAAATCAGTCACTTAAAAAGAACATGGAATATCAAATGATATATATGTATATATTTTGCTTTTTAGGAGGTGGGGGGAGGAGGAATTTTGGTAAGTTGCTTAGGATGAAATTCATGGCACGAATAATTGCACCTCACTCTGTACTTTGGCTTTTGGATCTATCATTTAGGGCCCCCTCTCCCTCTTCCCTTCCCACATAAACTCTAGCAATTGCATCACTGAGTTCTATAATTTTTGGGGTTGGCTCTGAAAGCTCATGGGTTAACACATGTTAGTGTATGATTGGGATAGACAAGTAAGCAAAGACAAGAGCCTGCTATAACTATAAAATGGGGGGTGATCCAAGACCATGTGTTTCAATCATGATTTGACAAGTGTCCACATTCAACTGAATCAGCCACTAACATTAGGTGGAGAGGCTAATTTGGTGGGGTCTTTGAGAAGTGAATTGGGTTTTTGAGAAAAAGAGAAAATCTTCTTTTGAGAGAGGTGAAGTTTTGATCTTTTCAATATCCTCAAGCAAGATCATGTGGGTTGTAACTTTCAATGGAAAGTGAAGTTTGATAGACTTCTTTTACTTCCTTTTTTTTTTCCTCCTCTATTGTGGATTTTAGGTTTTCTGAAGTGCTTTTGCTTTGACTCTAGGGATTCAATTCATTGTATTATTAAACATAGCCTTTTCTTTCTTATTAATTTATTTATTTTAATTCACACATATGCTCAAAAAGAAAAATACTTGAGGCCTCTAATAGTGCTTGATTCTCTTTTCCTTTTGCTTAAAAAAAAAAAAAAAAAGAAATAAAAGAAAAATTCTCCATCTCTTTAAGAAAGATTAGGTAAATGCAATGTCATTTTTCTACTTCTTTTCCATTTGAAGTAGTTAAGAGGTTCTCTCTTGTAAGTAAATCCAAAAAATGATGATAAGTAAGAATTTTTCTTATTCTCATCTCTTATATTATTAATATTATTATAATATGATAGATTTGATGTGCATAGTTTCATATTAATTGACATGTACATAAGAGTAATTGATTTGTGAGCCCACATAGAGATTTGCCACAACAAAACAAGCTAGTTAAAACTGTTTGTGTTCATTTTCTTCTTATTTAATCTTTTTGTAATGTCCCATCCAAAATATGGCCCATCCATTAAATGGCTGAGATGTAGATGTTAGTGGGTAACATGTGAACGATACAAGAGAGGGTCCATTCTCCATAGAAGGAGAGAAGAGGAAGAGGAAGAGGAAGAGGAAGGATAGAAGAAAGCCTTTCCCTCTCTACTCTCTATCTTGCTTTCCATTTCACATAATCTGAAATATTTTCACCTCAACCAAATCTCATTTTCGCACATTTATTTCATACTCATTTTAGACCGTCCAGAATTCCTGATATCTAAATTAAGAATTTTTAGATCATGACTGTATTATAGTAGCAGGTCTCAAGAACCTACACGGTTACTTGTATATTTACTGAAAGCAAAGTTTTCTCAAATTCCATTAATTGTATCAAATGCTAAAACCAGACATTTTCTACCAACTCTAACTAAAACTTGAGCCCACAGAGTTGGCATACGTACCAATATAATAATTTTGAGCTAGTGAATTCCAGGCTCCAGTTACTTCAATGTCAATATCATCAAACATCAAAATTTCTTTATAAAAAAGCAAATTTATAAATAAAAATCAGTAAAGTTCCAAATAAATCCAAACATCATAAATGAGCTTGTTTGGGGAAGGCTCCAAAAATTAGCCAGCTAGCTTAAATTTAACCGTATTCTAATTCTGCGGGATTCTGTCTAAATTCCGGTGTATTATATAAGAGTACAAGAATTCATCAAATCCACAGCAAAAATCCAATTATTGTTCCAACCTCCAAATCCTTCACGGTTTTCTAAAGTTGCATTCAAAGTTTCACAAAAATGTCAAACAAAAATATTTCATATCATCCAATTCTATTTATTGAAAAATGATTTTTTTATTTTAGAAAATATTTTCATTAAATTTAATTAAAAATTTATGAGATACATTTTGTATTATTATATCAATTTATTTTATTTATTTTTATTTTATTTTTTTTGGTTACATAACAAAACCATTAAATTGAAGATATTAAGGTTTTAATGATCTATTATGATAAAATATATTACTAACATTTGGACTCTTCCTGGGCCTTAAAGAACAGCGTGATCATTGACAAAGCCTTGAAGAAAAATTTTCCTGTTAAAATTGAAGCCCATATCACGCTAACTGCTTTTTCTTTTTAGGCCCATTAAAGGCGGATCCGATCCAAGCTTATCTCCAACAACCCACCCGAAAAGCTCTTTCGGTCGATTGTTTCGCTCTTCCCCAAGCTCCAATCGGATAATACAGAGCAACAGAACTGAATCGCCCATCACCAACTCATATCAACCGCCGCAATGCCGGTCTTCAAAACGCCGTTCAACGGCTACTCCGTCAAATTTAGTCCTTTCTACGAATCACGTCTCGCCGTCGCCACCGCCCAAAACTTCGGTATCCTTGGAAACGGCCGCATCCACGTGCTTTCTCTCCCTCCAACCCCTACCCTTCCCCTCTCCGAACTCGTCGCTTTTGACACTGCCGACGGCGTCTACGACATCGCCTGGTCCGAGTCCCATGAATCTCTCTTAGTTGCCGCCGTCGCTGATGGCTCTGTCAAGCTCTTCGATTCCGCTCTTCCTCCGGCGCAAAATCCTGTCCGTTCCCTCCAGGAACACACGCGCGAAGTCCATTCCGTTGACTACAATCCCACGCGCCGTGATTCCTTTATCACTTCCTCATGGGATGATACTATCAAGCTCTGGACTTTGGACCGTCCCGCCAGCATCCGTACATTCAAAGAACATGCGTATTGCGTCTACTCCGCCGCGTGGAACCCTAGGCATACCGATGTTTTTGCCTCTGCTTCCGGTGATTGTACGGTCAGAATTTGGGACGTACGCGAACCAGGGTCAACGATGATAATTCCGGGTCACGATTTCGAAATTTTATCTTGCGATTGGAATAAGTATGATGATTGTTGCGTCGCGACAGCTTCAGTGGACAAAAGCATTAAGGTTTGGGACGTGAGAAGCTACAGAGCGCCAATCACTGTGTTAAATGGGCATGGCTATGCTGTTAGGAAAGTGAAGTTTTCACCGCATCATAGGAATTTGATGGTGTCTTGCTCTTACGATATGACAGTGTGTATGTGGGATTATATGGTGGAGGATGCATTAGTTGGGAGGTACGATCACCACACAGAATTCGCAGTTGGAGTGGATTTGAGTGTTCTTGTTGAGGGATTAATGGCTAGTACTGGCTGGGATGAGCTGGTTTATGTTTGGCAGCATGGGACAGACCCCAGAGCACCTTGATAGGGAAGTGTTTTCTACTTGTTCTTGTTGTGATATTTGCTGTTAGAGTTGCATTTTCTATAGGGAAAAGCATTAAAGTGATGCTTTTTGGGGATAATGGTGACATTTATGATGAATAATTTGCTGAATGATCCCCTGTATGTCATTTTTAATAATGCAAAAGGTTTTATATCTTGATTTGCGCTTTCCTGAGTTCTGGTAATTGTATCTTGGTTAAGCATTTATTCTATTGCGTTGGATGTGATCATATTCCTCAGAGTTTGCTCCGTGCATTTTGTTTGCAAATTAAAGTATATGGTACATGTTTAGATTTGTTTCTGCATAGGTTTTGGGGAATAAAATCATCTTGTCATTTTAAAGAAGCAATTAAGTTTGTCATTTATAATAATTAAGAAAGGAAAACTCTCCAAGCATGGATTTTTTGTAAAAGCGAATGAGTAGGCAAGTTTAATGAGAAGATGGTAGCAGCAATTCTATTGAGATTATCAATGATACAAATAACTACTACCATCTTCCTGAAGCTTGAGCTCTCCATTTCCAAACGAATTGTCTCAATATAAGATGGTGTGACATGCCTCATCAGACTTTCAAATTCTGAATTCACCGGTGGTTCATGTAATTGGGCAAGGATGGTGTGCAAGAGGTTTGGGGTTTATGTTATTTGCAAGGATCATGCTTGTGAACATTTCATTATAGACATGGGAATTCTTATCATGCCTTTGTTTATTGCAGCATCAATAGAGCTTAGGGGAAGATAATTCTTAATGTGGGAGAGTACCTTCTACAGTTACAAGAACTGATGGACATAAAAATGTAATTGCAAAAATTCATGAAAAGAAGTTCAGGAGAACTAATGATAGATGCAAAAACATCAACAGAAAGGATGTAATGCAGTACCAGTACTATAAAATTTTGCAGCTCAACAGAAATTGCAGTTTAAATTTTTTGCTCTGATCAACTGAAATATCGAAGTTAGGTTTATATGTTTGATTATTATAACTCATCCTTTTCCTGTTTATTACATATTATTATTGCTAGAAGTCATGTTTGAAGAAATTCATGGTAAGATGGCTTTTCACGTAATGATCTGGTGTTACCAAAGTCATCTCCTCAAGTTTCATTGTCTTGATTATTGTGGTTTGATTTTACCCAAGCAGGCGCTAGAATGCACTTAATCATTTCGAACATTAATATGCATTTGATCGATTTCGTGTCTATGTAAACATGGAAGCAAGTGAAGTTTATTGATTATCATAAGTTGATTTTAAAAATAAATAAACAAATTTGAATGTTGTGAATTGTTTATTAGCTCTTGCACGAATGAATTCATCACTTGACTGGTTTATGTAAGCACTTAGCAGCAGCATCTTAATGCTTTACATTTTAAGGCAAATGAAAAGGACATCTCTCCACTTGGGAATGGAGAGAAAAGATAACAAAAAGAAAGAGAGAGAGATTGTGGATAATTCTTCTATACGGTGATGTGACGAAATCCTTTTTTTCTGATTTTGGGTCTAATAGGGGAAGCTAGCTGTGTATTTTTTCTTGAATGTGGTAGCTGGGCTTGTTGTGTCATTCAGATCATCTTATGATTTGTTTGTTCCATCTGTTAATCATTTCTCATAGTTCATATTTGGATTTTGGATTGATTTAAAGAGAACTCCTGTGTTTTTACAAGATAAGGTTCCCCATTCTTTTGACATTTTTGATTATTATCCCTTCTTATTGGTTTTTTTTTTTTCTTTTTCTATTGATGTGATATAGATATACTTTTTATTATTTGTTATTCCCTCATAAAATTAGGCAAGCAACTATTGATAAAAACGGAAAAATTATAAATTTCCTCCTAATTTCGAACTCAAAGCTTGATTTACAAGAGCTGTAAATATCAATAGAATTTTTTTTTTTTAAAAAAAAAGATAAACTACTATTTAGTTGGCAAAACTAATTACTTCATCTTTCTATTTTCAGAAATAGATAAATACGTCTTTGTAATTTTTAAAAATTAGAGGAGGCCAAACCAAACAAAACAAATTCTTTACACTATTCATAGGTAAAATTTTTGAATTTCTTTTTGAGTTTAGGCTTCCAGTCCCCCCTCCCTCTGTCCTGGCAAGGCAGAAAATGCTACAATTCAAGTAGACTTATGGGTTGGGCTATCCTTATTGGACTTTGATTTATGTCTGAAAATTATAATTGTGTTAGATCTCCATAATGTACTCTTTTTGAGACACAGTTTTGGAACATTACATGTCCATTGCTTGAAATTTAAGATGGTTTCTTTTTTCCCAACCTGAAAAAAAGAAAAATATGCGACTGATTGCATTGATGGGTATATATCTTCTTCTATTTAATCTGCTTTTTGTGGTGACAGAATATAAAGATTTTAATCGATCCTATCTATTAAAAAGATTATTATTCGTATCAAATTAAAGCCATATCTTATGCAGAATCCAAAGCTTCATAAAGGGTGATTTACCATTCTAAAATTAATGGATTAGGGTTTCAGTTATTTATATCTATAATATAAATTTATATATAAGAAATTAAAAGTATCAGCAACGTACAATTTGATTAGCCAAAGCGAAATATATTTTTAGATAAATTTTATTCACAAAATCAATGATTGAAACGTGAAATTATTAGTGTTATAAAGATTTTATTATCTGTCTAAACGAAAAATATTCATATATTTTAAAATATATATATGATAAAATATGAAGTCTTCCTCAAGAGGATAGACTTCACATCACCACCAACTTTTTTTCCAAAAACAAACATGTCAAAGTACATTATTACTAATTTTTTTCTCTCTAAAGGAACATTCACCATAATTACATACATGGAACCTGCATTATATTCATTCACTTCTCCTCCTTTGATACTTTAATTTTATGGGTCATTTTAGCACTGTCGGCTACCAGAAGAGTACCTTAAACTTAGTGGCTGCGATTTAACGGACGGTTGGAATTGGATATATAAAAGAGAAATGGATAGGGCCAGCGGTTGTCATTTCAGATGGAAACCAAGTACATTTTTCTTCAAAACGGTGTTCAGACCACAAACATTTGTCACCAAGCTTATATCTGTTTAATTTAATGGATAAAATCTCTAAGCAACAAATTAATTTCTCTGACAAAGTTTAGCCCAAGACAGTTGTGAGAAAAGAAAATTCCCAATCCCCTCTTATGGTTGAAGGAACTCATCAAGAATCATGACGTTCATGTACTGTCTGGTTCATTTTAAGACACAGATCTCCGTTATCCACAAATTTATATATATATATATATAGATAATGCCAAAGCAGAAAATGCCATAAAAATGTGGATAATGGATAACAGAATGGTGATGTCAATGTCAAGTTATCTATATAAAACAGTCGTAGTCTTCAATTTTCTTTTAATCTTGTCAATGAATATATGATTTTCTGAATTTTTAAACCATTCCAAACTTGAGTTTTTTTAATTGTTTCTCAGAAATTAATAAAGAAAATTTAATTATTTCTTTAACAACAACAAGATCATTTCAAAAGAATAAAATTTGATGCTAATAACAGTATTATTCAGTGCATAAAATTCCTAACAATAAATTTTGTTAACATTATTACTAACATTTGATAATATAATTAATATACGACCATATTATTAACATATTGTTATAAATAATATATGTATTATTAATAAATTAAAATAATAATGCAGATGATGATATACTTATCACCGAGTAATTAAGGCTTTGTTTCCCGAAAATATCATATAAAAAAATAATATCATTCACAAATAATTAAGGATTTGTTTGGAAAAAAAGTGAGAAAAGAAAAAAAAAATGGAGAAAAACAAAAAGAGAGAGAGAATATAAAAGTGGTAGAACTCTAGCTTAATTGGAAATATGATGTTAAATGAGGAAAAGAACAAGAACCTATCTACAGACAGGAGGCGTAAACATCAAATTAATATGGGTATGTCCCTTTCATCGAAAAAAAAAAACAATAAATAATAATAAAGGATGATAATTTTTTAAAATATCATTTATATTTATTGAATTTTTTCATTCCTCATGATGTTTAGATAATTTTAGATAGAAAAAGTCGTATATTTTCAATAATATATTTTATGGGAGATAAATGGGACAAGTTGCATATTTGCAGGCAAGGGACGAACAAACCAGCTCTACTGGAGTAATCTAAAGAACAATATACCATGATATTTTCTAAAACAAGAAAAAAATAGTGTAAACGAAAATGTCAAAAGAAAATAAAAAGAAATAATAAAGGAGGAGTGGATGATGATCAACACGAGCACCGTTTAGGGCAAGTAGAAACCCACCAACTACTTGCATCTCACACCAATGCCATACTACTGTTTAGTCTCCTATTATGTCTTTATCTCCAACCCTACATGTCTTCTCCTTCCTCTTCTTCCCACTGGCTCTCATACTCTAAAAGCCCCTATAATTATCTTCTTCCTTGCAGGTCTTCTCCCTCTTTTCCCTTATTCTTTAAGTCGAGCTAATCGTAACTTTATCTTCATCCTCACAATTGCAATTCATCTGCATGAGACCCTCTTTCTCTCTCTTCAGGCTTCCACCCAGTTTATCAGGATTCTCTTTCTTTTATGTATGTCTTCGTTCTTGAATCTTCTGAACCAGGTTTAGTTAATATCCTTTGTATTTGTTATTTTCATTTTCAGACCACATAAATACTGCCTTTACTCTCTCCTACAAGTTTCCAATTTGTTTTTTTGAATCTTATCTCTAAACCTTTCGGGTTTTTTACATAATATAACATATGTATTTGTCCACATAAGGGTTTTACCTATATGTTAGTCATAGTCTTTAGGTCACGTTTAAAATGGCTAGAACCCCAACCAATGTTCATTTTCATGATATCCCGGATGCAATTCTTTTTAATATATTCTCTTTGATCCTTGACACTCGTTCTCGTAATTCAATGTCTCTTGTTTGTGTCAAATGGCATTTGATAGAACGCTTAACTCGCACTTCTCTTACTCTGCGAGGCAATTTGCGTGACCTCTTTCTACTACCAACTTGTTTTCGATCTGTTACAAATCTTGACCTCTCTTTGCTTTCTCCATGGGGTCATCCTATTTTTGATTCTTCTCCAGATCCTCTTCTTATTGCTCAGCTTATTCGGAGGGCTTTTCCTTGTGTTGTTTCTCTTACTGTTTACGCAAGAAATCCTTTAACTCTTCAACTTCTAGCTCCTCAATGGCCTGCTTTGACCAATGTCAAACTAGTTCGTTGGCATACGCGACCACCTGCGCCTCCTGGTTCTGATTTTGTTTCATTATTTGAAAATAACCATTCACTCGCTTCTCTTGATCTCTCTCATTTTTACTGCTGGACTCAAGATTTACCACCAGCTCTTGAAGCATACCCTTCTACTTCTGTATCTTTGACGCATCTTAATATTCTTACTGCTGAGGGATTTAAATCCCATGAGCTTCTTGCCATTTCTAAAGCTTGTCCAAATTTAAGCAAATTGCTCACGACTTGTATATTTGATCACAGATTCATTGGTTTTATTGGAGATGAAACCCTTCTTTCTCTTGCTTCCAATTGTCCTCGTCTTTCTCTGCTTCACCTTATTGACTCAAGTTCTCTATCTGATACTAGAGGTGACCCGGATGATGAAGGATATACTTTTGAGGATGCGAGAATCAACCATACTGCGCTCACAGACATGTTTGCTGGATTGCCATTGCTTGAAGAATTAGTTCTTGATGTTTGTCATAATGTTAGAGAAACTTGGCCAGCATTGGAAATGCTTAATTCCAAATGTCTAAGGCTTAAATCGTTAAAATTAGGGCAATTTCATGGGATCTGTAGAGAAATATTAGATGCTCGACCAGAAGGGATTGCCGCTTGTGGCAGATTGGAATCATTATCAATCAAGAATTCAGCTGATTTGACTGATTCTAGTCTTATAGCAATCTCTTTTGGCTGCCCAAGACTCTCCAAGTTCGAAATTCAAGGTTGCAAGAAAATAACCGAAATGGGCATCAATAAACTGGCTTCCATTCTTCAAAAAACTTTAGTTCATGTGAAAATATCTTGCTGTAAGCTTCTCAATACTGTCTGCTCACTACGGGCTCTGGAACCAATTCAAGACAAGATTCAAAGACTACATATAGATTGTGTCTGGGAAAATGTTGCAAACAGTACTGGGGCTAGCAGTTCAAGTAAATATATTGGAATCAAACCAGAAAAGAGAACTGGCAGTTGGGAAGAAACAAGATTATCATCAAGAAAGAAAAGCAAGAAATGCAATGGCAATGACTACTCCCCCAGTTCATGGGCAAGACTAGAATTTCTTTCCATTTGGATCGCCGTAGGTGAATTACTAACACCGTTGACATCGTCAGGATTGGAGAATTGTCCTGTCTTAAAAGAAATTAAAATAAAAGTGGAAGGTGATTGCAGGCTTAGGCCAAAGCCTGAAAATGATGCATTTGGGTTAAGCTCACTTGCTTGCTATCCTCGGCTTTCGAAAATGAATCTAGATTGTGGATCTGCAATAGGCTTTGCTCTTACTGCTCCTTCAGGATTAGCAGATTTAAGTCCTTGGGAGAGGTTTTACTTAAAAGGGATTGGTAATTTGAATCTTACAGAACTTGATTATTGGCCTCCACAGGATACAGATGTTAATCAAAGAAGCTTAACTCTCCCTGCAGCAGGATTGTTAGCTCAATGTGAGAGGTTAAGAAAGTTATTCATCCATGGCACCGCTAACGAACATTTTATGATGTTTCTGTTGAAAATTCCTACTCTTAGAGATGTTCAGTTTAGAGAAGATTACTACCCAGCACCTGAGAATGATACATACACCGAAATGAGAATAGACTCTTGTTCTCGATTAGAAGACGCCTTAAACAGGCGCAGAGTTCCTGACTAATAGTTACACACAATTAAGTAGTTTCTGATAAACCTGAAGCTGTTAATTTCTTTGACTCGCTTATGTCTGTTTTTTGTTGCTTTGTTTGAAGATTGGACCGGATTGTAAATACCATAAATTTATGTTACGTGTCAAGAAATAATAATAATAATAATAAACTTCTCAAGTGACGAGCCGTCAACAAAAGCAGTCGATTTTGTCGGTTCTTTCGTTGGTTTCTATCCATTGGGTTTTTCTGATTTATTTTTAGTCACAAAATAGATATTAATAATAAATTTAATATCCAAAAATGTCCTATAACTTTAAAAAGCCAAAATAAAAAAAATATATATATAATAATTTTGTGAACGAAGATATCTCAATCGAATAAAAAAGTCCTTATTGGTGATGTCAAAGTGTAATCACCAGTACAATTTCCAGTGGGAGCAGTGGCGGGCGGTGCCACATAGAAGCTAGACCCCACTCGAAATATTGTTCTCTTTTATATGTATGTATTGACAATTTTCACCCTATTAGACTTAACAATTTAATCCTATTAATTCTCACAATTTGACTTTACTAAATTATTTTCACTTCTTAATTTTCAGAAATCATCTTTTATAATAAAAAAAATATATCTTTAAAGCATGTGAATAAATAGAAAAGAAAAGCCTTTAAAGTCAAAAAAGCTAATAGCTAAATCAAAAATGATTTTTAATTTTATATTTTCAAGGTATAGTTATTAATAATAAAGAAAATCTCTATTATTTTTTTGAAATTATTTATGTATATTTTTTTAAATAAAATTGACCACTCATTTCATTCTCTAACTCCACCGCTGAGTGCCAAGATACAATTTGCACTGACGAAACGCCAAAATGGCAGTTTATATGTATAGATGAGGCCTTTCTAACACCAGAAGCAATTAAATAAAATATTACAAAACTAAGGATTGGTGTAGTCACAGAAAATGGTTTTTTGTTTCTATTTTTTATTTTCTAAGAAAATAATTTTTTTGGAAAATGAAAACTAGAAAATACAAAATGAAATATATATTCATTTAATAATAATAATAAATTATATTTTAATTTAATTTTATAAACATTATTCATAATTTTTATAATACAAAATAAATTTAAAAGTTTTTATATAAAAGTTTTTGAATTTTTATTATTGATTATTTATAATTATGATTATGATTTAAGTCAATTAATATAATTATAATTTAAGTCAAATCAGTTTGTCTTCTTAGTATAATTGAGATTTATGAGCTCGAGTTTTTTTTAAATCGCAATAGTTTTCATTAATTTAATAAGTCGAAAGAAAGGTTATACTTGCTGTATAGTCTATGTATGTTATTTCGGCAGTTAGAACTCTTAACGTTAATGTGTTAATGTTAATTATGGTTTAGTTAATGTTAATGTGTCTCTTTCCTTAATTAATTTGTTTGTTTCGATTTGTTGCCATAAAAAGCCTGTTATTATTAGAACGCTAGGCCCAAATTGTATTTGATTGGGCCAGCCTTACACTCTCCCTAGGGAAATCCATATCGAAGCCCACCAGCCCAACTGGTGGAAGCAAAGAAAAATTTTTTCTGCCTTGGAATTTTCGCAATAATAAATAACATAAATACAAGAAACACAAATAATAATATGGGAAAAACATTGCGCATGTAAAATGCTGCTCAATGCATTCAATAAATTTATATAATATTCTTCTAAAAAAATTTTAATCTGATTTTTTATTTCCTCATTTATAATTATTTAATTAACACGTAAATAATTATAAAATTAATTTCAATTTACATTCAGAATGATATTCAATCTTTAAAATAAAAAAAAAAATCATCAATTTAGCTTAAATCTAAAAGTTTTTATATAAAATGGGATACAATAATTATGGATCTTTGCAAAAACGTGTTTGAGCATCTAATTGGCACCAAATTATTAATTTAATAATTTGTTCACATTTTACATTTGGTAACCAAATAGAAAATGTAGTTGCCTTGGTTTGGTTTAGGAGTTATTAATATTGGGGGAAAAAAAAAAAAAAACAGACTGGCGATGTTTAAAAACTCAATTTGGCAAAAAGTGAATTGTACCTAACAGTTCACTGCAAGATAGGACTAGTAGATTGTTAAACTTATGCAAAAATATCTCTACTACGTCACATTCATTTATTTATATTTTTAGATTAATCAACTAACAAAATCAATTATATTTTATTTAAAGTAGGGTGAGCAGGTCAGGGTTGAAGAAGATGTCCCACACCACCATTTGTTCCTTTTTAATATAACATTTTACAATAATTAAACCAAAGCTGCAACTTCATCTCATAAGTTTATTAATAATTATTTATTATTTCTTAGCCCTTAAGAAATTATTTATTTACTTGATAACTGTAGGCCCTAATTTTTCATATCCAAACTTATTTATTCCCTTCGTATGTGTTGCAAAAAAAAATTTTGGCAAGATTTGCATTTTACACCTACTGCAAAATATGTTATTCGCAGTTAAGATATTCATATAAATATAAAAATATATATAAATATATTCATTATATATCTTATTTTTATAAAAAAAAGGTGCGAAATACTCAAAAAATGCTATAAAATAAAAAATTATCCAAAATCAGCTAAATAACGTGCTAAATTATATTTTTATAAAAAAAAAAAAGAAAAGAAAAAAGAAGGCGGATAAGATTAAAGCCATACCTTATCCAAAATTGGGCCTCAGCCCAATAATACATCATGGCACCAGTTTCACATTAGATTTGACCGTTAGATACTATTTGCCTCTCAAGCTCTACTCCGAAGTCAACGTGTCCGAAACTCTGAATTGCAGACAAACGACACCAAACACCAAACTAATTTGGTTATCTTAACTATAAAATATTTTGACCTATGGGTGTATAATATATATTAAATTTTAAAACCAAATCCCTCAACTTCATAGTTACCAAATCACCCCTCCAATCCTCCCAATCATTTTCTAAAGTCGATCCTGTTTCTGTCAATTAAATACAAAAATCACATTTCTACCTTTCCTTCAAAAATTTTTTTTCTTTTTTAAATTTGGGGGGAGAAATTTTTTTTTTTTTTTTAAATGGAGGATATGTTGCTCTGACTGGTAGGCCGGGAGTAAGACCATGTTTCGAAACTTATAAACACTATAATGACAGATCAAAACCCAATCGGCCACTGCTTAGTGATAAAGAGAAAAATGAGTTTCCAAAAGTTGGGATTAGCAATCGTTTTTCTGGTTTTATCTTTAGTGCCACTAACCTGCTTCTCTTTTAGCCTCCCAAGCGAGTACTCTATAGTTGGAAACGACCTTCATGAGCTGCTTTCTCACGAACGGGTGATCGAGCTGTTTCAACAATGGAAACTGGAGCACAAAAAGATTTACAAGCACGCAGAAGAGGCAGAAAAGAGGCTCGAAAATTTTCGAAGGAATTTAAAGTATGTGATAGAGAAGAATGCGAAGAATGCAGAGATGGGTACAGGATTTAAAGTTGGATTGAACAAATTTGCAGATTTGAGTAATGAGGAGTTTAAGCAAACGTATCTGTCGAAAGTGAAAAAACCTATCAGTAAAAAGAAAAATACAATGATGACTACCGGACAGAGAAATTTGCAGGCTTGTGAGGCGCCTTCTAGCTTGGATTGGAGGAAGAAGGGAGTTGTCACTCCAATAAAGAACCAAGGAAATTGTGGTAATTTTCTATAATTTCTCCCTCTTATATATATTACATATGTACATATATGCATACTTGATGTATATGTGAAGGCATAAGACACCATAAATGATATGACAGGTTTTAGATAACTTAAAATCTAAAGTAAAAAGTACTTTGATGCTAAAGAGAATAAAAAAAAACGTAAATATATTCATAGGTATAGGTTGAAGTGATACAACATACTTGAGTTTAACATATGATTTAATCGTTCATAAAAAATAATTGAAAGAAAAGAAAAAAAGGCAGATGCCCTTTTATTATTCATAAACTGGCTTTCCTGTTATTATTCACTTACCAAGACGTAATCCTAGTTAACATTAGGATAATAATGTGGGAAATTATCTTCATTTTGGTGTACTTCAACTAGATTGATATTTGTTTACAGGAAGTTGTTGGTCATTCTCTGTAACTGGCGCCATAGAAGGAATAAACGCCATAGTTACTGGTGACCTAATTAGCCTTTCAGAACAAGAACTTGTAGATTGTGATACCACCAATTTCGGATGTGATGGAGGCTATATGGACTACGGTTTTGAATGGGTTATTAACAACGGTGGGATTGACACAGAAGCGAATTATCCATATACTGGTGTAAATGGGACCTGCAATATCACCAAGGTTTCTTTCTTATCTAAAATCTTATTTACCCATATACCCAATGCGAACATGATTTAAAACCTTAATCTGTTGTGTGTCTCATTAATGATCTTTTTGTTTGATCAGGAGGAAATGAAAATTGTTACCGTTGATGGGTACGAGGATGTAGCTAAATCAGACAGTGCCCTGTTCTGTGCTACAGCTCAGCAACCTGTTTCTGTGGGTATGGATGGTTCTGCAGAAGATTTTCAATTGTATACAAGTGTAAGTCTTTTTGTTCGTTTCATGAGTACAATTAAAAAGATAATTACTATAGAAGTGTTTGATAAAATGGAAATGATGTGATATGATCAGGGGATTTATGATGGTAATTGCTCCAGTAATCCAGACGACATTGATCATGCCGTTTTGATCATTGGGTATGGATCTGAAGGTGATGAAGATTATTGGATAGTGAAAAATTCGTGGGGTACTGACTGGGGTATCGATGGATACTTTTATTTAAGAAGGAATACTGATTTAACATATGGCGTTTGTGCTGTTAATGCAATGGCTTCTTATCCTACTAAACAATCCTCTGCTCCATCTCCAACAAGTCCTCCTTCACCACTATCACCTCCTCCACCACCATCACTACCACCACCACCTCCTCCGACACCAGTGCCTCCACCTCCGACACCAGTGCCTCCACCTCCTCCTCCTTCACCAAGTGAATGTGGAGATTTCTCTTACTGTCCAAGCGGTGAAACATGTTGTTGCTTTCTTGAAATCTTTGATATCTGTTGGGCATATAGTTGCTGTCCTTTTGAGAATGCTGTATGCTGCCCTGATTCATTAGATTGCTGCCCTAGTGATTACCCTATTTGTGATGTTGTGGAAGGCCTCTGCCTCCAGGTAAGAATCGTCAATTTAATACTCCCCATTTCACATATATAAGTCGGTTTAGAGTAATTTTATTGTCTGTAAATATAAGTAGTTTTTAAATATTGTCAATTCAAACAGTAGCATTAAATACACCTTAGTTAATTGTTTATTGAAATTGTGTAACAGAACCCAGGAGATTACTTGGGAGTTGCTTCCAGGAAGCGGCATATGGCTAAGCACAAGCTTCCCTGGAGTAAAAAAGAGCAAAGCAAACGACAGACTTACCAACCTCTCGTGTGGAAGAGGAACCCTTTCGCTGCAATTCGCTGAAAAATAATGTGATTTTCTTATTAATTTAAAGTTGTTTCATTGCAACTTTTTGAATGATCCTATTACAAAAAAAACTTATGTTTTATAAATATTATTAGGGGAAAATTTGCAATGTGTGTTCCATTTGGATTATGGTTTTTTGATTTTGAATTAAAGATTGGTTTCCCTTATTATATATGTCTTGCAGCTTTTTGCAAGCCAAAAATTCAGTATTGTTGTCAAGGCCTTGTAATAAACCTTACTAAATGGGTTTTTAATTAAAATAAACAAATCATTTTTCCATTTGAAATTTACAATCTCATGTAGAGGTTTTGTATATGAAAAGCATGCAGTTGATCAAAACAACAAATGATATTAAAGTATTGTATTCATCAAATAAGTTTAGGCATTGTTTTTACTTTAAAAAATCACTATGATGCCTTTAATTTTTACTTTGATCTTATATTGTCAAGCCTCTCTTTATAAAAGTTAAAAACCGTTATAATTGTTTCTTGAAAAAGAGGAATAAAAATGTTTATCAAGATATAATTTAAGAATCCAAATTTATATTATCATACTTTAAATGATTAAATTTAAAAAAATCATTATAGTTTTTTCATTTTCAATTGGGAATAAAAGTTAATTCAAAAGAAATATCCAACATAAGCTCAAAGTAAAAACTAGGAGCATCATAGTTATTTCTCAAAAATAAATGTACAATATTATTAATTAATAGATAAGTTAGGTATCTTGATTTATTTTACCCTTAAAAAAACTGAATATAAACGAAGATCAAGATTAATGTGCTTTTACAAGAAATATAATATTAAAGAAAATGACTGATGTTTATGTCTGGCACTGTACTAATTTGCAGGCCAATACTTTTTATTGGCGACTGTCCGTGGGATACTTTATTTCCAAATTCTATTTGGCTCCTGTGAAAACAAACAAATAAGTTTGTTTTTCATCTGAATAGGGCCAAGGTATTTACTTCGAAACCATTCTTGGTTGGTAAGGCCTTGGAGATTCGACAAGCTTGGGATTCTCTTGGACTTAACAAGTCAGATGGTGTGAAGTTATGCATGCGTTTCATCTCTTGCAGCCTTGTGTTGGAGTTTTCAGAAGTGATAATGCATTAGAAGCTGAATTTTGGGGTGTTTACTATGCTCTCAAAATCGCTTGGGATCAAGAATGGAGGCAGCTAATTGTGTAAACTGACTGTCAGGCTGTAGTGGACAGCATTTCTGGTCAGGGTCCATGCTCATTTCGACTTGCTAATCTGATACATACATGTAAAACTCTGCTTGTCTTTGGAATGACAGGTGAAGGTGGTGAAGGTGTATAGAGAAGCCAATGTTGTGGCAGACTTGTTGGCTAACGAAGCTTATGCAGGCTCAATGGGACTGCGATTCTTGGAATCTCCTTCCCGTGAAGCATTCTTGATGCTGATAGAGCTGGTGGGGTTTCGCCACGAGTGATTTCGTAACTGAGTTTAATACTTTCCAATGTATTTAAAAAAAAAAAAAAAAAAAAAAAAAACAGCATTTCTGGTCAGGGTGCCCATGCCTCATCTTTACGGCATTGCTTATCTGAATACATACTAGTAACTCTGACCCTTGTCCTTGTTGGAATGACTTTAGGTGAAGGTGGTGATAGGTGTATAGAGAAGCCAATGTTGTGGCAGACTTGTTGGCTAACGAAGCTTATGCAGGCTCAATGGGACTGCGATTCTTGGAATCTACCTTTCCCGTGAAAGCATTCTTGATGCTGATATAGAGCTTGGGTGGGTTTCGCCACGTTTAGATGATTTCGTAACTGAGTTTTAATACTTTCCAAATGTATTTTAACAAAAAAAAAAAAAAAGAAAGAAATGGGGCAAGAATGTAAAGTTGCCAAAAGGTGTGGTTTAAAAAAAAAAAAAAAAAAGAAAAGAAATGGGGCAAGATGTAGTTGCAAAGGTGTGAGAGGCAGCCTAACAATGAAATATAAAGGCCCAATAGGGTGGGAAGAGTTTTAAATTTTGGATGTATGATATCATACGTGATTGAATTGTGAATTGTTAGGTCAATGTCGTCCTTCATTGCCCACCATTTGTACCATTCAGGAATTTTCTTGGAGCTGGACGGCAGTGGAGGGCGGGCCCAGCTCAAACTTTCTGCTACAAAATGCATGTTCCGGGACAAATAAAGCTATATGTGAATTTCAAAATTATGTAAAATTTATTTATAAATTTATAATTTATTTATATTATATAAATAAAAACATCTTTATAATTCATAGTAATTTTGGATTGGGAAACCAATAGACATTTATTAAGGGATAAGGTAAAATGCCCTTTAATCTCAATAGCCAATAGGGTCCAAGACGTACTTATATTTGATGGTGGCTTTCCTTTGAGAGGGTGACGGATGGGGTGGTGGGCTCTTATGCATCCCAATCCCATGGCGTGTTCAATGGGCAAAAGCTTTTTCTCTCTTCTTTTATACAAAAAGAAATATAAAGACTACTTCAGTAGATTTCACAACCCACCCAAAACATAACAACCCACTTGTTCCTTTTACTAAAGTTTCAAACCTTTGACCACCACTTCCTTAGATGAAATGGGTATGGCAACGGTTTTTCAATTTTAAATTTATTGTTTTTCAATAAAATACAGCGTAAATTATTTTTTTAATAATCCATTTCAGATAGAATATCATAAAAATCAGACTCAATTGATTAAAATAACATTATAAATTAAACAATAATGGTAACTCTCGTCTTTACTCACAAAATTAGTAAAAACTATTATAATTGAGATGATTCAAATTTGAGACATTTCATTTTTTATATAAATTGAAAAATTAAACCGATGGGACTTTATTAGCTAACCAATACATTACTAGTGATGAAGCATAACATAGTATTAATTATTCTTTATTAATCCATTTAGCAAAATCAATAATGGCAGACCATAGAATCTATAGAGCCAATCTTTCGTATAAATAAAATATTCCTGAATAATTTTTAATATTGCTATTTTGCGCAACTCAAGGGAAATTAGCACCAAATTACTGGAACAAAAAGACCAAATTTGCAAACATTCACATGCTTTTTAAAGTTACGTACAAGTTTGGACACGAGTAGGGCCCATGTGTTCTATAATCAGGAAAATTAGTTAAGAATATTGGAAAATTATGCTTATTTTTAAAAATAATAAAAAAAAAGAAATATTAAACACTCAACTATTGTTTATATCGTTTTGTTTTCTTATTTCCTCCATTTTTTCATTCTTTGAAATCAATGATTTTTCTAAGATATTTATTTTCAAATTTTTTTAAAATCTCCGTTACCTTTCTTTCCATCTCTGAAACGGATTTAAATGGTAGTGCCTAATTATGTGATAAACGGTTAAGATGGTGCGTAGACTCTGAAAAGGGTAATCGGTCATTAAAAAGAGGTGGGTGTCGTTGATTAATTTTTTGATTTGGGCTGTTTGAGGCCGCTGCCTTAACAACCCTCGCTTTTCAACTGCTTGCTCGTGACATTTGACAAATGACAATACACCATCGCTCTTTTTCCTTCATTAATTACTTTCCCAATTTAACGTGGAATTTTTTATTTTTATTTGAAAAAATTCAGGCTAATTATTTTTAATCACTCGAAATCTAAGATTTACATAATTACCCTCAGAATATGCCACTTTAATTAAAGTTCAAACTTGAAACTTCTTTTTTTTTTTTTTTATAATACTAAATTTACTTATTACAAATCAACTATCAGTAATTAATAATAATAATAATAATAATAATAATAATAATAATAATAATTCTATAGCAAATTAGTTGAATGAGACAATTGCTTTAATTATTGATCTAATTTCATAAGAATAAAAATTATTTTAAGATGAATTTTAATAATAACTTAGATAATTGTTTTACTTGATAAAAAATGAATTATGATGTATTTCATAATTTTAATAGTAGTTATTTAATTATTTTGATCATTTCCTAATTTATTAGAAATTAAATGGGATAAAATGAGAGAGTTGTAGTATGTTAGATGTAGACTAGAATTAATTAATAGTTGATGGGATAAAAATAAAGATTAAAAAATCAATATCAATTAGGTATGATATAGTTGAATTTCTTTATGAAAAATAGAAGGTATTGAGTTTTTTTTTTTTTTTAAAAAAAAAAGAAGAGTTCGGATCTTTTCGACTATAATAATTTTCACCTATTTGGGAGGGACTACTCCGTTATGCCGTAATATTATTTCAGTCTATTGAATATATAGAAGAATAAAAAAAATTCAAAAAACTGAATTTTGAATTAAATCGAACATTTAATAAAATTTATTAGCCAAATTATGCTTTTGTCCAAATAGAAATAAAAATCGCGCGTGCATAGAAACCAATACCGGAAAGCAAAAGCGTAGCCAAAGAGGTAGCAATCCCTGTCTCTGTTTCTTTCTCTCCATGAATACCTTACCCTGTCTCTCTCTCTGATCTTTCTACGCAGAAATTGTAAAAGCATGCTAAGCTCTCTCTCTCTCTCTCTCTTATCACTTTCCTTTGTTTTCACTCATTCCCAAAATTCACGGCATTATTTTAGGTCCCCATTAAGCAGTAACGCCAACCTCACTTCACTCTCTTTTCATTAACTCACTCATCGGTATGTCTTTTTTTCTTTCTTCTTCATCTTTCAGTTTCATTCAGTGAGTGATAATTTTGACGAGACGATACATTTTTCTCCAATTGCTTTCTTTCTGTTCAGATCATTCAAGGTACGTACATCTTCAATTCAGCTTAATTCTACTGTTATTTTCTTTTCTTTTTTTCCCTATAAAGGTAGATTGGTATTTCAATAAGCTAGAGTCGGTTAGCTAGTTCTTCGTCGAAGATTTGAGTATGGATCATACTGTTTGTGTTAAAGAGTTAGCTCTAGAAGTTAATGAGCTTATTTTTTCTTGATCAGAATATATCCTTTTTCTTGACAATTTCACTCTGGTAAACTAGATAAAACTTCCTGTTCATACAATAAATCCCATTTTGATCTAATCATAATAGTACTGCAAATGTTGTTGTTTGGCTAATTTGATAAGCTTAATTAGATTTCAGCTCCGCTTGGCTTCTGCTTGAAAAATCAAAATAAAGAAAGGACAGAAAATTTCAGTTTTCAATTTTAATTTTTTCTGATCTTCCAGATTCCTGAACAGTTAGTTGAATTAGGTTAATTCTTTTCACAGGTCCCAATATTTCTTTCTTTCATTTTTTTGCTTTTAATTTTATGTATGGCATCTGACAGAGCATAAATGTTTTCATGATTCCTTCTGATTCGCTTGAGAAAACAATAAATGTTATTGCTTTTCAAGTGTTATTAAACGGTCACTTGCTGTTTGGAATATGCACAAATCATTTCTCATCCATCCCCAATTTTTCGTTGTAGTAACATTTTTTCTGCTTATTTTTTTTAGATTTAATTTTTGGAGGGACTCGCCATTAATATAGGCTATTATGTGCAATTGGTGAACTTTGGATTTGCTTAATTATTTGTGAAAGTAATGATGGAGGAGAGGAAATTAAATTTCAATGCGCCACTTATGTCAGTGAGGCGATCATCTACTGCAACAAAACCTTCAAATGTAACAAAAGGGAAGAAATTTGAGAATGCCCAGCTCGTTAAACGTAATACCCTCCCTTCTTATAAGTCAGATTTCAATTTGGATCAAGTAACAGAACCAGTTGCAGTTCCTTTTCATTGGGAACAGATCCCTGGTAGACGCAAGGATGGTAGTAAGCCTGATCCTCGAGGTTGCGAGGAGGCTTCTGTGACTCCAAGGTTTACTCCTCGAAGAGCATTGGATGTTGTAAAACACATTGAGGATAAGAAACCAGAAGATCAAGTTGCGTTTAGGCCTCAAATTCAATCTAATTCATTCAATGATATTGCGAATGGATTGGATTGCTCAAAGGAAGGAGTGAATGAGAAATCTGATTTCAATTCAGAAAATGATGATGACGATGATCTTTACTCTGATGCACGTGACACGCTGTCTGGAATGGATTCTTTCTCTGTTGACTGTAGTGTAAGTGGTGTGAGTGGCTTTGATAGTCTGGCTGTGAAGCCGTCAGGAACCTTCAATGCTGATCCACAAACCCGAGATTTCATGATGAGTCGCTTCTTACCTGCCGCCAAGGCAATGACTCTGGAGGCACCTCAATATGCTTCAAGAAAGCAACCTGTATCAGGTGAACAACCTAGGCAGATAGTGCAGGTTGTTCAACGAGATAGGACACCTCCTGTTAATCGAAAAGAATCTTTTAATGTTCCAAGTTATCACCAGGATTTAGTAGATGAAGAAAGTGAAGATGAATGTGATCAGTATGTCAATTATGGAAAAATAATGACTAAAGGTTGTGGTCTGCTTCCTCTGTTATGCGTAAAGAATTCTTTGCGGCTCGTAAATCCTGTTCCTGGGATGAAAGTTAGGAACCAATCTCCAATGTCTGCTGCCCGCGACATTAAGAGAATGACTAAATCTGTTTACTCCAGATCACAGAGTCCAACCATAAATAAGGTAACAATTGAATGGCTTCCCTATTTATTTGTCTCATTTTGAGTGTTAAATTTTATTGCTACAAATTGGAAGTTGTTTTGCAATTATGGCAAGTGCTTACACTTTTGGGATTACTTTTTTCCAGCCTGCCAAGGATCCTGTTCATAAAAAAGAACCAGACAATGAAGTTCAATCCCCTAGGCTAGTAGGGGTTGATAACAAGCTGACTGGTGGATCTAATCGGTTCACTTATGCAAGAGACAGACAAATGATAAGTAGGACATCTCCTTTTAGGCGTTCAGGGGCCATCTCTCCTTACCGCAATGAAGCACCTCAATCTCCCTTCCCTATAGGGGGATTCCTGGGAGTTCCTAAAGACCTTGAAAATTTCAAGGCCAATAAGTTGAATTTGTATGGTAAATGTTATAGTAAATCACAGGAACTAGTACCTTATCATGGCCTTAGACATGGATCTCGCCCGCTGAGCCCCACCACTGAGAAGACACTGTATGTAGATACTGTAAATGTGGCAGGATTATTGTGTTCAAATGCTGGTTCCTCTGATATCAAGAAGGGTGGAATGGGGCCTGCAGAGAAGGATATTAAGTCTTTGTTAAGTAGCAGAGAAATTCAAGAAACCTATACTATAGAATCCACTTCTAAAGATGTGACATCCCTGAATTTTCCAGAACAAAAATCTGGTGATGCTGATTTATCTCTTCTCTCAGACATGTCAACTCACAGAGATCAATGGGACACAGGAGAGGACTTGTCACAGGAATCATTGGCATTGGTATGTGTAAGTACAACCACAGAAGGAAATCTAAATATTGAGAATGATCAGATTTCAAACATGGACATAGGAAATGCAAAAACTGGTTTTGCTCAGTGTTCTCTTCCTCCATCTCTACCCAAAACTCCTTCTGAGTCTTGGCTTTCGCGTACCCTGCCTACTGTTTCCTCTCAAAATCCTTCTTCACATTTATACCGCGGCACCAATTTTCGGAGTAAGCGGCAGGATTCTAAGACAACTTCTACTAGTACCAAATGGGAAAACATTGTGAAATCATCGTACTTGCATAATGATCACGTACGCTATTCTGAGGTAATGTCATCGCAAGCTTAATTATCTCCACAGTTTCCACTTTGTTCAGATATATAAAAACTGACCTTGTTTGAAAAAAATTTTGACAGGAATTATTTCCTCATGCTTCTCAGCAATTTTAAAGTTAAAGATTTGAAAGCCTTTTCTACATTCTCCAAGCATCATTGTTTAGTTTGAAGGTCACGCAGCCCCCTTTTTTTGGTGGGGATGATCATTCTACCACTCAATTACTTCTGTAACTGACAGGTGGAGAATCAATTTGCATTGCCTACCTACTTGCACTGGTATAAACCCGAGGCGATCAATGGGAATATAGCATCTTGATCTGGTATTTCCCTGATATTTGTGTTTTGCAGGAATCAGTATGACCCATTTTAGCCATGATCAGATACACCTTGATCCGATGGCATTCTGTGCCATTGCAGAATTAAGAAAATATATCGTAGATTAGATAACCCGGTGCTCGTACCCTTACAAAGCAGTTCAGGAAAATTAAATTTTGTTTGAGTTGGCATGTGGGTATTTTAAATAAGCATCTCTGTTAGTAACTGGAGTTTATGGCGTTGTTATGTAAATGTGCCTTGGTGAGCGGCTTGTATTTGTGTAGATAAATTATTTGTCTTATTTAAAGAATTATTTGTCCATCCCACGATTTTATGTGCTACTATCTTTTTACTGATGCATAGGAGAAAAAGAGGTAACTTCTCCTTGCTCCAAAGAAGGAATTTTGCGGAAAGGACTTTACCATAATTTTATGTTTATGTTAATGTTATTCTGATGACTGGTTTGCAGGGTAATTTAATTATTTTTAATTGAATAATTTTATCTAAATAATATTAAATTATTTAATTAAAAATAATAATATGTATTTATAAAATTATAATGCGTTTGTCACTATTTTGAAAATGTTAAAATTCGTTTTCTTTTGAAATAACTTAATATTTTTAACTAGTTTTAAATATTTCTTCCAAAAAAAAAAAAAAAACAGTTTTAAATATTGCAATCAAACAATATAAAATAAGTTTTTTAAAAAATATTTTCCATGGGAGAAATGTCTTTCAAAAATAACTTATTTCCGAAAAAAAAGGGGTCATACTGTAATTAATTTTAATTAGTGATGATTGGTTTGGAGGGTAATTTAATTTGATGTAATGTACTCCGTTGTCAATGAACAACAGTCCTTTATAAACGACAGGGTGAAGCGTTCTTTATTGTAAGCGATTAACAGTAGATGGAAAACTGAACGACATCCCGCAAGAGTCAGACGACAAGAGTAAAAACGCAATAAATTAAGTAGAAGAAAGAATCGAACAAAAACTTTTACGTTTTAATTCCTAAAATACCCTTTACCCTTTGTCTCCAAGCCATCATCTCCACTCCCTCCATCTTCGTCTACTCTGTGTCCCCAATGCAAACCATGAGGTAAAACGGGTTTATATTAGTTCTACCGGCAAGTAAGGAATAATAACATCAACTGAAACGACTTCATATCGTTAACGACCAATAATGCTACTGTAAAACTCGACTGGAAGAGTAAATTGGTCTTTAATTATAATTAACCAATAATCCGTCAGCCGTTGCACGTAATGTGCAATTTTATCATATTATTTTTAAAAATTCAACTAAATTTTTTGTGTTTTCATCGTTGCATTCCAAAGTCTTAAATAAAAATTTTAATTTATATGAATTTTAATTGTTTTTATTTATTAATTAAAGATTATACTTTTCTATATCTCATTTATGGGACCACCCTACTCATACCCGATGTACCAAACTACTCATGCCCAATCTAAGTGACCAAAATAAGTATTTCTGACAATTCACTTAAAAAAAATTGATACAATAGAATTAATGACAGTTACCTATTGACTTGGTGTACAAGTGATTCCATAGTTGTGTGTAGTGAAGTAAATTCGCTTATATGTCATACCAATAATAATAATATATTAATAATTTTTATATTATTTTTTAATTTCATTTATTTTAATTTAGACATTAATTAAGTTAATATTAATGTTAATAGATAATTGATAATATCATTATTATTATTTAAAATGATAAAACTTTAAAATTTCTTCCTCCTAAAATAATTAATGAAATTAATAATATTTCATTAATAAAATTTTCAAAATCGTTTTTCTTATGTTATTAGAAATTTGTGATTTATTTAACTATACAAAATTGAGATGAGTGAACATATATTTGAACATAGTATCTCATCATAAATATCATATAAAGTGAATATAAATAGAAGAAAAAAAAAAGTACTGAAAAAACTTAAACCTAAACTTTATAAAAAGTTATTAATTATTGATAAAAAGTTAAAGTTTTTTCATTAATCTATTAAATTTATTGTTTAGACTATTAACAATGGAAAAAAAAAAGAAAAAAGAAATCAAAGAGTCTTTTCGTTAATACAATAAACTTAATTATGAGATTATTAATTATCGAATTCAATTAGTGAAAATTACTTTACTTACTCTCAAGGTATGGATGGATAAAGATATTAAGATAAAGAGAACCCTGCAATTGTTTTGCCCTCACCTGCTGAAACTTATTCCACTGCATAAAAAAACAGGATCCTGAGTGATATATAGAGTGATATATATATATATATATATTATATATATATATATACAAAAAAAGCATTTGCTCATTGAATTTATATATTTCAAAAAAAGCATTGCTCATGAATTTATGATCTGTAATGGCTACAAGACAAGTACTTAAAAAGATCTAACCCGCTGTGTTTTGGTTTTCTACATACACAGTCAGATATTGTCAAGTACTCAGCCTCAGTATAGCCTTTCTCTAATGTATTTGTCTATTTCTTACAAAAAGTCTTCTTCTTTGCACTAAGAAAGTGAAAGCTTAGTGCTAATTTCTTGTTTGCTTCTACAGTTACTCTTATTCTCATCCAATTCCACTCTCTGGCTTAGCCTCAACTGCAAGTCAGGCAACACTTTTTCTTGATTCAGCTGCAAGAAAAGGAAAATTTTATTTTCTTTAAAAAAATAATAATAATAATAAATAAAAGATTTCAAAACAATATATTTCTGAGAAATTCTGTAATTGCTTGTTGATTACCTCAAGCCGAAATGGAGGCTCAAATGTTGCTTTAAAGCAATTGAAATGGCTGATAGAATCATTGGAGGCAAATAAAGTTGACCCAGCTGACCTTGGGTGTGCTTCTGGTTCAGTATTGCAGGTTACTTCATTGGGATTTTCCATAATCTTCCATCTATTTTTAACCATTTCCATTGGAGGCCATCGCTTTTCCTCAAGAAATCGACTTGGTCTTAAAGGCCCAATTCGCATTGTTGCGTCTAATCCTTGTTCATGATCTTTGCTCGTCATACTATTTATTTGCCTTCTAACTTCATTCTGATCAAAACTCCAATGTTGGTGACTATGCAATTCAGACACAAATCAGTAACTACACAGAATCTGAAAACAAAAACTTCGTCTTCGTATATTTTGGGGCTTTTAAGAATAGTTACCTTGAGAAGTTTGTTCTGAAATTAAACGGCCTTTGGGAGAAGGAAGAGTGCAAGGGAAAGGGATTGTGTCCGAAGGCAGTAATACGGGGAAGAACAGAATTTCTAGCAAAAACAAATCCACCATTTTCCATTCTGAATTGTTTCTGAGGAGGTAACATGCCTGTATTAGTGTTGTCCCTTCTTTGCATTGATCTATATGCTTGGCTTAGCACTGTAAAACAAAAGCAACTTCGATCAGTACTGTATTATGTAACACAGAATATTCATTGTAATTAGTATTCTATATTCAAATTGTTCCTCAGAATTTTATTAAACTTATGAGCACTATGCATAGAATAGTCTTTTTCCCCTTTTTCTTTCTTTTTTTTTTTTTTTTTTTTTTTTTTTTTTTTTTTTTTTTTTTTGTCAGTTCAATTACAAACAATTTGAATGTTTGTTTTTTTTTTTTTTTTTTTTTTTTTGTCAGTCAAATTACAACAATTCTGAATGTTGTGATTAGACTTCTATATATAATTCAAAAACAAATAGGAGTATATAATTATTTGTTATTTCACGGGAAATATTAGTTATACCTAGAATTTTTTTTTTCCTTGGAGAACTTCTTGGTTTCAGATTTATAAGAGAAGGTTATTTTCTCTCTTATTGTTCTAGATTTATTGGACCAATGATCCTTTACAAATTATTATAATTATTATCAAATTCATTTAATTTTAATATTTTCTATTTATGGGCTAGCAAGATCAACTCGAATTAAATTATTGAATAAATCTGAAAGATAAAGAACTTCACCTTGTCCAGCTTCGTCAAGTTTCTTACTTCGGTACATCTGAAATATGTAAAAGCAAGAAAATAGTAATTAAGTTGGGGCACAAATTAAACATATAACGACAAAAAATCATGGAAGAAATATCAAACCCTAGCTAGGTAATTCCAGTACCTGCAAATGACTCTTCACATGAGCAATGCTAAGTCCTCTCACATTCATCAACTGAAGCACTAACTTGGGAGTTGCCCCTTCACCAATTCAATGAAAAAAGAATCAAAACCTCTTGTTTATTATTTTGGTCATTCCATTTTGTGGAAAAGAAAGAAAGAAAGGAAGGAAGGAAGGAAGAAAGAAAAAAACTCACTCTCTTGTCCGCCAAGCCTTTCAACAGCATGAACAAAAGAGAGATGAAGATCAGGAGTCCATCGAAGGCGAGGCATTTTCGATCTAACGTATTGTCTAACTGTACTCTTCCGTTCATTTCTTTCTGAGGACGAATTGTTATTATTAGCTGATGAACTTCCTTCTTCTGTTATCTTCTCATCTTCATCTTCTTCACTACAGCTAGCTTCTTCGTTCAAATCAAACGACGAGCATTTCTGTGATGATGATGCTAAAGAAGTATTTTCTGCTTGTTCTTCACCTCCGCTACCAATACTCTTTTCTTGATGATCTAACATCTCTATCTCTTCCATAATTCTCTCTTTACCAATTTCTCTAAAACAGCACGTATTAAAATCCAATCATTACCAAACCCTAAATCAATAATTACAACGTAGTTTGTAATTAATTTAGATAAATATCAAAACAAATAAACACTTTGGTTAATTTTCTTTACCAGTACAGAAGAGACTCAAAAAGGATGATAATTAATTATCATGCAACAAATTGGACACTGTAATAATAAATATTCCAGCTGGTATTTGCTTAGACATAGCTCAAGTTGGTGAAAAAGATAAACAAAGAAGGCTGAATAGGAAAGAATTAGTAGTTCCTTATTAATTATCTGCTTCCAGCCATCAAAGTAGCCTTTCACAAATCTTACACATTTTTCTTCTTAATATAAAGTAAAAACACCACCCAAAAATATACTTCTGCTTCGCAAGATCTCTTTGAAGTATTAAGGTTTTTTTTTTTTTTTCCCCAAATGAGATCATTTTGCATATAAAAACCCCAAGAAGAAGGGTTCCTAAAAGGAGAATAAATAGGTTCTAAATCATCATCAAGAGAAACCCATTATGTAATTTTCAATATTTTAATTGGAACTAAATTAATAATCAAGACCTAAAACTGAATATACAGCAAAGTGTTATTAGTTAATGTACATACTTCAAGGTACATTGTACTAATTGAAGTATTACCAACTGCAGCTAGCCTTCATTCTTATGGATGGATCGCCATATTTTCACACAGTTAATTAAAAGTACTTCAAAACTAATTATTATTATTATAGCTTGCATAAATTCTGTTAGGAAATATTTATTGTTGAATTAAAACCTTCTATAATAACTGCTCATCCTCCCTTATAAATGGACACAGCGTCAAATTAAAGGATTTTAGTTGAAAAAGAATGGATGAAATGAGAATGCATTATTTCTCATAAAAAAAAAAAAAAAAGGATTAGGTACAGAAACCAATAGATCATCAAAGAGCAATTAGTGTAAAAGGAAAATAATTAAGGTTTTTTTTTTTTGTTAATACTTACATGGTTAATTAGTAATATATGTCCCCAATTCTGGATGTTTTTTTCCATTCATAATCATCAGTCATTCTGCAAATTGCCAAAAGGAAAAAAAAAAAAAAATTAAGAAATACATGTCTTTTCCCGAATTTTTATCATGAAATAAAAATATAGTTCTACTATGAGTCTATGGATACCTACTGCTAAGTTAGGGGTCGTACTATATGAACAATACTAATTAACAACATCGATTAGTTAAGTACATGTAGTGCAGAAAAAAAAGAAAGAAAGAAAGTATAAGTGCAGCTATGCACAGCTATACTCTCTTCATGTAGCTTGTTTTCATCATAATAAAATAAGCTTTTGCTGATCAGAAAAAAATATAAATATATGTATATGAAAAGAAAAAGCCATATAGCTGTTCGATTTCCTTGTTTGACGAATAAATGTGATTCTATGGGAAAGAATTTGATAATCTTTTTGATCTGAAAGAGAGAATTTCTAGTAAAAGAAGGACATGAAATAATCACTTGTCAAAAAAGAAAAAAAAGAAAGAAAATAATCATATTTGTGTAGGAGAAAGAAGATGAGAATTCAAATGAATTTGCGAAGGAAGCTATTTTTACCACTACAATACATGTTTCTTGAGCTTGAAATTTGGTTCTTGGACTCGATTTCTGCTTAAGTATGTTTATGAAGTGAGACAAAGAGAGAGATCATCATATTTTCAGAATATTTTTTGGCCAAATATAATTGATCTTAAAAGAAAACTGGGTATTCTTTGAAATGAACTTAGATGCTTCTCAAAACAAATCATAGTTTAAGATTTTTCAGGATTTTGGATAATGAAATAAAAAAAAGCTACAAATAGTTTAAAAAGAAAACAAGCTCACAGTAAGAAAATTTAAATTCTTCTGCAAATGACAATCTAGAAATCAGCCACACAAGTGAGCACAAAAGCAAAGATCAACTTGATCTCTAATGAAGCACTAAAAGATCTTGAGTTTCGACTTCAACTTGAATAATAGGGCAAATAACAAAATCTACTTCTTCTTGGCTGATTGAAAAAAAAAAAAGGCAAACAACAAAATTAATTTCGAGAAATCCTTTTATGGTAGTCGATTTGATTTTTTTTTTTTTTTTTTTTTTTTTTAAATTTTTTTTTTTTTTTTTATTTTTTTTTTTTTTTTTTTTTTTTTTTTGTAACATTAGCTAGTACAAACCATTTTTTATGAAGATGAAGATGCTCCGATCATCGTCTTCTTCCAATCATTTGCCGAGCAGATTAAGAATGAAGCCAGTGCGATCCAGACATGTCTGTTAAACTTGACAGATTGATGTGGACATAATTCTTCAACAAATGAGAGAGCAAGAAGGAAAGAAAGAAAGAGAGAAAAAGAGAAAGAGAGGGGAAATGGTTTGGGGGTTCTGCTGTGTTTTTGTATCATCCAACTATAGAATCAAAGTCATCAAAGTTCAGATATTGTAAGACTTTTTTGATACTTAATTTATATTATTACTATCTTTTTTCACACATGTAAATTTAGTGATCTACCTTTAAACTGTGATCATATTCAGACATTTTTCACTTTATAAGTAAAGTTTCTGTCTGAAAGTAAAATCGTCTGACTTCATATATTATTAATAAAATTTCATTACCAATAAAATACATTACTTTCCTTTTTCTTTTTTTTTTAAAAGAAGAAATAATTAAACCAATGATTTTCAAAAGTGCACCCACTTGTTATTTTTACGAAGCAATAATACTCGAATTATGAATACAGATGCTATTGTTGGAGAATCATGTGACCATTCAACCCTTTTCTTCTTCCTCTTCTTCTTTGACAGTTGTCTCTTCACTAAATCTTTCTCTTTCTCCTGTGATTATCTTAATTGTTTGACCTATGTTAGAGACTGCTTTCATTTTTAATAACATAAACCCAAAAAAAGAAAATTTTATTTTCTGTATTTCGAAGTTCAATTAATTAATTAATTAATTAATATATGTCCTCAAAATATCGACTTTATAAAAAAGGAGGGACCATTTTATTCATCAACCTCATCAATTTGTCTCACCTAAACAAAGACTTTCTTCTCTTCTCTTATCATTATCTTACTGTATTTTCTTATGTCCACATGTTCTAATGTAGTCGGAAGTCCTTTTTTTATTTTTCACCAAAAAGAAAATTAGGGCTATATGACTTTGATTATTCATTAATTAATCCAATTCAAGAAAAATAGGTTATTAGAAAACACTAGCAGAATTACATGTAGGGCTGTCAATGGTAATCCAATTCAATATCTAGAACTAGAAGCTAGTCAATTTTGGTGGGACATTCGCATTCTAATATTAATCATTTGCTTAGTATATAATTTTAGACTTATTATACTGAAATAATTAGCTAGACATTAGCAAACAATAATAATAATAATAATAAAATTAATTTTTTTTTTTTTTTTAGTTTCCACAGTCATTTTTGTGTGCAGGCTTAAAATGGAATTTAAATAAAATATTTCTAACAATAGCAATCTTAGATTCTACTTTTATGATCTAAAATATAATATAAATATTGAATTAGGTTATTAGCTATTCTCCTTAATTAGGAGCATTTAAACTTGTTTCCAAATTACTGTTTAAGCTATATATACTTCAATTATTTAAACTCTTTGCTAGCTATATACAGGTATATATGTCTTTATCACTTTTACCTTTCTTTCATTTTCTTGTTCTTAAATAGTCGTAATTAAACAAATTTTATATATATTCATAGTAAGGTCAATTTAAATAAACTTTTTTTTTTTCATATAATTTAATGAAAGAAAAAATATATAGGTTGAGAGAGTAAATTAAACTCAAGTAGTAAGAGATGTTAAAATGGGTTCAAATCTCATTACATGATCAATACACGTTAAGACAAAATAGAGAGAAAAGACAGAGGTGGTGAGAAAGTCATACATTCATAATTGTCTCCACTGTTAATTACCATATAATTATATTATTATTTAATTAATCCTCAACCACATAAACCCATATCATCTAGTTATTAATTTGTTTTTTTTTCTTACCATTTTCCCTACCGTCCAAAGGGTTTACTTTCCAAAGCTCACCACACAGAATTTGGATTCTTTTGTCTCTTCATATATATTCTTGTTGTGTCGTTGATATACTCTATTATATATATATATATATATATATATATATATATATATATATGTATAGGATATATATGTATAGGAAATTAGGAATCACCTTCAAGGATTAGGTTTAGCAAGAAGACATCCAAAACTGGCTCGTTATGTGTGACACATGTGATTAATTTTTCTTTGCTACAGAGACGGAGTAAGAGAAGACAGATATTCTAAGTATTTAAAAGAAAATAGAAAATCGAAATTATATAATTATTAATTAAGATTAACAAAATTATATGGAACAAACGCACAAACTTGACGTTTTTGTCCTGTGTGGTGTGCATGGGAGTTGACAATTAAATTGTTTAATTAGCTGCTAAGAATCTTTCAAAGAATTACTTGTTTTAATTATTATATAAAGTAATAATTTCATGGATGAAGACATCCAACTAAGCTAGCTACCATCACCACAACATGGTCAAAAAATATATATGTTTTATATATAGTTTAGATTGGGATTTTTTTAAAATATATATAGAAAGATATATATATATAATATATATAATATAATGAATATATTATTATATATATATATAGTACTAATTATATATTTTAATATGCGACCATGCACTCACAAGCGCTCATTGATCTGATAATTAGTTTAAATTAATCAACTATAATATCAATCATATACCTCAGAATTGATGATTTCTGCTTGTTTTCTATATGCGTCTGTTCAGAATTTTTTTTAATTTTTTAATTTTATGGGATTTAAAAATTTAAAGAAAAAAAAAGAAAAAAAAAAAAAGCACTAAACTTGGATAAAAAAAAAAAAAAAAAAAAAAAGCATAACTTGGATCGGCGGCTCTCCTTGGGGTTTGAAATGGACCTATTTGACTCTTGAGCATGAATGAATGAACCGGCTTACCAAAAATGTTGTGTCTGTAAGTGCATATTTCACATCATTCACAGTCATCCTTTTGAAAATTTTATAGACATAATGAGAGACTAAAATTATATGTGATGCATGGTGACGACCTTGAATGATTCCTTGCAAATAATTCTTTTGTTTAGAGCTTTGAATTTTATTCTTTTTTTTTTTAATTTATTTTGTACCTCCTCGCTCGAATCAGACTTGAATGAGACGACAAATAAAACTATTTCAATAATATAGATTTTAAATTTCAAACTCTTAACTTTATAAATAAAATTCATTTGGACTTATAGTCGATTGAATCTAAGATGGTTTTGAAGCTTTTTAACATTGATGGAATGCAATTTTTGAAGAAAACAACATGAATTATAATGATGTTGGAAAATGGAACCTAGAAGGGACATGGAATAAAATTGAATGGCAGGTATATATAGATAAATGCAATTTCAGAATTTAAAAATAATTGGCAAAAAGAAAAACAAAATCCAAAATGTTGAGATCGATAAATTGTTGGCAAAAGAGTCGCCGCGAACATAGGCACATATATATGTCGTACTATATATATATATATACACATACATGTTACTAGAGATGACGCATATTCTGACACTTCTTCCTTCTCCATGGGCTGTATCACTTGCAAAGACAGAGCAGGTATGCCAACTTCCTATTTTTAAAGTTCTACATTGAATATGATTTCCAACTTAAAGGATTTCTTTTTTAAATTAACATAAATATTTCATAATTTCACGAAATTGAGGAAAATGCATAAAAATTTCTTCTCTCTGTTTACAGCTTGCACTTTTAAGTTGTTATAATTTTAGGGAATTGCAAATAAATGAAAGTAGTTACAAAGGTGGCAAAATGACATTATGGGTGGCCCAAAGAAGCTTTAACTAGGAAGAGTTAGCATATATCCAGTGTAGTGTAGCCCATTGGGCCTTCAAAAATAAAATAGTTATTTCACTCTCTCAAATGTAGTGCGCCTGTCGGGTTCTACGTTGAACCGCTTACCTTATTACTATCAGCCAACTGCCAAAGTTGACAACCTGACAATTGTCCAAAAAAAAAAAAAAAAAAAAAAAAAAAGAAAAAAAAAAAAAAAAAAAAAAAAAAAAATTTAAAATAACAAAACTAACTTAGTTAATGCTGATAAAAGATTATAGTTGAAGATTATGATGATTACTGATAATATTGTTGAATATTATATTTTTATGTATCGTATTGTACATGCATAATCCTAGGTGAAACATTCTACATGCCATCACTGCTACTTTGATCCCCGCACTGACCAAATATTTACATGCAAATTACAAAAATATGAAAAGGTCAAGTTTGTTTTGAGTAATGATTCATCAGGGCGATAATATGAACAGAATAGCTTCTTTTTTTTTTTTTTTTTTTTTTTTTTTTTTTTTTTTGTGCCGATATTATTTATGAACAAGAATAGCTCTTTGTCTTTCCCTTTTTTATCTTTCTTCTGTCTCTCTTTTTTTTTTTTTTTTTGGGACTTGGGATATGCACATTTTTTAACACACAAGAAGGACGCTGGTACACCCACAGCCCCCCGGACCAAGGAGAACTAATTATGTACTTGCCAGCTCGTCAGCTCTCTTGACCAGCTAACTTTTGCCGCCTTGCCAGAAAACACGCCCGCACTCAAAATTCCCCAAGAGGTTATCCATTCTTGTTCATCTCTGGAGCCCTGGATCTTAATGGATAACTATTGTTACAATCCTATCCAAAAAGGGGAGGGGGAAAACCTGTGTATTAAAAGCCTAAGATATTTGGTCCGGCCCCCTTTGCTACTATACGACCCCATTCATGACACACAAAGTTTTCTATTGGTTAGGCGGAGTTCTCTTCTATACCTCAGCCGCGCACCTTTTTTTGTTTTTTCTGATAAGGATTGTATGCCAACTTATCACACTTCCCCAGCAGCCACCCTTCGTGCAAAGGCTAAACAACAGAAATAAAGAATATTTTTTCTTTTCATTCCTCTTTAAAACACATTGCGTACGAGAAATCCGCATACGCAGGCGTAGTGCCGATCCCGACGTACAATAACAATGGACCATAGTCCCTTTTTCTTTACATTAAGGCACTTTTGGAAACTTCGGGAGAATGAGTAACAATGGAACCACGGAAGATGAACAATTTTTTTTTTTTTTTTTTTTTTTTTTTTTTTTTTTGGACTTGGGGATTTATCACAACACACAAAAACCTTACAAAGCCAAGGACTAATTATTACTTGCCATGTCAGTTGACAGCTAACTTTCCAGCAATCAATTCCAGGGTTATCCATTTGTTCATCTGATCTGATTAATGGTACTTTACATCCTATCCAAAAGGGGAGGGGGGAAAAACCCTTTATTAAAGCCTAATATTTGGGCCTTTATATAGACCCCTCTGCACCACAAAGTTTTCTGGAGGCGGAGTTTCTTCTAACCATGCCACTTCTGAAGGTTGTATGCCACACAATTCAGCAGCACCTTCTGCCAAAGGTAAAAAAAGAAATAAAGAAATTCTTTCATTTCTTTAACAGCGAGAGAAATCGATAGAGGGAGGGATGAGTAATAAAATGGAATAGTTTCTTTACATTAGGCCTTTGGAAACTCGGGAGATGAGTAACAAATGGAAACCGGAAATGAACATGGATACCTGGTAAAACTCGTGCAGGGACCCTTCTGAAATAAGAGCAGTGTCTCCCATCTTCCGATGAATATGGGGGTGAAAGAACGTCGAAGAGAGCACAGGGTGTCAAGGCTTTGAAACAATGTATGTTGCCACCACTACTGGGATAAAGAACTGTTGTGCCACATGGTGCAATCATTTCACAGTCTCTAACAAGTTTTGCAGGTCTTGCTGTAAATTTCCAAAAAAATGAACTTAATCTTTGAACTAGAGTGAAAAAGACAGAAGAATATAAACATGTTGAGTGTCAAGGTGAAAAAATTAAAGAAAAAAAATATATAAGATACTACCTATATAAGATGTAAATTCTAAATAGAAGTCATGCTCAGATCGACATTAACCTCAACTGGGTACATGGAAGCCAATTAATCCATAATATCATTTTATTTTATTTTGATCAATTTTGCAATTGAGAGTGCATCTCAGAGAGAAAAAGATGAGGGGAGGAAAAGACAGAAGAGTACTTAAGCAATTAATTGACACCGCATAAGTCGCTGGAAACATCTCGGTGTTGCCAGCTTAATTTCGGTTCACCAACAGGTAAACTCATTTAGTCATCTATCATGACATAAGCAGGTTCCAAATTACATCTTCAATCTAACTTCAAACCTTGAGTGGAAATTTTACCATCTTTCATTAGATAATAGCAGCAGAAGTAATTTCCCTCCAGGGCAAGATATATTACTCAGAAAATTGCCAAATTTCTGTCTTAAACCAAGAAAATGAAGCAGCTATAATATTTCTAACTCCCAAAAAACAAATTTTTGAAAAACTAGCTGTAATCCAATTAAATGTACATCATATACTGATATCTGCTCCATCTAAAATGCCTAGAAAATAAAAGAATTGCTCATCAACTCAATATGCGTGTTCCAATATCCGTGAGGTCCATGGTTACCACAATTTATTCAGAAAAACTGATAGTACACTGCCAACAGCTATAATGGTCGAGCAATAAAAAGGCGTTACGATGAGTGCAATTGCACTATAAGTCGAATATGATACAGTTTAGAAAATTTTCATTTTGAAATTTCCATTTTGATGATGGCAAAAGTTTTATAGCCATCAAGTTGATGATTATAGTTTGGATGTAATTATGTCTTGTCTGAGTAGTTACTTAATAACATGCCTAATAGCAATTTCTTCTGGGGAATTATTCAGTGCACCCTGCACTCAAAAAAATATGGACTACATATGCATTTAAGGATGATGGATCCCACATTTATGTGAGCGACAGTGCAAGGCACCTGGTATACTGAATAATTTCCCATTCCTTTATTATCCATCAGCATTCAATGAAGTTGGGGCTAATTGTACTCCCAGCAACACATTAAGTAATAATATTTATTATTTACTCTGAGAATCCACTATCAAAAGGCTTTGTCTTGCTAGAATCTCTGCAGATGATCTCATATGAAGTAAAAGCAAATATGAGGGTAAATATTATTTCTTGAGAAAATTTATATTTTAGCAACATGCTCTTGAAATTCGTACAAATTATGGTGTTGATGTTGGTCTCAACTACGGATGGCTTTTAGATATACCTCTTGACAAGTTAATCCTGTTTTTCAGTTAAATTGTTTTTTCCCTCTTCTTGCTCAAAAGCATTCTAGTTAGGATTAGCTCAGGGTCTTTCTTCTGCTTCTCTCAGTTTCCTTTCAGTGTTAGATATCCTGCTTTTGCACTTTTAGCTTAATTATTCTTTCAGGCTCCACAGCAGATTAGCCATCTGCATCATTTTTTTTTTTAATAAACAAATCAATCCCGCTGTCAGAAAGGATTATCAGCATGACATAGGGACACATACGACTAAATCATTATCCAAAATAGGTCAAATGTGCATGTCGTTTTATCCACTGGCACGATTCTCTTGCACCTACTGATACTAAAACTATGCCTTAAATGGGTGTTAACCTTAAGTTCTCAATCAAAGTCAATTAGCCTTTTTACAAATGATACTAAATCACATGAAAGTATCTCTCACGATCCACCCATTGAGCATCTATAAGTAGATAATAACAACTGTTAGCTTCTTACATCTTCAAGACAAAGAAGTGTATTTCAGTCATAACTTAGTAACTGCTTCTATTGTGCAATTTTGAGCTAGATAGTAATTTAGGATTATGCCATTATGGTATTTAAAAGATAATGAAATGTAAATAGCACACCCAATAACTGCTATCATACATGTTCAACATGGAAAATTACTGACCTTGAGAGGGATCATCAAACCCAGGGAGATCAAGCCAATCGTATGACTTTACAAGTAATGAACCATAAAGAAGCTTGCTCAATACAGTCATCCCAGGATGATTATGAAGCGGTATAATAGAGGATGGTGGCATACAGAAGATCCCTATCTGCAGCAAAGTCCGAAATGCAAAAACAAATATTAAGTCAGTTTTCAGTTTCCACATAGGAAAACCAAATACCTAAAAAAAAAGTGTTCATGGAGTTAAAGGTTCCAATTTCAATTTGCTTACAGAGAATCGGTCACACTCGTGCAAATGCAGATATTTTATTGTAGGTGGGTACTGGTGACTGCCATTACGCCCTCTTCTGCCATTGGTACCATTGATGGATGCTTTCCATTGACGAGCCAATTGCGCCTCCTGTTCGAGACCCACATTAGAAGGCTTCATTTGATCTGGTAAAGCATTATATAGAACTAGAAGCGTTAAGGCAACAGATATAATCTAAGTTAAGGGAAGACTTGATACACAAAAGAAATCAGATGAAGTGATGACTACAGTTTATCTGCGCACCTAGGATTCCACGAACTTTTTCAAGAGCTTCTTCTGATATAGGACCATTAGTTGAGAAAGACTCTTTGCAAGCATCATACAGTTTTTGAACTACTGGCATGATGCAAAGAATGTAGTAAACAACCCACGAGCCAATCTAATCACAAAGTAGAAAGAAGCTGACTTGTCGAGCAACTAATGGATCACCAAAACTTGTGCAAAAATTGATCATCCAAATCAAATACTAACAACTTGGGTTCCTCTAGGTTACAGTTGTTAAGCATTTAACAGCGATACTGTCTCTCTGCAACAATTCCAAAATGCAGTCCAACATGAGCCAAAAGGACAGTAATATAGATGCATGGCAGTTAATCAATCCCAAGTTCGAAATAGCTTGCAGCACCTAGAAACCAACATTTAGTGATTATAAGTTCAAAAAAGAAAAAAAAATTACACAAGACAACATCAACGATAAAATGACGATAATTTTTATTTTTCTTTTCAAGAGAAAATAACACATTGCACAACCTACCCCTTTTACTTCTAAGTTTTTGTTTGATTCCTAACAAACCCAGAGTCCAAAATCTCTGGTTTATATTTTGTTTTCTTCTTTAGCTCAGATTCCTTTGTAACACAACAAACGTGAAGTGGAAAATCAGATACCTAGAAGAATAAAAATAGCAATTCATTCGCGCAACTACTAGACAACAAATAAAACTCAACCCTAACCTCTCAAACCTTGATTGCCCAGATCAAAACCATACTCGTACACAACAATAAAGTGCATCTCCAGTTCCATTTTTATTAATTTTTCAGTTCAGATTCTTCGCTAAAACAACAGAAATGAAGTGAAAATCAGAAACCTAAACTGGTAAAAATAGTAATTCATTTAGGCAAGCAGTCACACCAAAAATTAAACTCAGCCCCATCAATCAAAATTCAAATCTTTAATTACCCAGATCAAAATCACAGAAAAAAAAAAAAACGCATACATATACAGTGAGAATTAAGAGAGAGTACCAGATAAGGAGAAAGCGTCGATGGGTAATTTGATGATATTCCGGAAAAGAAGAATTAGGAGAAGAAAGGAAAGCAGAAGCGAGAAGTTGTCACCATATGAAGACAAAAGATGGATTGTTTTACGGCTGAAAATTCCTCACCTGTGACAACTTTCGTGGCTTTTTTATCCCTATTATTTTCTTCAATTACAATTTTGCCATTCGAAATTATTTTCATCCTTGATGATAAGGCCAACCGGTTCACTGAACCTGCAATTCTGAATTTTAAAGGCTCAAAATCAGAATTTATTCAGTGATGTTGGTCGATTTTGATTCTGGCATTTTTATTTTCTTTTTTATATTTATATATATTTATCACTATTGAAAATTGTAAATTTCGATTCTAATAAGAATCAAATCAACATGTACTCTTTTCAATTCAATCTAATTCAAAACTAGACTCTAACTTAATTATAATCCAATTTTAATAGATTGAATCAATAACTAGATTTTTCATCCTTTTGAATTAGGTTAACATAACAATCAATTCATCCAAAATCCCCTCTCTAATACTAAAAAAATAAAATAAATTATCACTTCATCTCTCTCGATGAAAAACATGTTAATCTAAAAATTAATTTATTTTTTAGGCTCTTTTTGAAAACAATTTTTCGTACAACTAAGATTATTTAGAAAACTAACGGCTAAAAAAAAACTTCTATAAAATCACGTAGAATTGCATTGGTTTTATGGATTTCAAATGATTGTATTGGTGTATATACAGGACCGCAATTTTATTTGATTTAGCGAGTAACTAAATCGATCCAATTTTATCAGGTCTAAATAGTGAATAAATGAGTTTCAGATAGATTCAAATAGTTTTTTTGTTACTAGTATTGAATTCGGATTTAAAAATTCAGATACCTGTTACCATTATCCGTTGAATTAATATATTAAAAATAATTTAATTTAGATAAAAATTATATATATGCACCTCTTTAATTATAATTAAAGCGATAATTATATTTGGTAATAGTATTATTTTTTATCGGGTCAAAATATAATTTTATAATTTTTACTTATTTTTATTTTTAAAAATAAAAAATATATTTATAATATTAAATGGGTTCGTATAATAAAATTGAATTCCTAAATAAATTTAGACGGTTCTATTAATGCATTTTAAATGGATACCAAACCCGTTGCACGTCCTTAGGTGTGTACCTTCTTAGAACTTTACTCTCATTTTCTATTTAAAAAAACTTAGAACTTTATTCTCATTTTCTATTTAAAAAAATTAAAGACAACTTAAACGGTTAATTTTTTGGAACAAGACCTGAAAAAAAAAAAAAAAAAAAAAAAAAGTTCTTTCTCTTGTTACTAGTACTTCTGAAAATTCCGGTATTTTAAAAATTTCAGATACCTGTTACCATTTATCTCGTTGATCTTCAAATATTAAAAACTAATTCCTAATTTAATTAGAAAATTACCCTATAATACTGCCACCCTCTTTAATTATAATTAAAAGCGATAAATTATATTTGGTCATACGTAAATTATTTTTTATCGGGTCAAAATAATAATTTTTATTAATTTTTACTTATTTTATTTTAAATAAAATAATATTATAATATATTAAATGGGTTCGTATAATAAAATTGAATTCCTAAATAAATTTAGACGGTTCTATTAATGCAATTTTAAATGGAATACCAAACCCGTTGCACGTCTTAGGTGTGTATTCTTAGAACTTTACTCCTCAATTTTCTATTTAAAAAAAACTTAGAACTTTATTCTCATTTTCCTATTTAAAAAAATTAAAGACAAACTTAAAACGGTTAAATTTTTTGGGAACAAGACTGAAAAAAAAAAAAAAAAAAAAAAAAAAAAACAACTAACAATTCATTTCGGATTTTTAATATCATTTGTTGCATAATTTTTTTTTTTAAAAAAAAAACATAACTTATTACGTAACTCTAATCGTATATGACAATTTTATAACATTTTAAAATTACTTTTTAACTTATAATGCAAATGAACAAGTTATTTATTAAATGCAAAATTAATGTACAATTTGTTGAGAAATTTACTAAATATGTTTGTAATTTTATATTATTATCTAGATGTTCTATCTATTTCTATGGAATTTTGTGTATATTAAAAAAAAAAAAGAATTGGACCCAAAAAAAACCTCCCACGACGGTAATTTAAAATAATTGGACCGACCATCCGTCAGGCGAAATGTGGAATTATAATTAATTGATAATGATGTGGGGCAAATAGGTTAGGTAATTGAATTTTCGAATGACGTAAAATTCAATGATTTTTTTTTTTTTTTTTTTTTTTTTTGTAAAATTCAATCGATTCTCTCTCTCTTTCTTCTTTTCTTGTTTTTTTTTTTTTTTTTTTTTTTTTTGCATATAATGAATCTGAATTTTTATTCAACACTGATGCTTTAATTAATCCTTCATCATTAATTATGTCCCCTTTTATAATAAGTGGTTTCACACATCAATGACTCTACCACAATACACCTCGTTTTTACTTTTTACCACTAAAACAACCATTCCAAATATTTTGTTAAGTTTAGGGGATTTGATTATTGAAATTCGTGTTAAATAAAAATTGCTAAGAATTAAAGTACATATAATGATAGACAGTATGGTTCAAATATACTATGTGAATTGAAAATTTTATCCTAACTAATAGTGAATTATTCATGTAATAAACTTGAAAGGAAAAATAACGTTAACATGGTATTTACACGTGACCAAAAATCAATATAAAAAGGTATATTACTTTATAAACACGAAATATCGATGGAAAAATTAGTGAGAACATTTATTCTTTTAAAATGATAATTGAACATTTATTCTCTTGAAGTAATAATTTTTTATTGCAATTCATATCTGATATATTTTTAGTAATATATTTTTTGTCCATGTTATATTATTTGTTTTGATCTTTGGTTTTATAAAATATTTTTTTAGGCCAATTTATAAACATATCATCAATTAGAAGAGAAAGGACTTTAATTTTAAGAAGGCAGATTTGATATTTGAGGATTAACATGGTTATTTTGAATACAAAAATTGACATAATAAGTACAAAATATATAATGAACGTTTCGATTTACAAGATTGATCAATGTTTGAGAACAAACCATATAGGAGATAATCAAATAACTGAAAAAAATATCAAGAAACTCATTTGAAGTACCTAAATTTCTAATTTGAAGATTCCAATAAACCGGTTAATACTTAGCACTTTCTCGGCCAATTTATATATGTTATTAAAAGATCATCATATTAAATTCAAAACATATATCATGAAATAATTGAAATGAGGCAATGCTCAACAAACTCATAAAAAATTAAGGCAATGCTCAACAAACTCATAAAAAATTAATACGGAAAAAAATCAAAAGTCATTGTATTTAAAACTCTCTCATAAAACCTATAAATTAGAGAGAGAAATTTTAATGAAAAATAAAAATTTTTCTTTAAAAACTTAAAATTTTTTCTCAAATTAGTTAAATATAAATACTCAAATCTTACGAAGTCTCTCTTCAAAGGAAGTATCATGTCAACACCAATAAAAATCAATAATTATCCTTTATATATATAGTGAGTATCATGTTCAACACCAATAAAAAATCAATAATTATCCTTTATATATATATAATATATATATATATATATATATGAATTTTTTTATAATAACCAATTAGGCATGTGATATATATGAATTTTTTATAATAACCAATTAGCATGAAATACAATTATTATTTAACCTATTAATGAACCAACATATACACGATCTCACAAAACAAAATATAATTTTAGCTGTTGTGAAATTATAGTATATAAATAAAAAAAGTTATAGTATATAAAATATTGTTTGACTGAATATTTAATATTGAAATTTTTATAAAAACTCAAAATTTCCATTCTTTTGGATGAATAAAAAAATTTTCACCAATGTGGAAAAGTAAAAATATGGCCATGTGTTTAGTAATTGGATTTTTATAAAAAGGTTACCAAGCAAATATTAAAATTTCTTTTTTATGTCTCGACAAAACCCATCATTAGTTGTCAATCAGACGTGGTTTAGTTGATCTTCTCGTTAAAGTTTATTTGACAAAATTAGTTATTTTGATAGCTATTAGTTGTTTAGCGTTTAGTTGTTAACTTTTTGAATAGTTTTTCATAAAATGCTTAAAGTTAAACATTGCATGGGTTAATTTTTTATAAAACGCTGTTTTAATCTCGATAAGTTAGTTCAAAGGTTATATTACTGAACACTATAAAAAATATTATTTTATATGAATTATTTATCCATTAAAAATATATTTCAATTAGTTTCAATAATAATTTTATATGAATTATTTAATTTTAGTACAGGAATGAAATCTAAGAATACATTAAGAAAAAATTTAAAAAATATATTATTTAACAATATTAATTATATTTTTTAATCTTTACTATTTTTATAAAACGGAGGATAAGGAAGTCAAATATGAGAGTACATTATTGAATTCCCTAGACAAAGGGATTCAATTATTTACATTGATTCACATACAGGTTGACCTGAAAATATCTTTAAATAGAAATTAAAAAGAAAAAAAAAATGATTGATGCTCTTTTAATCTATGTATCACATTGACTTGTGACGAGGAAAAGAGTTGGTAAGCTTGGGTGGTGCGCGCTCAATTACTTCCAACTAATGAAACTTGTCTTTGAAGATGAGTAGACAGGCATTAATCCTATTGGAAAAGAAAAAGCTATTTATAAAGTTCTAGAACTCCTACCATTGCATTAACCTAACTGCGGATTGTGAATCTGTTGGTAATATAGAGTGTGATTTATTTTTAGTGTGTATATAATTTTTGCTTTTTTTTGTTTTACCATAACGGTTTTGAATTTATTGGACTAAAAATTCCATGTCAAGATTATAAGAAGAGAAACTTCGAATAATTTTTTTTTTTTTATAATAATCGAATATTGGACCTCTTACTTAAGAAGTTTGAGTTATTTTCATTGATCAACCCCCTTAGTTGTGAAACTTTTTGTTTAAGATTAGGAAAAAATTCCAATCTTAGTTTGTTGGCAGATTATAAATGCACTAATTATAAATTAAGCGTTAATGTGCAACAAAGCTTTTGCTATTAAAACATAATTTCTTATTTTTATTTGCTATATATTTTGTTTATAATGTTAGTAACTTCAATTAAAGTTATGTGTTGGTTTAAACAATTTATAAAAATATCTAAAAACATTTTAATAAATAAAAAATATTTCTTTGTATCCAAAACTGAAATTGGCATGTAATTATTTAAAGATTTGCAAATCTAATTATATAGCAAAGAGGAATTTTCCTAATTAAAAAGAAATACATTACAACTAAGTTGGATTAATGCATGCCACCATCCATTTTCTGATTTTATCTAAAATGTGGAAAAAAAAATTGAAAGAGGGACGCACGTAAACTCATGACAGAATGGGAGAAAAAAATGTGGGCCAGTCAAAATGAACTAAAAGCGCGTCCGATTACACCGGAAGTCGGGCCCTCAGTACCGCTCAAAATCACAAACAAACTAAAAAGACTGCCCGTCGCCGGAAACTCCCACCTCCGCTTGGCGGTTATCCGTTTGCCGGTTGAGCTTCCCGCGAAAATCTAGACATGTTTAGGCCCCACCTAGCCTACCAAAAACATTATTCGAAAAAAAAAAAATCACAATAATTCTTTTGAAAAATAAAAATAAAAATAATATAGTTAAGTATGAGACCCACAAAACTAAAAAAGAAAAAAAAAAAAAAACGCAAAATGGAAAACACGAAGGCACAGCTTCTTGGGGTGGCAGGTGGGGGATAGGGGAGAGAGAGAGAGAGGGAAAAAAAAAAAAAAAGAAAACAAAGAAAAGAGGAAGGAAAAAGAAAGGCCAGGACGAAAGGAAGGAGAAAAAAAAAAAAAAAGAAACAAAGAAAAGAGGAAGGAAAAAGAAAGCAGGACGAAAGGAAAGAAACTCCGGGGAAAGAGAGAGAAAAGAAAATAAAGAAAAGCAAAATAAGAAACCAGAGAGAGGAAGAGGAGAGAGAGGGCCAGTCGTGAGAGAGGCATCGAAGATGGTCGAAGAGATCCTCTGAGATCATCCTGCAAAGAGGCAGTAATAGAAAAATATTTGATATTCTTGAAAAAGCTTTTGCAGTTTAATTTATTTAAAAAATTATTATTTTTTCATTGCTGCCTTTTTGAGTCTCTACCTGTCTATCTTCCTCCCACCTATCACCAGCCCATTACATTCCCTCCCTCGTCTTGAAGAAGGTTTCTGATTTGGAAAGAAAAAAAAAAATCTATCAAATTACACCAGAATTGGAAATTTGCCCTCAGGGGAGACTACACCACCTTTTTTTGCTACTCCTTCATGGTAAATTTAACGACCCTTTTGCTTTTTCTTTCTTTTTGATTACTTGCTCTTGCGGGTATTCCTTGATTCTTTGTTGGCTATGCAATGCTGTCCCTTTTTTGCAACAATTTACCCACTTCTTGTCTTTTTGCATTTCAGTTCCAATTCATTTCGTGGAGATATATAACCCGCTGAGCCAGGTTATGTACATTTTGGAGGAACGGGTGTAGAAAAAATTTATTAAAGCAGAGATGAGGGACCCTGATATTATCATTATTGACAAATGTGAAGACTTTGCATTTCCTTGTAATATAGTGTTGTATAGTTCTTTGTAAATCGAAACATATACTCAGGTATTACGATAGTTGTGTTACTTTCGTTATTGTTGTGAATTGAAGGGGCGGTCTTGAATAGGAAACCTGGCGATATTGTATTGTTGTAGCTACCTCCAGTGCCATAATTGGTTCATCAAGCGATGGGGGGTAGATGGAACCCAAATGGATTCCAGTTATGTTTCTTGGTTCTGATTCTGGGTCTTGAAATTCAAGGTTCTTGGTCACTTAATGATGAGGGTAATTCTTATTTTTTACAGTTCTTTTGATATATATTGTTATAGTGACAAATTGACGATTGTAGAATTTTGTTTTTGATATATGAATTCAATGTGGGGTGACATATGCAGGACTAATTTTGTTGGAATTTCGTGCAAAAGTAAGTTCTGATCCTTTTAGTGCATTTGCTAACTGGAATTCTCATGATAATAATGCTTGCTTATGGTCTGGCGTTCAATGTGTGGATGGTAAAGTTCAAATGTTGTAAGTCTCTCTTTGTGCTTGCCTTGCAACAACTATTATTTTTTTCATTGCATAATGGAAAAAAATGGATTATCTTATAATGGTTTTGTGCACTTGTAGAGATCTGAATGGGCTGTCTTTGGAAGGGACATTGGCACCTGATATTGGCAAACTCAGTCACTTAAGATCTCTGTGAGGAGTCATACTTTTGATTCTCTTTTCAATTCACTATAGCATACTAAATAAACTTCCTGATTCAACAGACATGCACTCACAACGCCACTGCCTATAATTTTTTAATTGAGGAACTTAAACATTTGATTTTTGAATAATACTAGTTAAACTATTTAATGTTTGAGGATAAAGCTAATTAGGCCTAACCTGGTTGGTCTCGTAACAATTAAGGATATAACTCTGTTGCCTTTGCTCTGTTTTCTTAACAGTGTGCTATACAAAAACTGTTTTTCCGGTGCCATTCCTAAAGAGATTGGAGGACTTACCAAGCTAGAACTTTTAGACTTGAGGGATAATAATTTCAATGGAACAATTCCAGAAGAAATAAGAAGATTGCCATCACTAAAATGCTTGTGAGTTCTGTAGTTGATTTCACTGCTTTCTTGGATTCTCTGTTTAGTTGTTATGTAGACTAAAATCACCTTTATTTAGGTTGCTTTGCAACAATAAATTTGAAGGCAGCAGTCTTTTGGAGATCGGCAAGATTAACTTCTTTTCTGAATTGCAATTTGATGAAAAACTTGTATGTGCTGCAGCCCCTGGAACTAAGTGTACAGATATAAAATTTAGAAATGGGTAAGTGATTTGCTCACTTCTCTTTAACTGCTAATATACACCGGCGTTTCGTAATTACCTGATGGGAGACATGCATTAGTCATTACGTTGTAGATCATGATGATAAGTTTTAACTGAGGGCTAATATATATATTACCTGAGTGGGAGACATGCATTAGTCATTACGGGCGCGTTGTAGATCATGGATGATGAAGTTTTTAACTGAGGGCTAATATATATATATATATATATATATATATATATATAAGTTGGTATCTGAGCGTGGTGTAAATTTTTTAACAGCTGATTTATACCTTTCACATGCTAATTGGTTGTTTATTCAACGTAGACAGAGGAAAAATTTTGTCCTTTTTGGCTCCGGTCAGACCCTAGAAATCTTGCATAAACAGCTTGCTCTAGTTTAATCTTACTTATAAGTTCGATATATAAAGTTGGTATCTGATGCGTGGTGTAATTATTTTACAGCTGATTTATACCCTTTCACATGCTAATTGGTTGTTTATTCAACTAGACAAGGAAAAATTTTGTCCTTTTGGCTCCTCAGACCCTAAATCTTGCATAAACAGCTTGCTCTAGTTATCTTACTTTATAAGTAGGATGGGACGATTTTTCAATATCGACTCTTAAACATATTGGTAGTTTTTTACTAATAGCTGATATATAATCTAGTTGTCCTATGCTTCAAACTCGGCGTAGCATTCCGAATCTCCTGTTTGATTTCTTCTAACTGGTCATGGAGCATTCTGTTATATAAATTGCACTTAGAAGATTGCCTAATTATGGATGTGATTTAATTATCTTCTGTTCTGATACTGTAATGTATGTCTTGGGCAGTGTGTGGCAGAACAGTTTGAAACACTTGAATGGGGCTTATTCAATGATAATCCCACTTAAAGGAGCTGTTATACGTTACCTAAATGCCTTGCTGCTGCCATGGTATGCAACATATATTGTCTTGCACACACATAAATGCATTTCATGTGTACAGATTTGTCCATGTATTTGCTACTTCTAAAATTTTCTTTATATTAGGTTGTTTATTCTGTTCTTTCTACTGAGATTATTTACCCTGTTACAAGGTTCAATCATGGAAATGACTCTCTGCATCAATTTGACAACAGTTGCTGTGAGAAGCCAGCCAGTGAGTCCCAGTGGCTTCCCAATCTTGGATTATTCAACTTTAAAATTTTCTGGTGGAAATATAATTTTTTCCGTTAAACAGGTTCATCTGAGCCACAGATGGTCCAACATGTAGAAATCCTTGTCAATGTTGGACGTCGTAGACTACTTGAAGAGTCCAGTAACCTCCAAGCTGTACCTGCTGATAGTGGGTCCTCTGAAGAGATAATTTTTTTACCAACTATCCATAGCAGTGGGAGTTTCCCAGCTATACCAAATGAACCTTCACCTGTGCCAGTAGCGTCACAAGCTCTGTCTCCACCAACAAGTGCTCCAACTAGTGAACAATCTGGTGAAAATACCTGGTTGTATTTCTTGATTATTCCATTTGTGGTTTCATTCTTCATTCTTGTCATCGCCCTGCTGTGTCTTTGCCGTAAAAGAGGAGTCACAACTATAGGTCCCTGGAAGACAGGACTGAGTGGACAGCTGCAAAAAGCATTTGTTACAGGTGAATTACATACCTAAGGAAAGAAACAGAAAAACCTTTACTTTATTTGGAATTCAACCGCATATTGATTCGGCAGTTTTTACAAAGTGCCTTGAACTGAAGTAACTCACAAAAAGCTATAAATCATTTGTCTTTTTTATCCCCTAGTTTGACATTTGCTTAGTTCTCTGAAAACATGATCATCCATTTATGTGAAATATAGGGGTTCCGAAGCTAAATCGAGCTGAGCTGGAAACTGCTTGTGAGGATTTCAGCAATATAATTGACACTCACGATGGTTGCATTATGTACAAGGGAACATTGTCCAGTGGAGTTGAGATTGCTGTTGCATCAACTTTAATTGCTTCTTCCAAAGAATGGTCAAAGAATGCAGAGATGGCATACCGGAAAAAGGTCCGTCTCTCTGTGGTTACTAAGCTGAAGATTCAATGTTTGAGGGAGATAGCATCCAGTGACTCTATAATTTAAATCTCTTGCCTTTTCAACTAAATTTTTGTCTCTGCAATGTAGATTGATACACTATCTCGGATTAACCATAAGAACTTCGTCAATCTTATTGGCTTCTGTGAGGAGGATGAACCTTTCAACAGGATGATGGTGTTTGAATATGCTCCCAATGGAAGCCTCTTTGAACATCTTCATAGTAATACTCTTGCTTAGCATATTTAATGGTTGCATTTGTGGATTTAGCAATTTAGGGGCTAAAACTGTTATTCTATTCTTCAGTTAAAGAAATGGAACATCTTGACTGGATTGCAAGGATGAGGATAATAATGGGTGTTGCTTATTGCTTACAATACATGCACCACGATTTAAATCCACCAGTGGCACATTCGAACTTGAATTCACATAATATCTATCTAACCGATGACTATGCTGCTAAGGTATGATCTCTTACATAGATTGGACTTTACTATGTTTTGTTTCTTGAATGTACGTTTTCACTCTCTACTTCCCTTTCGCAGATAGCAGAGATCTGTTTCTTGCCACAAACAGCACCAAAGCCGAAGCACTCGTGTGATCATGACTCGGAGCATTCTGTGTTGCCACCGCTGGCTGATGTAGAGACAAATATCTATTGTTTTGGGATTCTATTGCTTGAAATCATTTCTGGAAAGCTCCAATACTCAGATGAACAAGGGCCCCTTGAGAAATGGGTAAATTTTTTTATGAAATTCTACAATCTGATAGCTTTCAGCTTTGCTATATTGCTACATCTGTGATGTTGCTAATAAGCATATATAAATAATTATGAACTTGCCAGGCTTCTGAATATTTAAGTGACAAGCGTAGTATCAGCTACATGATCGATCCAACCCTTAAGTCCTTCAAAAACAATGAGCTCGACGTCATCTGCGAGATTATCCAAGAATGTATACAACCAGATCCAAGGCAGAGACCAACAATGAGGGACATTACTACTAAGTTAAGAGGAGTCATTCCAATAACACCTGATCAAGCGACTCCAAGACTTTCTCCGCTATGGTGGGCCGAGCTCGAGATATTATCCGTTGAGGCAACTTAAGTTCTTTCTGACTCTCTTCTCTGTATTTTAAGTCTGTCACACTCAAATGCCAAAAAAGACTAGCTTTTTCAGGTGCTTCCTCCCCACATTAATGAATTACCATCAGTACACAGCTTTGACATCTTTTTTTTTTTTTTGGCTCATTGTTCTGTATTTGTCTCATAATTGATTGTATTCAATTTTTCTTTTTTTTATTTTTCTTCTTTCTTTTCATTTCTCCCTAGCACATCCATCAGAAGGAGGGTGTAATATATTTGTCTCTTGATGGGGTATTGTGCTACCAGTTGGTACAGGATGATATATGTATTTCGTGATTCAAGTTTGTGGTGTAAAAAACTAACTTAGCACTAGGATCTCACTCCTAGTGAACTTATTAATTGTGAGCTTTTTAATAAATAGGCTGTTAGTGTTATCAGGACCTCTTTTTTTGTTTTTTTTTTGGTCGACTAAACTGATGGAACCACAGCTGCTCCTTTGATATTGTAATTGGAGTTGATGTGTTTTGGCAGAGATTTTTGTTTTTAATTTAATTTTGTGATAATAATTCCTCTGAAAGATGGACCGACTCTTTCATATTCTGGATCATCAATCATCTTCGAGCGTCTGTGTAATTAACATGTTAATAATTACTGTAAGTGAATCTCACCGTTCGTTTCTTAGTATATTTTTCAAAAAGAAAAAATACTTAACCTAGTAACAAACTACCAATGACCTTTAATCTAGATGGTTAAGGTGAGGTACCACGACCAAAAGAAAAAGTTATGATTTTTATGCCCTTCTCAATATTTTAATTTGAAGAGAAAAAATTATTATGAGCTCTATGCTATTCTGGATATTTTAATTTTAATTGTTATCTCTATATTTAAATTGACTGTTCTTAACAGATTTTGGTGTAATTTATATTTGAAATTATAATTGTATAGTCCTGAATTATCTTTTAGAAATTAAATTTTAATATTTTATAAAAAGTTTAAATTAATTTTTAGCTTCGTATGACAGTTACCAAAAATAATTAATAATTAATTTTACCGATCCCAGCCTTTGTCAGAATCTGATAAAATACTATGTCCTGCTTTTAACTGTATAACTAACAAAGTACGTTAAATGAACGGAAAATCGACCATTGAATAGAAAGAGTAACAAAATCAAAACAAGTGACAAAAAAAAAAAAAAAAAAAAAAAAAAAAAATTGTTTTAGGCTTCGGTATGACAGTTACCAAAAATAAGTTAGATAATTAATTTTAAACCAGATCCAGCGCTTTGTCAGAAATCTGATAAAATACTGATGTCCCTGCTTTTAACCTGTGATAACTAACAAAGTAGTTAAATGAAGCGGAAAAATCGACATGAGATAGAAAGGGAGTAACAGAAATCAAACAAGTGACAAAAAAAAAAAAAAAAAAAAAAAAACATGATTAAGGATAATAACAAATCCAAGGATAAATCGAAAATTAATTAAACAGAATCGAAAACAATAAAAACCAAAAACTTGGCTAATTTAAAAGAACTAAAACCCTTTAAGAGAAGAAAACATACAGGATCAGCAATCAAAAAAAAAAAAAAAAAAAAAAAAAAAACATGATTAAGATAATAACAAAACAAGATAAAACAAAAATTAATTAAACAAATCGAAAAAATAAAACCAAAACTTGCTAATTAAAAAACTAAAACCCTAGAGAAGAAAACACTACAGGATACAGCAATCTAAAAGTTGGTAATAGTAACACTACAAATCTCATTTCTTTCCCGATTGGCTTATCTGAATTTGAAGCATACAAATCCCGGCCAAAAATTCTACACACTGGAACGGGTTCAAAAGATCCAACAATCCTTTCAAAGTCCTAAGCCTCACACAATCTGCTGCTTTCATAACCTTTTCTAATCCACCCATTACTCCTTTCAATGCCACTTGCACCCGTCCCTCCACTTGCAGACTCACTTGCTCACCATTCTTTACTCGTACCACGAGCCTAAGCAACTCGATCATTTTCCTGTCTGCTATAGCTACCTGTTGCCTCTCCATTTCTCTCTCCACCTTCTCCTCTTCTAATCTTATTTTCACCCTTAACTCTTGAATCTGTCCTACCTGTTCTTGTGTCAGCTCGGTCAGACTTGGACCAGGAACTCGACTCGTTCTCATTGAGTCAACCAGTTTAAAAACTGCAGAAGGTTTCCACCCAGTGATCCATGAATATGCATTTTCTAAAGGAGTAACCCATATAGGAGAAAAAAAAGCAAGAACATCTTCACGAGCTAAAGCCCATTTTATCGTGTAGTATTCTTTGTAATGTTGCGTTACTTTTGAAACCAAATCTTGTAGTTGCAGCTGTACCTCTTGCTGCTCTTTATTATCCTCAGATGAAACTTCCATTAGTAATTGCAGAAACTCACTGAGTTGAGATATCCACTTCTCAAAAAACTCAGTAAACCTCTCTTCTACTTTGGTTCTCATAATATAACATATAACTTTTCTCTGAGGAGGATTGTTGTTGAATCGTTGAAGAAGGAAAGAAGGAAAAGAACTAAAAATAATATATATTAGAGTGGTGGTGGTAGTGGTGATGGTGTGACTTGTGCATGGCTTACGCGCATCGAAGAGGCAGAAGAGGGGTGTGAAGGCGAGAGTGACGCTTTGCATAGAGTGAGAGGTGAAAAGAGATGAGTCAGATATAAACGGGTTTGGCTTTGACCTAGTTGATGAGTCACTCGATGCACCCCACCACCTGGTATTTTATGTTTCTGATGTTGGAAAACGTGTCAGTGAAAGAAACTATGTGGGGTTCAACGTGGAACCCAAACATATGTTCTTCTTGCTTCACTGGCGTGTCTCTGTCTGTCATTGTTACCTAATCTTTCTCTCTCTCTCAGTTCCATGCATGCTCTTGAATATTAATTCCTCGTAATCTTTTTGCTTCTTTTAATTTGCTTTCTTTCTGCATATTTATTTGATTGATTCTATTTTTTGATCTATCTTTTGGTTGCTTCAATTGGTGATGAAGAAAAGGCTTTGCCGCTTTGGATATGAACACCTCCAGCATTAAACCTCGCATGGATCCTTTCTTTCACTTCGTCTTATGCGCTTTTTGATAAATGATTCGTTATTATTATGGAATAAATATCTAAAATCAATAATTACAATATAGGTAAATTACAAAAATTTTTGCTTAATGTTTAATAACTTTAGAGAGATAATTAAATAACCATTTAATCTTTTATTTTACTGTGCTTTATTACCTTTGAAACATTTTTTTTTTTAACAAATAAATTAAAAAACAATTTAAGACGAAAAAAAATTTTGTTTATTAGATGAAAGTGACGCACTTGTCAAACTCACTTACATTACATTATAATTATAATTATTATTATTTTGGGAGAAGCATCATTTTAAATGTCATCTTGCTTTAAGGTGTTTTTAGTTGTTTATTAATTTTATAATTAGTATATATAAAATTTACTCTAAATAAAATTTAATAATTTCTAGTTAAAATTTCAGCAAAATAAATTTTTTTTTATCAACAGCATAAATAGTAATGGCAAATCACTTGCTATAAGAAATTATTTATTTTAATAATACTAGAAAATAAAAATTAGCAGCATAAAAATTTAATAACATCAGTAAAAAACTGCTATTGATAATGACGTCAAATTTGAAAAATTAATATCCAGATAGATGCCCGCTGAAGGGCTATACCTGCTGGTGAAGGCAACGGATCCTTCTAGATTGCACTAGTTGGTGGCTATGGACCTCTTCATTCTGTTGGCTTTTCTAAACAAGATAATATATTGCACTAGTTGGTGGCTAAAATTGATTACAATAAAAGGAAAAAGACAAACAAACTGTTTGGATTGAAAAGATTTTTTCCAAAATCATACTTTTTACATTAAAAAAAAAATTACACTTTGTGTGTTATTAGAATCTAGGCATGACTAGGCATGGCCACCGGTTCGGTTTTAACCGGAACCAAACCGAAATCAAACCGTACTTAAATGAATCGGAATCGAATTGAAACCGGCTGTTCATAATTTTGAACCGGAACCGGCAGTTGAAGGGCCGGTTAAGGTTCATGTGAATCTTAAAATATGAGCCGGAATCGGCCCAGAACTGGCAGTTTCGGTCCGGTTCGAACCGGATGTACAAAAAAATTATAGCTTAAAATTTTTATAAAAAAATTTATATTACTTTATTTGATTATAGTTGATTTGATTTATGGTGAAAAGAAGTATAATGGTACATAAATTATAAAAAGTGGTGAAAAAAATACATATTTTTTTACTTAATTTATACAAAAAATAGTACATGAATAGTTGATTTATATATATATAAAAAAAACTTTCAAGTGTATAAAAAAAGAGTGTAACGAATAGTTTTTGATATAATAGGTATTTTTAATTTATTTTTTGGTAAATAAATTTTATTCATTTTTTAATCATTTATTTATTTATTTACTAAATTATCCAAAAATATAGTTGTTATTTTTATAAAAAAAAAGAGTGTAACGATAGTTTTTGTATATAATAGTATTTTTAATTTATTTTCTTGGTAAATAATTTTACTTTCATTTTTTAATCATTTATTATTTATACTTAAATTCTTCCAAAAATATAGTTGTTATTTTTTTATTATAAGGGAATTTGGAAAACTAATAAATGAGGACACATATATAAATCATTGATGAGTTGATAATTGTTTTTAGTCACCAATTTCAATTATATTCATAAACTCCTTCTCTTCATCTCAATTCCAAAATTCTCGGGGGCAAATTTCCAATAATTTCATTATTTTTTCTATTGCTTATTTTTCTTAATATGTGGGAATTATTCTATTGTTATTTGTTTATTTTTCTTACAATCTAATTCCAAAAATTCTTTCTCTAATCTCAATTTTTCCATTCATAAATTTACCTTCAATTTGATTTTTTTTTAATTATTTTTCTTAATATTTGAAAATAATAGATTTCAACCCTCCTTTCATTTAATTTTAATATTCCATTTATAGTTCTATATTAGTGGAATTAGCCCAAAATTTTAAATTAATGTAATAAATAGTTCTAAAGTTAGTTACAGAAGTTTTCTGTTTAAAGTTTTATAATAATTTATTTAGTTAAAAATTTGTAAAACATTTTAAAATTATTATTTATTTATTGAATTCGAATCAAAATTTTATTATTTATTTAAAAAATTTGCGTCAATGCGTGGAACTGTAATCGAACCGTAATCGGAACCCCGGTTCAATTTATTTAGTTAATAAAATTTAAACATTTTAAAATTATTATTTATTTATGAATTCGGAATCAAAATTTTATTATTTATTTAAAAATTTGCGTAATGCTGGAACTGAATCGGAACCGTAATTCGAACCGTCGGTTCGCCGGAACCGTGTCGGAACCGAAACCGGAGGTTCAAGGATCGATTCCGGTTCAAAATTTTAAACATTTCGAACCGCGCGGTTCACTGAAGCGGCCATGCCTAGGCATGACAGTTGTTCAAAGTGACGGTTGTTATTTCAAATTGTAATCTAACCTATGTATTTAAAGTTCTGATTCTTAATTTTCTAGAATTGGAACAGATGGTTTTTGATTTAAAAGCGGTAATTTCAGTTTGAAACGTAAAAAAAATATTTTTAAAAAAATTTATAAATTTATTTTTTTTATTTTTATATAATTTTTTAAAATAACATTTTAAGGTTTTTTACTAAATTGTTTTAGCTTTTTCAATAATAATATTTATATTTATTTATTTAAGGTACAAATTAAAAAAAAAGTTTGAAATATATTGCTCAATTCAATACCAGAATAAAATCGAATTGACGGTTCGAAAATGTTTTTACAAATCATTTAAAAGCGGTTTGATTTCGATTTCACTTTTTTTATAACTGAAATTGGTGATTTTAAAATTAAAACTCGTGATTCTGTAACCATCGTTAGGGATTGCAACTTTATCCAATCTAGCAGGTACCCAATTTGATCTAATTTGATTCAACGGATTTTTGGTAATAAATAAACGGATTGGGACAGGCGTGGGTAGTAATTTACTACTCATATCGCCATTTGGATTCAAGAACTCCCATACTCGCTTATCCGTTTACTTGATATTCTAAAAATACTTAAAATAATTATTTTTTTAAAAAAATTATATATACATATATTTTTTAATGTAATTAATGCTATAATTATATTTAATATTTATATATTTTTTATTACGTCCATTTTATAAAATTTACTTATTTTTCATTTTTGAAAAGAAAATAACTATATATATAAAATCTCCTCGCAGTTGTCAGTTTATAAATTCAATAGCCATATATTATATATTAAAGGATGATTCATCACGCATTTGTTCAATGGAAATACACATGGAAAATAAATTAATATTTTTCCAAACGCATGAAATTAATAAATGCAATTGATCTAAAGTCCCTCTTGGATGCTAAATTAGTAATTAAAAATTTCTTATTGTTGGAACTTGATCATATATAAGTCACTGATTCCTTTCCTGGAACTTGGAAGCATATGTAATTAGTAATGTCCAAAATTACAATTTGACATTAGAGTCAAATAATCCAGTTCAGAGCACCTGGTTATAAGATTGAAAAGTTTATCAGTTTCTGGTTTTTCAGGTTCGAGTAATACAAAAAAAGAAAGAAATCCAAAGCGCATACCAAAATTAGCCCACAGACAATCCACAGAGATCTCTTAATTCATGTCCATATTCTCTCACATACCCACTTAAATACCAAATGAAATCTGTAAAACTAATGTCCTACACTTGAACTTCCATGGCAACCGAAAATGAGCACAACGAATCGCAAAAATGCTTCCTAGATTGGATGAAACTTCAAGAACAAGATCTAGGCGAGCTCCTTCAAGTCATAAATCAATCTGAAAAACCTCCTGATACTGTACTTACCCAACTTGCAGAGAAAAGCATTCAGCATTTTCAAGATTACATACAGAAGAGAAGCCATCTTTACCAAAATAACGTCTCTCACTACTTTGCACCCGGTTGGAATTCTGCTTTGGAGAATTCTTTTCTCTGGTTAGCCGGTTGCAGACCCTCCATTTTTATTAGACTCGTCTACGCACTTTGCGGGTCAGAAGTGGAATCTAATCTTGCAGAATATCTTCAAGGTGCAAGAATAGGGAATCTTGGTGAGCTTTCAGCGAGACAGCTCAATATGGTAAACAATTTGCATTCAAGAACAATCAAGCAAGAAGAGAAATTGTCAAGCCAGTTAGCGAGCTTACAAGAAGAGATAGCCGATGAGCCAATTTCTATTCTCGCCAAGAGCCAGAGCCAGGCCTCTGATGAGCCTAGCGATGAGGTGGACCGGGCACTTCAAGATCTTGATGTGGCTATGGCGCGTATTCTACAAGAAGCTGATAACTTTAGGTTAAGTACGGTTAAGGAGTTGAATAGCATTTTAAATCCTATTCAGGCAATTGATTTTTTAGCTGCTGCTAAAAAGCTTCATCTCTGCATGCATGACTGGGGTAAAAGAAGGGATCTTAATCATGGTAGAAAAAACTGATCGGAGATATATAAAATTAAGTTTGTTTAATATAGCAAATGTATATTATCTTTCTTTCTTTCTTTTTTTTTAAGGAAAAATGCACGGTTTATAATACGTACGTATATATGTATAATTATTAAGCAAGTCAATGTTGTATATATAGGATATCACTCTTTTGCTTGTGTTTTTTTTTTTTTTTCTTTGTATTCGTAAGTATTTTTATATGTATATATTTGTGCGTGATTTGGATTTAAATTAATTTTATTTATTTTTATATTGCTGATATTACTTTAATTGATAAATTAATTAATTTATTACCACCATGATAATGCCTAGACCATTGCTAACTTCGAACTCTCAAGAGCAGCACAGGCTAAAGTTCAGCCATTATGTTATTAATCACAGCTATCCTTTTTTGTAAAATGTATTTATTTTTATTTATGAAGATCAAATTCATCTCAATACGTGTTGTATTCAACTTTAACCAACGGAGCAGATAAATTTAATCATTGCCAGTGATCGAAGAGGAATAGATATGATGGGCCCCAAAATGAAAATTGATGATATGGATTAAGACGGGCAAAATCGAAGGGCTGCCTGAGAGTAGAAATTTGTCGAATTCGTGTGTGTACTGTGTAATCGTATTAGTAGCATATCACGTGAACATAATCACCTCCTTCGTTACGTGTCTTCGTATTTCAGATGCTTGGAACACGTGTCTCTGCCTAGCTTCATGCATGAGCGTGGCGTGTAGACATGCAAGACTTCCTCTTTTCCTAGTGGACCTTTAGTTGGGCCCCTGTTTGGGGTTCACTTCAAAGTTAAAGAACTTTGATTTTTTTTTTTTCTTGATTTTGATTTGTTTTTTTTTTTTAATCCTTTTTCAATTGTAATTAATAAGGATGTAGCATGCGAATATAGTATTTTTATTAGAACTAGAAATATATAAATTGATTTGTGCCCATTTGGATACCACATGGTTTGTGTAATCTCTACACAAGTGTAAAGCAGAACCAAGGGTTTAAACGGTAATATTAATTGTTTTAGTATGTATTAATTATTTTAATTACGATTAGCTATTAAATATTAAATATTAGTTGTTAGTTGTTTAAGTAGCAGTTGAAAACGAAACTGTTCGGTAAAAATAATTATTTGATTGACAATTAAATTTAAAATTATAAAAAATCATTAGAATTTTATACTCATATTCATGGCATTAAACTCTATAAAAAAATAAACCGAAAAGTTCACTATTTTATAAATAAAAATTTGAAAATTTCTAATAGTTTAGAGGATTAATATTTTTAAATTTTAATATTTGCTTGAGTTTGAAATGTATAAACAACTTTTTTTTCTTTTACTATTAATTATAGCGGAACATAAAAGCAAAACCACAAAATATGATAAGATAATGATTTTAAATTAATTGAGAATAAGACGGTAAAAAAAAATTATTTCATTAAGAAGGCGTCAAACATTAAATGTTAGGTTATATAATGTTTTAGATAAGACTCCATAGTTCTCTAAATGTTACTTTATATCTCATGTTATCAAATAAAATTTAAATAAATATTATTTTAACCGGTTCAAAATAACAAAAGTTTATTCCGAACAGACTCTAAATCTAGTGGTTTGGAGGTAGGCATGGCCACGGTTCCGGTTCTAGAAAAGCTGGAACCGGAACCGAACCGAAATGGTCCGGTTCCGGTTCCGGTTTCGATCTGATTACAAAACCGACTGTTCCGATTGGTTTTCCGGCGAATCGCATAATTTTAAATTTTAAATTTTGGATACCGGTTTAAAAAAAAATTTTATGTGAACATAAAAAAATTAAAAAATACAGTTAAAAAATTTTAAAATATGAAGACCGGTTAAAAAAAAAATTATTTGAACATGAAAAATTTAAAAATACACCTAAAAAATTTTAAATCGCATAATTTTAAATTTATAAATTTTGGATACCGGTTTTTAAAAAAAAATTTTATGTGAACATAAAAAAAATTAAAAAAATAACAGTTAAAAAATTTTAAAATTTATTTGGAAGGGACCGGTTAAAAAAAAAATTATTTTGAACCATGAAAATTTAAAAATACACCTAAAAAAATTTTAAATTCTTGAAGAGTCGGTTTTAAAAAAAAATTATTTGAACATTAAAAAAATTAAAAAATACACTCTAAAAAATTAAAAAATACTTCAATTTAAATTTATTTTTTTAAAGACTTGAAATTGTTGAGTGTTGGAGGCATGAAATGATTTTTTAAAAAAAATTTTGAACTGAATTTTTTTTTTAAGTTGAACAAAATTAAAAAAAAAAAAAAAAAGGGCTTTGAACTTAATTTTTTTTTTTGTTTAAAAAAAAATTAAGTTGCCTACGTTTCCTCTTTTGGGGTTAGAAGGAATCAAAGCCCGGGGTTTAGAGGAATCAAAGCCCACGTAGTTCTTACTTACCTTATACCAATTTCACCCCATTTACCTTAATCGCTATTTGCACCACCGCTTGATGTTCTCGTTGAGGATCCATCGTATAAATCATATAAATCTTCATTTTCTTTTGGATTTTCTTGGGCTCTTAGTTCGGCCTTAGTCCAATCATCCAAGCATGATTGTGCTTCTAATGAATTGGGTGTCATACGAGATCGTGTTTCATCAAGTATGTTACCTCATTGACTAAAAGCTTGTTCAACCGCAACAGTGGAGACCGGAGCTGCTAAAACTTGTTTTGCAATTAAAAAGAATTGGAAAAGTATTTGCGTGACGACTCCACCAATTGCTAAAAATTGGAAATCACTTGAGCATCTGCATAATTTATCAACACAAACTCAAAGAAGTTGTCTAGATAATTGTCAAATTCAGAAAATAGCAGAACTGGATTCCCTTGTTTCTTTTTTTTTCTTTGGCACATAAAAACTTGTTGGAGCCAACAAATCAACACCACTTACCCTTTGTGTTGAAACATTGTGGAAATATTTAGCCCAGAGATACCACATTCGGTCCGCAAGAACAGAAGCAAGTAATACATAGAAGTAGATGAACTAGAAACAGCTATTGAACAGAATCATTATATATTGCATTTATATTTTTTTGTTAACTTCATGCACTAGTACATTTATATTAAACGATTATCTTCTACATCAGAATTTAATACCGTCATAACTTAAATAGTCAATAATTTTTCACAATATATAGTAGTTATCCATTCTTACACCTCTAGCATCAAATTACAATTAGCAACGAATAAGGAACCAAGCAGTGGTAATTATTTTTTAAATTAAACTCGACTAACCATTTTTTTTTTCATTGAAAAAAATACAATCTTTACTAACATCTCATGAAAAAATACAATCTTTTAATAAATCATCATTTTGAAATTCTTGTAGTGCAGTAACAATATTAATACACATAGGTAAAAATAAATTAGATGTGGGATAGTAAACCCCACTAAATTTATAGGTAGCATCATTAAAAATTTTTAAAATATCTAAAATTTTTGCACAAATCTCCCAATTTTGTGGATATAAGTTAATATCCTCAATATTATTAGTAACAAAAAAACATAATAATTCTTTATAAGAAAAAGACTAGTTTAGTAATTTATATGTTGAATTCCAACGAGTTGGGACATCCCTTGGAAAACGTTTTGGTCTTTTATTATTTTCTTTACAAAATTTAGCCCAACTTTTTTTCATCACTTGGGAAGATGTGTCCATAAATATGAACATAGCTTTTTTAATTGGAGAAATAAAAGAATCAAGAATTTTTCAAACCAATCTTGTACACCATAAATTTAAAACATGGGCATTGCACCATCTTTATATGAAAAAATTTGACCACCAATATTTGGTTCACAAATTTTTTTTAAGTATCAATAATTGATTCTAGTATTTGCAGAAAGCATTATCAAATGAAATAGAAAAAAATTTTTTTTTTTTTCAACCCTATATTCATCTAAAATTGAAACAATTACTCTATAAATATTAATTGCAGTATGGTTTATCATCAAAACACGAAAACCAAATAATTCTTTTTTGGAATTTTTCAATTTCATTCAGTCAATCCAATGGACATGTGAATAACCCATATAAGGAATGCATTTGCCAATGATCACTCCCAAAACATTCACAACAAATCTTGAAACACGAATTTCAATGAGAAAATAAAAGTTTCTACTCTTTTTCCTTTGTTATATAAAGAAAATATAGTTCGTTTTACAGTATTTCCTTGGTACTCTTTTTAACAAAGGATTTTAAAGTTTTTGACAATAATTATTAAAAACCTAATTTTTTCAAAACCAAAACTAAAGGATAAATGTTCCATAAGAAATCATTTGACTAATTTCTTTTTGTATTTTATCAGGAATATTTTTAATCATTTTTGCTAATTCTTCTTTTTATATTTTTTCAGAATATTTAAATAAAGAAAGGTTAGAAGCGTACCCGGAAATTTGTTGTTGAGACCGATCAACTACTATTTTTGTTGGATGTTTTGCCTCCAAATGCTTCCAAAATGATCCATAGCCGTCCGCTTATTTAAATTTATAAGATTTTCCACAATAATTGCAAATTATATCGTACATTTTCTCACCTTTGAATTTTCTTGTGAAATAAATGGAGAATATGTCGGAACTTTGTCTTACTCTTGTAACAATTTTTGCTCGTTGCTCTTGCTCTTGCTCTTCATCTTCTTGAAATTGCTCATTAAAATTGCTCATTAAAATTCGGATTTCTTGAGGTGGAGAATCACGTCCAAATTTTTTCATTTGGAAAACCTTCAAAATTAAATTGGTGCGGAAGATTCATATCAACTAGATGTTTTTTGTAAGGGATAGATTTGATCTCCAATTTCTTCCACTTGGCCCTTACCCGAATTTGAGTTTCCTCCACTTGCCATTAATATGATAATAAAATGATGATTTTGGAAAATTGAACTAAAAAGAATTGTAGAGAAGAATGAAATTACTTTAATAAGAAATATTGTAGAGTAGAGAAGAAATAAATAAATAAATAGATAAAGTTATAGTATTGTAGAGAGAGTAAGGTAGAGATGTAGTAATTTGTAGAGTAGGAGTAGATGGGGTGAGATTTTTTTTTGTAATGAATTTGTAAATAAAATGAGAGTATTTATACATAAAATCCAAAAAATTCATTTTTTCATAAAGAATACCGCCTTAAAACTAGCCGTTATATAAGCCGTTTATACGTGCTGTTGGGAGGGTAATTAAGACCTATTTCACAACAACAAAAAAAAAAAAATTAAAAAATCTGACAGTTTTACACGAACGGCTAGAACCGCCGGATTCGAGACCGTTCGAACCGCGGTTCTAAACCCGGTGACCGGAGAACCGCGGCGGTTCCCAAACCCCGAAAAGTTTTTTCTTTTTTTTTTTTTTTTTTCCCCCCCGGTCTTTTTTTCCCCCACCGTACCGGTTCTCGGGAACCCGGAGCCGGTTCTGGTTCCGTCAATTGTTTGCAGGAACCGCGGAACCCGGAGAACGCCGGATTTTTCCGGTTTCGGTTTTCCGGTTCGTCCCGGTTCCCGGTTCTCCACCGGGTTCCGGTTACCGTATCCGGCCGGTTCGAAAACCGAGCGTCGGTTCCGGTTCTCACCGGTTCCGGTTACGGTTCCGGGCCGGTTCGAACCGACGGTTCCGGTTCCCGGAACCGTAATTTGGCCATGCCTATTTGGAGGCCACATTTTTCAAAATTTAACTTTTATCCCATAATTTTTTTTTCGTGTACATTTTCAAATATATCAACAAGCCGGTCGGGTTGACACTTGTTGTATAAAAACGTATGAGCTTATAAATCAGTAAGCATTAAAACTCAATTATAGAAAGAGTCATATTATAGTACTTCAATTATTTTATTATTAATCAATCTGAAATTCACATCCAGCAACACTGGGACAATTATAAAGAAAGAGAGCGACTTTAGTGGGGTTAATCACAGACATGAAAATGATAAGCTTTGATTCACCGTAGATCAATCGATCCAACGGTCATATTTTGCTGTACATTTGCTGTTCATGAAGCAGACTACACTCGCTTTCTGCTTCTCATCACGCAGCCTATGGACATTAATTGTTCGCACTTGCAGATCCACAAAGAATTGTGTGGAACTGAACCCTTTCACTTCTCCTCCGGCCCAAACCCCATTCAATTGAATATACATATATGTATTTATTTTGAATCGTTTTGATCCAATCAAAAGTTTATATTTTTGAGACAATTCTAATATTAATCTAATTATTTTTTCCACCGAAACTTTCAAATAGATCGAAATAAGTAATAAATTATATAACAGGTGTAGCACTTCCATTAACTTAGCAAACTGATGAAAACTACGTGATCGATAAAATTTTAATTCGATTCTTCCCACTATTTATATTAATCATAAGACAGATAAGAACTACAATATCAATCTAATTATCGGTACCCACTCATATTATATATATATGCAATTAAATTGGATCCACTAGATTCTCCGGTTTCTTCTCTTGTTGAATCTTAATGGATTATGACTTCCAAATATATGGTACTGATATAACTGACTGGTTCATTACGTTTAGACTAGTTGCTTTGCTCCTCTTTCCATATCAAGGATATTGCATTTGTGGTTGTCATGTGCCTTACGAGTCAATTGGTCACGAGTCATCCACATGGCCATGTCACAAATGGATGGACCTACTCAAGATCAAAGTCTTGTTGGTCCACAATAGATAAACTGTGTTTTTTTTTTTTTTTTTTTTTTTGTTTTTTTTTTTTTTTTTTTTGTAACTATGTGTGTGTTGTAGTTTTTTTTTTTTTTTTTTTTTGTTACTATGTGTGTGTTGTAGATTTTTTTTTAATCTAGATTTCAACTTGAGGATTCAGGAAAATTCGAAACAGGCTCTATTATTTGTGGTCCAATGATGTAGACCAACAAAATTTTTAATTGATATAAACCATACATCATTATTTCACTAAGTAAAATAAGCTATGTTTTGTTATAAATGGCTTGCTTAGGTAACAATTTGTCATCTAAATAAGCAAAACAAGTTTAATTAGACGATAGAAACTAAATTAACCGTATGATTTTAAGAACTAAATATATACATAGGATGTCAATGTTGTCCTAAACCCTATTGATAGACGCTAAACTCATATTTGCTATTTTAATAGACTTTGTTAATCAGATTTTGTTTTCTATTAGCTGTTATTAAAATATTTACTTTGCTTAATTTTCTAGAATAGACCATATATAATAGACTAGTTTAAGTTGTCCTTCAATTCTTTGTTTCTCTCCTCTTTTTCCTCCTCCCTCTTTTCCTTTCTCTTCCACTCCTCCATTTCCTACATGAAAATGGATGGTTCAATCTTCTAGTACTTTCATCATTTTCCATCATCTTTCTTGTTTCTTGAGGTACAGAAAAGCAATATGGAGAAGAAAGGAGCTATATTGATGAATAGATATGAGATAGGGAGATTACTTGGACAAGGGACTTTTGCAAAGGTCTACCATGCAAGAAATCTCCAATCAGGCCAAAGCGTCGCCATTAAGATTATCGATAAACAGAAGGTTTTAAAGAGTGGTTTAATAGATCAAATCAAAACAGAAATTTCTGTTATGAGACTTGTTAGACATCCCAATATTGTTCAACTGTATGAAGTCATGGCTAGCAAAACCAAGATTTATTTTGCTATGGAGTATGTTAAAGGTGGTGAGCTATTTAACAAAGTTGTTAAGGGAAAACTCAAAGAAGATGCTGCAAGAAAATATTTTCAACAGTTAATTGGAGCAGTTGAATTTTGCCATAGTCGCGGGGTTTATCACAGAGACATCAAGCCTGAAAACCTTCTTCTTGATGAAAATGGTGATTTGAAAATATCGGATTTCGGTTTGAGTGCATTGTTTGATCAATCAAGAAAGCAAGATGGTCTTCTTCACACAACTTGTGGAACTCCTGCTTATGTTGCTCCAGAAATTATTAACAAAGGAGGGTATGATGGCTCTAAAGCTGATATATGGTCTTGTGGAGTTGTTCTTTTCGTTCTTTTGGCGGGGTATCTTCCATTTAATCATCCAAATTTAATGGAAATGTATAAAAAGATTGTTAGAGCAGAATTCAAATTCCCTAGTTGGGTTCAGCCAGAGGCGCGAAAGCTTCTGTCAATGATTCTTGACCCAAGCCCTAATTCAAGAATCACTATAGCCAAAATAATGAGTAATGCTTGGTTTATGAAAGGATATAAACGAATAGAAGCCCCTCCTTCACCCCAAGGTAAAGCAAGAAGCAAATTACTACAAGACGTTCATGCAGCTTTTGATTCATCATCAGATAGCAAAACCAGTAGCTCTCCTGTCAGGCCAACAAACTTCAATGCCTTCGATATAATCTCTCTTTCAAAAGGATTTGATTTATCAGGATTGTTTGAACAAGATAGTAATCAAAGGCTAGAGTCAAGATTTACTAGCACAAAACCAGCATCAGCAATTGTTTCAAAATTCGAAGAGATAGCAATGACAAATGAGAGCTTCAATTTTAACAAGAAAGACGGGACAGTGAAGTTGCAGAGCTGCAAAGAAGGAAGAAAAGGACAACTTGGTATAGATGCAGAAATATTTGAAGTAACACCTGCTTTTTTTGTGGTTGAGTTGAAGAAATCATCAGGAGATACATTGGAGTATAAACAATTTTGTGATCGTGAATTAAAGCCTTCTCTGAAAGATATTGTTTGGACATGGCAAGGAACTGAGCAGCAGCAGCAGATATAATAAAGTATGGTTTTCTTTATTTTTATTCTCCTGCTATTTATAATGTTATGTACTTACAAGGGGAGGGCAACCACGTATCGCAAACGACATCAGTCTCCTATTCAAAAAGAAATTTGCAGCTGCTTCAATACTTGTCTTTTCATTTTTTTTTTTTTTTCTCCACTTTCATCATTTGTGCTATGAAGCTCTGTGCAAGCAGAAGTTTAAAAATACTAATGAAACAATATATATTTTTTTTAATTAGCTGTGAGGAAATCAAATAAATATATACTAGAATATGTTTTTTCTCCTTCCCTTTTCCCACTCCTTTATATATAATTTATGGAATTTGAATTAAGTTAATTAATAAATTGATGGGTTGGATGATAAAGCCAATACAGAGTACCTTCCATTAATTAATAAACATTCCTATATGCCTTCTCAACAAAATATTGAAAATTCTCGGTTAATTTATTGGTATGAATTATTATTTAATTTTTCAGTTATATTGAAATATCTCTCAACCAAAATATTAAATTTCTCGGTTAATTTTATTGGTATGAATTATTATTAATTTTTTCAGTTATATTGAAATATAATTATATATATATATAATATATACTAGTATATATATATTATATATATATATATATAATTAGGAGTTTATTTTTGAAGATATAAATTAGGAGTTTTATTTTGAAGATTTAAAAATTATGTCCCTGGTATTTAATTACATCAGATATAAAGCGCCGAAAAGAGTAAATTTCTTTTTTATCAGCAAAATAAATTTATTTTATTAGAAATTTAGGAAAACTTATCGAACTCTAGTAGTAATTCCAAGTTAATATATCTCTCAATACAGCCAACCTAGTCAGAGAATGATAAGTGAAAAAACCTGGATTGCAATTTAATTCTTCAAATTGAATTTTAGAATTTAATTGTAAATTCCCTACATTTTGTATACCAAACTACTAGTTTATTGAAAGAGAAGACCATAGAGTTTAAATTTCGCCCGGCTTTGAATTATTCATATAAATAGACAGGTAGGTGAAGTGAAAGATTGTCATTCGGCCAACAAGAACCTTTCTGCGAATCATGTGAATCCCATGCACCAAATTCCACTGTACCAACTACCAAAAAGGCCAGTTGGTGGATTAGTTGGGCCCCGTAACCAGGCTAACAAATAGGAGCGCTACTGGGCCACGCATAGTCAAGTCATGGGCCACCACGAATAAATTTTGGAGCCCACAACTTGGCCTAATATAATTTACAGATTATGTTACTTGGAAAATATTTCTTTATATTGAAAAAATACAAAAGGTTAACATAAAAATATAATAAAACAAGTTTAGATTAAGAATTAGATATGTCATGCATGAAACAAGCAATCATCCATCCCTCTTATAAATTATACATATAAGTCTTTGCACTGATCGCTAATTAATGAACAGAATTACTTGTTCACACTTTTAAATATTAATTAAACTAATTAAGACATGAAGACGACAGGACAACAAATCTTATCACAATACCTAAAAAATTAATCATGTCCTTTTGTTTCCCTTAGATTGAATCAGGACCGTTCGACGGCAGAAACAAAACTGTTCAGAGAAAATGACAAATCAAAATGTCTTCTATCAAAGACATTGCACCTTTTTGACTAAATGTAAATACCAAAATTGATTCCATTCTACAGGCTAACTAAAACCACTTGAATTAAAATCCAAAAATTTTGTAAATTAAAATACAATTATGAAAACGAAAGGTGCCAAATTACCTACTCACGCGACTAAATTATTGCGGTAGGGACAATGCAACCAGAAAGTTCAATTGCTAGCCATACAAACATGCATTCCACTGCTCACGAAAGAAACTTCTAAAACGTTTTTTTTTTTTTTTTAAATTACAAACATACAATTTGGTAAAAATTTCTCTTAAAAAGAGACTTTAGCTTTGTCGCAGAAAAATATTTTTCACAATTTTCTATTATTTAAAACGTTTAGAAAAATAAATTAACGAAAAATATTTTTCTGATCAAAGGAAAATTAAATCATTTTTTAAGAAAAATAACTTTCATTTTTAGAGAGAAACATTTTTTGAATATTAATAAAATTACAAATCCATAATTTTTAAATTTATTAATCATTATAATTACTATCACTAGTCACTGTATGCCGCTTACTACCACCACCACCACAGGCAACTTTTATAATTTATATAATTTACTACACCTAGTCACTGTTATGGCCGCTTACTTACCACCACCACCACAGGCAACTTTTATAATTATATATATATTATATATACTATATATATATATATTTTTCTTCTTATCATATAACAATAAAATTTTTTAAATTAAAATTTATTATTATATTTTATTAATATTTTTTAGTCTTAGCGATCTAAAAGACTTTTAACATTTCATACATAAAATTTTTAAATTATAAAATTTATATTTATTATTAATATTTTTTAGTCTTAGCGATAAAAGACTTTTAACATTTCATACATTATATTCTCAAAGGACATTTTATTCATTACATCTTTAAAAGAATGTGAAAAGATCAACCAGTTCGAGCGATTAATAAAACTAAAAACATCAAAATCCAATTAACAAATGAGAATCTGTCTAAAATTCAATGGGCAACGGCTAATAATAATGCGACCCAATTGTTTATAACTGGCTTTTTCTTTTTCTTAAAAAATCTTAAGCGTCCTAAAAAACCTAGTTAGCAGCTGAGAGTGTTTTCTTCGCTTTAAACTTTAATTATTCAAATTGACGAGCATCATCACCAATCTCCACCAAGCACAAAAAAAAAAGACCTGTCTCTTGACTTTATGCAAATGCTGGCTATACATACATCGCCGCGCTCATGGTTCCTTCGGTTTATTAAAAAACAAAGAAGAAAGCAACAATGGCATCACAAATAGAGAGGTTATAATCAAAATCTTTAGAAAAGCACAAGTTAATCCACCAATCAAAACAGTTGCAGAATTCGTTAAACTTCTATGACAGTGTTAACAAATGCAGAAATCAAAAATTTCTACCATCCCTGTGCCGTCTAGCGTTCTATGTACTGGCGTCCCTGCCCTCCAGCCAAGCAAAAACCATTCTTTCGAGGCATTTTCCCACATCATAATACAACAACGGTTCCACCTTTCTAATTGTAAGTTTGATTAAAAGTCATGCCCTTGTTAACAAATAAACCACAGATGTTCCAAAGAGAGGATGTTTATAATAGAAGCAGAATAAGTATTAGATAAATGTGGCAAATGGGATTCGTTGCAAATGTTAAAACTTAAAAAGAAAACAGTCGGACAATAATCCTGTAGGCAGAGGAAAAATAGTTCTTTTTTTCCCTCTCTTAAGATAGTTTGCTTACAGAAACTGTGAATTTCATTATCTTAATGACCAGCAAGGTGGTCCTACAATCAAAAATTGAAAAGGCAAAATGTATAATCATAATATGTTGCTGCAACATTAAAAGAATCTTCAACAAACATATCTATGGTTGCATAAAAAGCCACTCAAGCAGTTTTAGAAGGAAAAGAAAGATAAGATGACAGATGAAAAGCAAACTTGCCATGCTCAAAATTAATATCATTTGAGTATTCAAAAGCCAACCTCCTCAACCTTACCTGTAAGTCAAGGCATACCATAAACTCATTAAAACAAGAAGTTAGCGCATATGCACCAACAGTTTTTAACTCCCTTAGAGTAGGACTCCAAATAACTTTATTTGGATTCTTTCTCCTCCTTTTGTTCAAATCATTCAACAGGAAAGTTCTTCACTGGCCAATGAATAACCCAAATTAGAAACGGAAAGAAAACCCTTATCTTAATGTCTTTAGAAGAGGAACACATAATAGAGTCCAGCCTGTGATCCCCGAAACCAACCTGGTCCGATACACTAGTTGGGCCAACAGGTTCTGACACACCCTATCCACACCATTTTGCCAAATTTTGAAGTTCCGTTCATTTATTCAATTGCAAGATTTATTACTATTTCATGTTGCTGACCCACTGAAATCCATATGCCTTGATGTATCCAAGCCCCAAAAATTATAGAAGGTGAAAAAGAACAAACAAACTCAAACCAACACAAGGTTCCAGGTAGTAGTTATAACCGATCGATCCAAATTCCAGTTCAACATTTGTTTCACTGATGAACTAAAATACCAGCAAAACACTAATAAAAACCAGTAGAATCTCATCTTCCAACTTGAACTATTGATCGTGCATGCATATAATCTCGTATAAACACCAAATAGCAAATAGATTTGTTTCTCCTAATTACTTCTTCAATTTTCAGGTATGTTAAGAAATCAACTGAAGTGTTGCCTAGCACTTATGTTTCTGCCAATTAAAAAGGTGGTCTGGCATAAAAGAGGTAGCCTAAAGCCCCATGAACATATTCTTGAACAATATATATACACACTCCAACTTGCAGATGCAGAACACTTCTAAAAGAAGTTGTCAAATCAGTAGCAAGAAAAGGAAATATAATCCAACGCACTGGTTTGCACATTTGAGTTAAAACTTACAATAATCAACCACTTTGAAATTATTACCATCAATCCAGCTCATGAACAGAACAAAGAGAACTTCATTTCCTCGTTTATAATATGCACACACAAGTCACCACCAAATTGACGGAATAAGCAGAAATGTATATTTCATTCTCTTTAGTCTAATCTAGTCTTTCTCGATACATGAATAAGATATGCAATATATTAGTAGTTAATCTCCTAAGAAACACACACACACACACACACAAAAAAAAAAAAAAAAAAAAAAAAAAGAAACACACACACACACCACACACACAAAAAAAAAAAAAAAAAAAAAAAAAAGGGAGAAAAAACATTTCATACAAACCTTTATCAGAATTAAATTAGCAAAAAAAAAAAAAAAAAAAAAAAAAAAAAAGGAGAAAAACATATCATACAAACCTTTATCAGAATAAATTAGCAAAAAGAAAGAGAAAGGCATACCCTTTTCTTTTCTCCCTCTGTCCCTCTCTATTCAGTGTCTGAAGGTAAATGTGGAGAATCAACAGGTAGAGGTTCAATAGGTAATTGTGAAGTATCCAATGATAATTGTGAAGAAGCAGTGGCAGAAGCTTCAGATTCCTCCTGCGTCAACTTCTGTAAACCAGGTTTCAATTCCTTGTTACAGAAATCTTCATACTCCCCTTTATCGCCTCCTTTCTTCTTTACCTCCACCATAACCAATTTTGGTGTTAACTCAAAAATTTCAGCTGCAATAGTTAATGGACCTTTGGCACTTTCCCTAGTCCCCTCCAAACTAACTCTATAATCCTTTTTCCTAACTGTAAAGCTCACAACTTTAGCAATTTCCTCCAATTTTGATACTATCTTTGATACAGGAGCCCCTGAAACAAATCTTGCTCCCTCTCCACCCTCCTCAAATAACCCAGATAAATCAAAACCAGGAGAAAACGATATAATATCAAAAGCATTCAAACTTGCAGGTCGAGGCAATGAAGTAACCTTCCTTCGAGTTTCAAATTCTGATTCTGATTCAGAAAGTGACTGGTCAGAGCATGAGCTTGCTGCATCATCATTTTGTCCCTCATCCTCGAAGCTAAAAACTTTATCATCCTCAATGTAAAATTTGATATGCTTAAACCCCTTTTTGAACCACCTATTCTCCATTATTTCAGGGATCGTGATCCGGCTTTCAGGATTTGTATCAAGAAGCTTTGAAAGAAATCTGGTGAGCTCCGGAGAGAACCATTTAGGACAACGAAACTCACCCTTATAGATCTTCTTATACATTATCATGATATTCTGGTCATGGAATGGCAAGTAACCCGCCATTAAAACAAATAAAACCACCCCACAAGACCAGATATCAACCTTGGCTGCATCGTACCCTTTTCTTGCAAGAACTTCCGGCGCAACATACGCCGGCGTCCCACAAAAAGTATGAAACAAGCCGTCTTGTCTAATCTGATCGGAAACCGCACTAAGACCAAAATCGGAGACTTTCAAATTACCGTTTTCATCAAGCAAGAGATTTTCCGGCTTTAGATCTCGATGAAAAACGCCTCTTGCATGACAGAATGACACTGCGGATATCAATTGCTGGAAATATTTCCTTGCTACTTCTTCTTTTAACCTTCCCTTAGCAACCTTATTAAACAATTCACCGCCGCGAACATATTCCATGACGAAATAGATCTTAGCCTTGGTGGCCATGACCTCAAAAAGCTGAACTATATTAGGATGGCGTACGCGACGAAGAATGGAGATTTCGCGCTTGATGTGAGCAATAAGACCACCCTTAAGAATCTTCTCCTTATCAATAACTTTGATAGCAACGCTATCGTTATTCTTGACATTACGGGCATGATAGACCTTGGCAAAGGTTCCATGGCCAAGAAGTTTACCGATCTCGTATCGACCTAGAAGAAGAGCCTGATTATTATTTGTTTGGTTCTTGCTGGCCATAGATAGATTGGAATTGAAAGATAAGCGAATTAGGATTGTTTTTGTTTTTAGGTTTAAAAAGAGCTAACGATCAGGCATTGACGAAGGAATAAGAAGAAGAAGAAGAAGAAGAAGGAGAGCTCTTCAATCCTGATTTGGTTCGTTCTGGTTTCTCGTCTGTGTGGAGGCTATGAGTGGGGAAAACTGTAAATTAGATGCTTTTATAATAAAAAGGTATATACTGTTTTTACAATAACTTAAATTTCTAGGACTTACACGTACCTTTCTTTGCCTATTTATGTCAATCTCTTCCCAATACGGTCTACTTCCACGTCGGCATATAAGGTTTTTCAACTTAATCAAAAAAAAAAAAGCATCATTAAACAATAATCACTTAGTTAGGAAAAGCAAAAACTACTATTTGCTTTTGCAAAATATATGATTTTGTTTCTATATTATAAAAAATAATCATTATTCTTGTTATCTCCTTTAGACATTTTACAACATTTTTATTAAAAAGTTAAAAAGTACAGTGCAGTTGAATAAATAATTGTTTTGTGGCAAAATTACAATAAACAGAACATAATTTCAAAATTTCCTTTTTAGATTGCAATTGGCTTAAGCTAAAAATACTTATCAATTAAAAGTCTGCCTAACACACTTAAAAGATGAAATCTCCTATCATTTGCAAACTTATTTCAACAAGAAAAGGATGGAAAATCACAATCAATTGTCTTTTTTTTTTTTTTTTTTTTTCACAATCAATTGTCTTTTTTTTAATTGTTTTTTTTTTTTTTTTTTTTTGAAAAGACAATTAACTGTCAATATATTGCACAATATATTTATTTATATCATCCATATATATCATTTATACAGTGTATATATATATATATAATTTATCTATAATATGTATAATTGTGAAAATGGAAAAATAACTGAATAGACAAAAAAAATATTTAATATGTGTGAAAATAAATAATAAATGTTAAAAAAGATAAATATGGTATAATATTTTTGTTAAAAAACAAAAAATTGACATCAATAAAAATATTTGAACTTAATTAGCATTCTAAATATTAAAAATAAAAATAAATATTTTAACTCAATTAGCAATCCTAAATTTTGTTGTAAAACAAAAAGAAGTGATTAACCCAATAAGAAATATATGAACTCGGTTAAGTATATTAAAAGGGTAAAATAGTTTAACTTAATTACAAATTTTTGAACGTAGTTTGAAAATTCAAATTGTTATATTCGATGTCTCGAGTTTTCAATAATATAAATAGTTAATACTAAAAATTAATAAAAAATTATATAAAAAAAGAAACTAATACAAGTGAAAACTAGTATATTTGTATTATTTATTATTTTGAAACGCACTTAATAAAATATAAGGTCATTATTGGGTTAGACTTCAATTAACAATAAAAAGCCTTAATTAATTAATTTATAATCTAATCCACCAACTAATTTATAATTTTTTTAATTAATTCTACTTTAATTTCAATTCAAAACGTTTGAAATGATTATAACTACCGAATAAAATAATATCACTAAATATATGCGACCATTAAAGTATTATTTCTACTATTATTTTCTAGAATCAGAGAAATGATAAATTTAAGAAAATTTGTAATCCAAAAAGCCTAGACAAAGTTATTGCAAGATTCAGGTTTGTCACGACCCATTTCCGTGGGCCGCACCGGCACTAGAGCCCAGGTAAGCTTAAGGCCCCCGAGACCCGTAGTAAGCCTGAAATACTCGAAATTTCCGTAGTAAGCCTGAAATACTAGAAATTTACTCAATAGAATTTTAACATTCAGCCCATATGATTATGAAAAATAAACCTCAAGATTTTATTATTTCTCGGCCCAAGTTTATCTTCTACAACATTCCATAGTTCGGACCCAATTCACAATACATCACATTTCTAATATAGGCTTACAGAATTGTGTTGGCTATATTAATACATGCCTACATATACGTAAGTCCTACAACTGCGGAGTCACTAATTCTTTAGTATACATAGTTTTTATACACATAATTACATAGCAAAATAATTATGGAACTAAAAAAATTTCTCTATTGCCCTGCGCCGAAAAGAAGCATAGCCTAAATCGGATTAAAGGAAAAACCTACTTCCTGAAAAATCAAACAAGACATGTGAGTTTTTCTAAGGAGTAAGAATTTTTGCACACCACACGCAGTCACACAAATGTGTAAACATATTAATCTAGTCGTCCGACTAGTTATATGCTCACGCAGCCAGTCACACAAATGGCAAATCACCAGCACTTCACAAATCATTAACATCTTCTTATAATCACATCACGTGGAATTAGTCAAGTGGAGTCACCGAACCCCCGATTGAACCGTGCCTCCCAACATGGCTCATTCCTCGTCACCATGTTTGCCACCAGGGAGCCGATCCCCCATACTGGCCGACCCGCGTCTAATCCTTCACTTGACCAAGGCGCCTTCTCATTATTTTTTCTATTCTCTCTTTTTCTTTTCCATACCAACAGGAGGCAAACCCGGGTGGTCTCCATCCAATCTAGATCATCAAGCGCTCACAACAACAGGAGGCCACCCTGTGGGCTGCAATCAAATCTAGATTTTCAGGTGCGCAACAACAAGCGGCCATCCTGTGGTTTCAGAATAAACAGAATTATCAAGTGCACACGGGGGCGCCGATCTCCCATTTACCCGGCTAACAGAAACAGAATCAGGATCCATATAACAGAATCAGAATATAACGGAAATCAGAATCAGGATCCATATAACAGAAACAGTCTCATAAACCCATGGTGACCCACTTCATCCCAATTCCACACAAGCAAAGCACAGCAATATCACAACACAACTAATCAAACATTGCAATCGAATGCACAATTAACATCGTAATGCAATTGCAAATAACTAAATAAATAAATTAGTATTTAACAATAAACAACAATGATAAAATAAATACAATTAATAACAATAATAATGGAAATAAATAAATAAATTTAAAATATTGTAAATTCATTAAATGAGTAATAAGATAATAAACAATCAAGGCCCACTATATTTATTATGTACCAATTAAGAACTAATCTAACTAAAACTTATTAATTATTGTTGTTAATTTAAAATTAATCTAAGTCTATCGAAATTCATGCACAGCACCTCCCCGAAAAATTGGGGACTATTCTACCTGGTCAAAATATCCACAATATTATCATATCTTTACGAATCAATGCACCACAGCCATCCGTCGGTGCAATTCAAACAAATTTATTTTCCCTTCCTCCACCCAAAGCAATCACATTAATATTTAATCGCAATTGCCAAACTTTAACTTACTATATAATTTGTTAAGAAAATAAATTAAAAAAGCAAATTAGTTGAAAATAAGCCTATTTGCTTAACATCAATTCTACTAGTTAAAACTATCCAACCTATATACTGTAACAGTCATATTACACCGATAACTATATATTCCCCTTGTCATAATTAATTTGGGTCTCATGATTCAGTTTATTGAACCTATAAATCATTATCCTCATCAAACAAAACATATGTACTAACTCGTTTAAACTGTGTATCAATTATAATTAAAAATTTTTTACAACATCAAAATAGTTAAGAAAAGAAAATCTTAAAATACACTCGTTATATATTATTTGTCCTTCTGAAACAACACAAGATTTTCTCAAGGTAGTGCTGCCGATACACAAAAACTTCGATGAGTTCTCCTATGCTGAAAATCATAGATTTTACCCACCAATTAACCAATCCCTTGCAAAAATTAAACTTACAACCCCATATGTAAACTATATCCAGCAATACTTATTAGGAATAATTAAAAATAGTTGCTGCATTTCAAAGAAAATTCTCATTTTGTTCTATGTCTCGATCATTAAACCTTTACATAACAACAAGTTATGAAAACATAGTTCTACCCACCAAAATATGGAACTTAAACTCAACAAAACTATAATCTCTTAGCTAGAGGTGCCCCCCCAAACTTTTTTTTTAAAATTTCAATACTCAATTCTAATCTGAAGCTACATTGACTCACTTTCAAAAAAATGACTAGAATGTGTTTTAATTATAGTTAGTAAATTTAAAATCAACCCTTTTTCCTAAAATTTGCAATAAATAGAATATAATAGGGATTTAATCCTTACTTCTAGTTCGCTAAATACATGAAATTCCATATCCTGCCAACAAAGAATTCCACAAATGCATGGCCAAAAAGCGAAGTTAGAGAATGAAACTTACCTAGCTGTTAAAACGAGCTGAAATTGGAATTTTTCGGTCAAAAATGGACCGAAATTGCTCTACTACCCAAGATCTTCGGATTCCTGGCCTTAGCTTGGCTGAGCTGAAGAGGATCGTGCGGTCGTGAGGCGCTAGAGGGAATTGGAAGAGCTCAACCGGTCGATCCTTTGGCTGGTTTCGCTGGAAGGAGGCAGGAGAAACGATGAGTCGGACTGTCCCAAAACGCAGCAAATCGCGACTTAGCTCTTAGCTCATCGTTTTACTGCGCCAACCGGAAACAGAAGAGAGAATGCGAGAAAGGAAGAGACCGAAGCTTCATCGCTAATCGCTGGTATTGGAGTCGCTAGAAAATCGAGTGAACTGCGACGTGATTTTACGATCGGACGAAATCGCAGGTTCCTTGCGATAGCTGCGCTCGCCAAAGACGAAAGGAGAGAGAGAGGAAGAGAGGCTGGAATCCGCTGTGGTGTGGAGGCGACGGCAAGGCGTGGCGATGGTCTTCGGTGATCGAAAAACGAGAGGAGAAGAGGGCCAAGTGAGGTCGCGCGCCGAAGAAGAGGAGGAGAAGAAAAGAAAAAGAAAAAGAAAAAAGAAAAAAAAAAAAAAAAAAAAAAAAAAAGGAAAGGGAGGCGTTCTAGGGGTTCAAGGCCATTTCGGTTCGATTCGAACCGGTTTTGGTCCAAATCAAATGGTTTGACCCAATTTAACTGTTCTCAAATCGAAAATTCCGACAATATACTTGGCTTAGGCCCAACTCGCATAAAATTTTTGGACTTAAGTTAAGATGTTTGGTGGTTTTATAGCCCAAATAGTGAAGAAATCAAGATTTTTTGATTTAATAAAATTTCGAAAGTTTCAAAAAATAAAAATTCAGGGTGTTTCAATCCTCCCCCCCTTAAAGAACAATTCGGTCCTCGAATTGAAATCTAGCAGGGAGAGAG